AGCCGCTCCGAGTTTGGCAATTGGCTTTGTGGAGCACACAATGAGGTCAACAAGAAGCTAGGCAAACCTGTGTTTGACTGCTCGCTCTGGGAAGAAAGGTGGAGGACTGGTTGGAAGGACGGCCGTTGCGACTGATTACGCGCGGCGGCATCTAGGAGACTATGTCTTCCAAAAACATCACATACCGCGCAAACGTCGTATGCATCAAAAGATGTCTCATCAACTGTATAAAATTGGCTTTTTTTGGGGGGGGAGGAGGGGAACTGAGCAAAGCATTTGTTTGGCGTTTGGGCTCTATCATAACTCTTCTCATTTCCATCTCTGTACTCTATCCCAGCTCTAAGAGGGAATACATGATCTGGGTAGGCTCAACTGGCCAGACCTATCCATGAACAGGGTGGTGTTACAATGTTGCTGTATAAATTGCTTTGCGGCAGATAGCGGTCTGGTGCGGGAATCAACGCCTAGACTCGGCTCAGAGTTGGCCACTGCCTACCCACTCTCTTATGAGCATCTCCCAATAAGTGAGGCTATCAAGAGATCCAGAGCACCGTTATCGGAACCATTGCATCTGCAGCCTCTGCAAGGTGGAGTGGTTCTAACAACCCGAGGGGGCTTCGGGAGGTTATGTAGAGGTGCTGGAGAAACGTGAACAGCCACAGAATCGCTCTATGGTCTGACGAAGACAATCTATTACATCACAATGCGGTTGAAGCTAGTGGGGTCCAAAGCTACCTTGCTGTAGGGAGCATGCAACAGGATGGAGCATCTCCTTCTGCTCCGATACACCTGCTCCACAAAATCGCACCCGGGAAGCCTGGATGGCGTCCGCCAAAGAACTCAATCATGTAATTGCTCCGACATCATCCCGTTGTGCAGTTCCTGGAATTTGGGTGGTTTTTATATAGGCGTACGGTGTAGGTGAATCAGCAAAAAACCAAGCATCATACCCGAGTCATTGGCAGCAGATATCAAGCCAGCCATCCTGTAGAAGCTTCCTCTCCATGCCCTTTGAATTATCTTGCATGCTTATGAACTTCAAATGAGCACAAGCTTGCCACGGCCATCCTAGCATTCCTGTCAGCCATCGCACGAGACAGCACATCCACTCGGATAGATACCTGTGCTGGTTTCCGTAGAACCTTGGATTAACAGAACAACACTTACGGAAGGCACGACTTACAAGATCCACCCACCGCACCCTGCGAAAGACTCGGAGTGAGTTGTTGGTACCCTTGAAAAGATAGGGATCCAGTTCAACCTTGTCTGCACCTTTACATATATCTTCCGCCGAACTAGGTCACTTGAACACCGTGACGATACCCTTTTCCCTTCGCATTTGTTGCTCTTTTCTTCTTCTTGTCCTCCCCTCAATCATTAGCTTCGGTTAGACTACCTAGCTGAGTAGTTTCGAGAGAGAGCATGGCTTCAACAGCAGACCTTCGAACAGAGGGCCTACAGGAACCAGTGGATGTGGCCAAGTATCTCTTCGACCGGCTCCATCAGATTGGAGTAAGATCTGTCCACGGTCTGCCAGGCGACTACAACCTTGTTGCCCTAGACTATCTTCCGGATAGTGGCCTAACCTGGGTGGGTAGCGTCAACGAACTCAATGCTGGTGAGCACGCCTCCATTGAACTTGAAACCACGAGACATATCGTGCTGATTCCACTGAAGCCTATGCTGCGGATGGCTATGCCCGTGTAAAGGGCATCTCGGCCATGATCACAACCTTCGGTGTGGGGGAGCTGTCTGCCATCAACGGCATTGCGGGTGCATACGCCGAACGTAAGCAATTTCTAGACTTTGTTTTGACTTACTCAAGCAATGTTGCGATTTTCAACTGCGGAAGCCCAGTCGAGACCTGGATAATCAACTCCTGAGACATCTCCATTGCGGCATTTCCCTCGTTTTCCAATGACCTCATGGGGCAGTCACTAACTCTCGATGCAGACGTCCCCATTGTTCACATTGTTGGATGTCCATCCACTATCTCCCAACGAAACGGAATGTTGTTGCACCATACACTCGGCAATGGGGATTTCAATGTCTTCGCCAATATGAACAACCAGATATCATGCGAAGTTGCAAAGCTCAACAACCCTTACGAAATCGCCAATCAGATTGACCATACCTTGAGAGAATGCTTTCTTCGCAGCAGACCCGTGTATATCATGCTTCCAACTGATATGGTACAGAAGAAAGTTGAGGGCGCTCGGCTCAAGACTCCTATCAACCTGTCGGATCCTAAGAACGAGCCAGACCGAGAGGATTACGTTGTCGATGTCGTTCTCAAGTACCTACACGCGGCCAAGAATCCAATCATCCTTGTTGACGCGTGTGCTATCAGACATCGTGTCCTCCCTGAAGTCCATGATCTTATTGAAACAACCAAACTCCCGGTTTTTGTCACCCCCATGGGCAAAGGGGCTGTGAATGAGACACATTCCACTTACGGCGGCGTATATGCTGGAGCCGGATCGCGCCCGGAAACTAAGGATCGTGTTGAAAGCTCAGATTTAATCCTGTCCATCGGTGCACTCAAGGCAAGCAGTCTTACCTCGTGGACTAGACGTGTTGGAAGCTAATCCCTTACATCTAGAGTGACTTCAACACCGCGGGATTCTCGTATCGCACGTCACAGCTCAACACCATTGACTTTCACAGTACTCACTGCGTAGTTCGATACTCTGAGTATCCAGGAGTGACTATGAAGGGTGTCCTTCGAAAGGTCATTGAGAGAGTCGACAAAAGCCAGCTGAACCTCGTCAAAGGTCCAGTAGTGAAAAATGAAATCGATGAGAATATCGACGGCTCTTCGACTATCACCCAGGCGTGGTTTTGGCCTAGAGTTGGCGACTATCTCAGGGAGGACGACATCGTGGTTACTGAGACTGGTACTGCAAACTTTGGTATCTGGGACACCAAGTTTCCTAAGGGCGTAACTGCGTTGAGCCAGGTTCTCTGGGGGAGTATTGGGTGGTCTGTTGGAGCTTGCCAGGGTGCAGCTCTTGCTGCTAAGGATGAAAAGCATGACAAGCGAACGATCCTATTTGTTGGCGATGGCTCCTTCCAGTTGACGGCTCAAGAGGTGAGCACGATTATCAGGCACAACTTGAGAGTCACCATGTAAGTCCGGCACTTTACATAAAAGCCGTATGCAATGTCTAACAACTGCAGCTTTTGTATTTGCAATGATGGCTACACCATTGAACGATTCATTCATGGCATGGAAGCTGAGTATAACGATATTGCTCAGTGGCAATTCAAGGAGCTAGTAACCGTTTTCGGCGGGTCCGACAAGCACACAAAGAAGTTTGTGGTCAGGACCAAGGATCAATTGAACGATCTCCTTACAAATGAGGCCTTCAACTCAGCTCAAGGACTCCAGTTTGTGGAGCTGTATATGCCTAAGGAGGATGCACCGAGGGCTCTCGTCATGACTGCAAAGGCAAGCGCCGAGACCAATGCCAGGCTCGAGTAGGTCTTCCGTGAGGATCTCTCAGATATCACTTATTAACCTGTTTTCTGCGCCTTGTCTTTCAAGTTATTTCACTGCAGGCTGAGTGGAAGTATTGAGACTCGCAAGTGGGAAAGGGGTAACAAGCTGCAGGGGCGAAGTTCCCATCTTCTCATAGCAACTGCGACTCACCACTCTTCTAAATTGTCAATGTTGATCCGGTCCACTCTTATCCTGAAATAAATAATGATGAAAATGAGAAACAAGAAAAAAAATTAGTCGACACCTGTTGGATTGAGTTCGATCTGCTAAGTGAAGAAACCTTGCACGTGATTAGTCTCAGCGCTGTAACTTACCAAATTTCAACCTTGAAAATTGTTAAGCTCAAGAAGCTTGCGAGCCCATCCATCCACGAGACAACAACACCTTACATAAAAATAACTTCGCACCAAGATGAATACCGCTGGCAAAAGAAAGGGGCCACCGACTGATAGGAATGGAGGTCCAGCCTTCAAGAAAAAGAAGGTGGGTGGGCTCTTTGCGGTGTCAGGCATGCTTGTGCTAGCAAATACTGCGTCTCAGCGTTCAACATGTGCCTATCACGAGGTAGTTTGAATGCATTTCAGCGCAGCTAACCAAGCTTCAAGGGCGGAAACGAGGGCAAATGGAAAACACCACACCAGCAGGGAAAGGCCGGCGGATCACGGTACGAAGCCATCGAGCCTGGACATGTCGGCGTCTGGGTGACCTGCGCCAGGCACCAGGAAGGCCGATCCGCGCGAGAGTTGAGAATGCTGTTTGATGAGGTACGAGACACCCTTACCTGTCAGGTCTTCGTTACGTGGCACGGACTTACTTGCAGACCAGTATGCAGAGAAGTTGTATGGGATCAACACTCAGGAAGGCACGGCCCAAGCTGCAGACGAAGATGATGATAGTCTAGATATCGAAGCATCAATTCGGAAGGAGATAGGCTCGCTCAAAGCACCCCGGGAGAAAGGGGCGGACCAGATTTTCAAGGAGATTCGTACCAAAGAGGACTGCCTACTCTTTATGAGAACCAATCCCCCGGTCAAACCAGTAGAACTTGTCAAGTACATATGCACCGATATCAAGTCGTCTGCAGACGGCAAGACAAGAAAGACGCGATATCTTAACAGGCTAACGCCTGTCACTATTATGGGAAGGGCAACAATGTCAGGAGTCGAGGATGTCGCCAGACAGGTACTTTCAGAGCACTTCGTACTGAGACCTGCCGAGGAGCAATCAGAGACCGGAAAGACTGGAAGCCCCCAGGGGCAAGAAGCAAGCCCGGAATACTCGGTAGGTTACGGGCGCGCTTCTCCCTCCCTGCACTGTTCGCTAACCCTGGCTCGCCCAGTATGCCATTCGGCCCTCACTCCGCAACCACAATCTGCTGAAGCGGGATGATGTGATCCATCGAATCGCGTCCCTGGTAGATCCACGGCACAAGGTCAGCTTGGGCAATCCGGACAAAGTCATTTTAGTAGATATCTATCAGGTAACGTTGCGCGTCCCCACCACCTAGGTTCGTCAGGTCTAATGTTGGCGTGTTAGACTGTCTGCGGCATGAGTATTGTAGATGGCGACTGGGATGAGCTGAAGAGGTACAACTTGACGGAGCTCTACAACCAAGCAGAAAAGACTAAAACGCCGGCCGTGCAAGACACTACTGAAGACAAGTCATAATCCGCCGGCTCCGACGGTTGATCGCCGCTGTCCATCTCAGTCTCGCGAATTTCCACTTGGCTGGTAACCGATTGTGGACTCCACGATGGTGGATGCTGAGCCTATATGCGCAGCTGAGATTAGAAATTTCTTCCACACGTATTTGAGATGATTGGCGTATCTCTTTACACGAACAGAGACAAAGTAGCGAGACTCAAAATCTGAAAATGCCACCCACCTTCGGCTCTCACAAATGAGCAGGTGATAGAACCCGCGAGGTACATCTCAATCTCAAGATGGCTGGCCCTGGTCATACTGCGTAAGAGCGTCACCATCAGTCAGCACACATATTCCATGTATAGTCGGCCAACAACGGCCCCGTTTTCGTAAACAGTCCAGTGACGATCAAGATCGAGCAACAGGGGCCTAGCTCCAACCGCCGGTCAATAGGTCAACGAGCCTCGAGCGAGTTGATGCTTGGCCTGCAGGTCGTCAGTGTGACAGAAGCATTGGAAAGTTCTATGGGACGGTCTACTATGCAGTAGGAGGCTCCCCGTCTTGTGGGGAGGGGCGAGCTAAGCCTTATTGCGATAAATTTGACGAGACGTGGTATGAAAGACGCGGCGACGGTGTGCAAATGGCCTGTAAGCCGAATCCCACGGGCGGCGGCCATTAGCCTGACAGGAGCCGCCTTACGCTAAAAGGTTGGGGCTGCGATTGGTCGCACTGATCGTGACTCGTGTCTCAGCCTGGCGAGATTCCCAGGGCGGCGGGCTCGACACCTCTTTCGGCCAACTTCTTGAAGATCGTCTCTTGATTACTTTTCTGAGGACTGACCTACTTGCCGTACGCTATACTCCCTCCATCTCTCCGTGTCTCATAAAGCATGCCATGCTATGATGCTATGCCAGGTTGAGGCGCGCGAGGCCCGGAACGTAGATGGGCCGGAGGACAATTCTCAAGTCGTCTTAGCCTGCTTCCTTTTCGTCTAAACCGCCATGCATACACACAAACATGCACACGAATACCTCGCAGACTGGCTCTGTGGCGAGTCTGGCAGTCTAGCTGTAGAGTACTGTACATGCTCCTCTATCGACTATGGAATTGGCGCGTCACAGGAGTGGTCGTCCACGCGGCCACGCCCCGGTGGCTTGGGCGGAGGTCTGGACCCCCAGGTGGCTTTCTAGATACCCTACCAGTGCCTACTCACGACTCCTATACTTTACCTATCACTGTGTCAAGAATCAAGATATGTCAAATCCTGGTTCGTCCTTCCGAGCCGGACCGCGGGCCTACCTTGAGCATACCTGGCGGTTGGCTTACTCTCCAAGAAGACCGTTGGCGGACAACACGATACCCGATCCCATTCTCTCGCGCCTTGCCGATCCTGAGCGCCTCCAATGAGGGGGGGACATGCGTGTACATAGGCCTTGATAGGTATTGTGGTATTCTACTCGAGGTGTACACATGCCTACCCAGTATGGGGAGATTGTCTTACTTTCTCCAGAATCCAGACTGCCCTGTGAGCGCCGCAGAGTGCCACCGCACAGACGACGTTGCCATTTATATCTTTGACGGCTGAACCAAATGGCGCAAGCGGATCGGAGCGGCGTTCACGCTGGAGAGATGAAGATTCCAGGATGGGAAAACTTAAGAAGGCTCCCGGAGAAGGTACCCTTTAGACCTCACCAACGATTGAGCCTATCTCTCAATCTCACCACCACCACCAACTAACGAACGAACAAGGAGGTGGAGGGATGTTACTACTGGTAGCCCCGTCCAGTCCAGTATACTAGGTAGCGTACAAAGAGAAGAGACAAACAGACAACAACAAGCAGACGACGACGGGACAAGGTCCGTTCCATCCATCGAGACGTTCATTTAGTGCACATATTACAGTGGCTTGGCGTGCATGGAGGCCGCGTTAGCGCACTGGCCAAGGTGGTCCCAGGGTGGTCCCAGGGTGGTCCTAGGGTGGTCCTGGCACGCTGGAATGGGGATGGGCCATGCAATAGAAGCTGCTGAGGAAGCTTCCTCGCTTAGGATTGGCCTATCAGCAATATTCCGATTCGCTTCCCCATGCTGTTTCGGCTCGCTGAAGGAAGCTCTCCATGGCCCCGTCCCTGTCTCCCTGTCTCCTGGGGGCGCCCTGTCTCTCCGGCTGTCTGGCTGTTTGGCCTGATGTTGTCTTCAGACTGTCTCCGCCTCTGTCCATGTCCATGTCCATGTTGTGGTTGCTGACGGACGGCCTGTCTGTCTGTCAGTATCTCCCATCTCCAGCCCAGGGACCTACTCGACGACGACGATTGAGGCGGATTGACAGACGTATCCGGCCTTGCTACGTGATCAATCCCAACTGGCAGATGTCGTTATTGTCGAATGTGTCTCACATGAACCGTTGTTAGCAGCGAGGAATACGACTGACCCCCGACGGACTCTGACCTTGGTTGGCGGGAGGGACCTCATACTGCCCTGCCCTTGCTCGATCTCCGTGGATGATGCTCTGGTAATCATCATTAATCATTGGATGTTATATGTATGTCCGTATCTTATATTTGCCCTTCCCTGAGGTGCGGTCGTCCTGCGGGTGCAGGTGCGGGTGCGGGTGCCGGGAATCCTCCCTAGACTCCTCGCTCGACTCTCCCCGTCATTCGACTCCGTTTGCCTGCCTGCCTGCCTGCCTCTCGTGCCTTGCTGTTCTGGCTGTTGTGATTGTGCATGCGGCGCAACACGATACCGTGTGCTTCCGGTGCACACAGACACACAGACACACAGATACACCGCCTGTCGCCCTGTCGCTCGTCACGTTGTTCGCGAGCAAACTGTACTTTTGCGCGAGCTCCGTCCTGCATCGTCGCTTGGGGCCGCCCCATATGTGGATTCTCTCTACCCTGGCCTGGCCATGCTTGGAACTCGGCCCAACGGCTTCATCGGCGCCATACCGACGACCTTATACTCTAGTGTACCCTTTCCTTCGTTCGGTGCTTGTATATATGCATGGATCAATGTGCATGGTAGTTTTGTCTTGCAAGGAATGGACAATGACATGGCCGTGGCCGTGGCCGACGGCTTGCAGCAGAGTTGCGGCCTGGCGCAACTGATAAGCACTTTGTTCATTGTTATGTAGACCTTGCCTCGACTTACAAAGCCGCTGGAGCAGGTGTGTCATGTCACCCACCCATCGTCGCTAGATGTATTGCATAGTATACGCTTGCAAGGGACTTGTCCCCGTGTTGTCTTGGGCTGTGCCGCTTGCTGGGCGCATCACGCAGCGTAGTCGAGTCTCTCTTGACCGATGCTGTCCCTCCACTCGTGTTATGGGATGGGACCAGACAAAACTGGCACATACCGTACCCTTATGCGTGTGTGTACACGTAGGGGTGCTCGCTCCAAGCATACTGCGGAGGAGGCGGCCATATCACTTGGCAAACGTACACAGCCTCTTGCCTACCTATGAGAGAGGCCTTGGGCCGAACGGCCACTGCAGACAGACTCCGTCAAGACAGGCTCGCTCTACAATGTGTAAATGGCGGCGTTACGTGACTACTTAGCTCATGTCTATGCAGTACCGTCTTGCTCGACAGATGGGCTCATTTTGTAGTTTATCCAGCTTAGGTACTGTACCTTACCTTAAGCTATCCAACTTACCTTAGGGCGAGGCAAGTCACTTCAGTCTTGGAAGCTAAAATAATATGCTTTTGGCGGCTTTCCAGCCCTTTTCGCGTCTTGCCCAACCCATCCCTGTTCCCTCTCGCTTGGAACCACGCCCCATTCGCCAACATGGCACCTCTTGACCACATCCCCACAGTCGGGCAAAGCTACCGCTGCTGGCGGTCGTCGTGGCAGAGAGACATCCATCTCCCCTAATTTCCTCCTCTCTTATGCTGCCGTTTCCTATGAGGCGTCCACCTGTCTCGTTCGCTTCTTACTGCTCCTTTCTTGCTGGTGTTGCTGCTCTGCCCTGCTCCGCGTAGTCCAGCCTCGGCCGGGCTTAGTCTATCGTCTGTCGTCGTCGTCGTCGTTACTATGTCTCATGTATGCCTTCTTCCCGCAACCTTCTCACAAGCCAGAGCCCCGCCTCGGTGACTGGGCTGAGGATTTGCCTTCTGTCTCTCCGTCTTACTAAAGTCGCTGCTTCTCTCGACTCTGGCTTGCCTGTATCTGTTCTTCTTACCTGTGTGGAGGGTACCTCACTCCTTAAATACCTGTCTGAGCATACTCATATCTGCAGAGTGTCGAGCGGGACCAACAGCCACCTGCGTCTTGACTCTACCACCCAGTTGATCCCATCCATCCTGGCTCCTTGTTTCGGTTTTATGTCCGAGTTGGTAGCGGGTCGAGGCATCATCCGTCCTCCAATCGGCCAGCCACCATGTTTCTTGTGTCTTTCGTGATAGGACCCGGGGCATCTATACACTGCTGGCATGCTACAAACAACCACCACCCTTGACCGGCTGCGTGCCGTCAAGAAGATGGCGCCGCCCCCGGGGCCTGCTTCGGCTACTGGTTCCGCTTGTCGCATCTCTCCTGCTTCTCCTGTGTCTCCCCAGGGGCGTGATCCTTCAGCACAGTCCTCTAATAGTCAACGACACCACTACCAGCAGCACCAGCGGCATCTAAAAGGCTTCGCGGATCCTCAATGTCCCACAAGGCTTACCGGCTCGGCTAACCAGCCTCTCTCTGTCCAACAACACCAGGGCTCATCTCGGACTTCTCTCCTCCCCATGAGTCAACCACCGCCAGAATCCTCTGTTCGGGCCATACTAAGCGCGAAGGTACCGCAAGGCGTAACGATCGAGGCCATCCAGGCGGTTCCTTCGCCTCGCTTAAAAAGGATATATGAGATTAAGCTTTCCAACTCTCAGGCGTTGCAATTAGTCCTGGCACCGTCAGCCATGCTGAGACTACTTCGTTCAGAACAGCTGCTTGTTAGGTCTGAGGCGGAGGTGGTCAGGTGGCTCAGGGACATCTTGTCCAAGCATGACCCAACCGGGCGGATAGGGGCGGATCCCAAGGGTGGGCAAGAGACCTGCATCTCGAGTGACACGGAGAAGGAAGAAAGCGAAATCCTTGAAGACTTCGCTGAAGACTTAGACCTTAGATTCCTACCATCACTTGTTGCGCACTCACACACAACGAAAGAGTTGGGCTCTGCATATAATCTACTTTCGGGCATTTCTGGACACCCCGTGTCATCTCTGCCAACTCCTCTAACCGCCGCGGAGCGGAGGCAGCTCGACTTTCAGACTGGCTCTCTTGTCCGTCGGATTGCCCGTGTCAAGTCCCCTTCCGGCAAATTCGGACCAGCTCTTGCAGTTCTCACTCCTCCAACTAATCCACAACGTCACGCCGGTAGCGGCGGCATTCTTGCCGTCGGAGGTGCTGGCAACTGGTCGGTAGCATTTCAAGCCATGCTAGAGAATATACTTCGAGATGCCGAAGACATGGCTGTCACAATTGCCTATGCTGCAATAAGAAGAAACTTCCGCCGCCTCGGATATTTGCTCGACAACGTTACCATCCCGCGGTTGGTGATTCTCGATGCTACCGACGAATCGAATACCATGATCGAGAAAACAGTACCCGAAAGAAGTTCTCGGCAGCCGTCCCCGCGTAAGAAAAGCGTCGAGGGTGAAGATAAATCAGACGTATCCGAAGCCGACGACGATTCGTCCAGCGAAGACGGGGATGAGACGGATGACACTCCCAGTATCCGGGTGACTGGGTTACAGGACTGGAGTCAATGCGTCTTCGGCGACCCCCTGATGGCGAAGATATTCAACAACCAACCCTCTGAAGTCTTCTTGCTAGGGTTCAATGGAAGAGAAGAAAGAAGTAGCACGCCGCTTGGTTTCGATGAAGATCTAATCGAAGACAAGGAGTTCTCCTACATCAGACTACTGCTTTACCAGTGCTATCATGCCACTGTCAGCATTGCCCAAGAGTTCTACCGGCCACGAAACAACAGCAGAGACAGAGAGCTAGCTGCTAGAAGAAGCCTGAACACTGTTCTGTCTAGACTAGAAGATATCGACGATAATCCGAAGAGGCGGCACAGGAGGCCAAGCGGCGAACTATCCCCAGCAAAGAAACCGAAAGCCGATGACGAAGATTAGCTCTATTGGCCTTGAGCTCAACTGTACAAATTTTGATCGATTTTTAGCTTAGTTGTACATATAACAATAGTCCCAGACAAACGGCGGGCGTTCATAGACAGCATTCGGGACAATTAAAGATACATTATTTTCCGTTCCATTTGCGCTTACTTCTTGCCATCATCCTCGCGATCATCGTCTTCATCTCGTGGGAGGCGAAGGCCCATCATGCCAAGGATGTTTCCTGCGGGGCCTGCAACACCAGCCTGACTCTTGAAGCTCTCAAGGAGGTTCTTCGCGAGATTATAGTCTACATCCACCTCTTCTGCATCGCTATCTTGCTCCTCGTCGAGCTGCGTAGGTGCGATTGCCTTGGTTGAAGGCTCTCCCGTAGAGACTTCAGATGCCTTGTCCCTGAGGGCTCTCAGCTTAGTCGGCGTTGGATCTAAATTGAGAGCGCCATGCTCGTTGAGCTCTTTCTCCATCAATTCAGCCAGCTTTTGGATTTCGTCATCCTCTTCATCCTGAGCGGCGTCTTTGCGGCTGTCGAAGCTAACCTCCTTGCCTTTTCCTTTCATCGTCCGTGACTTGTTCGCGTCTGTTTCCGTCGATGGGAAACCCATCATTTCCTTCATCATACGAGCAAACTCTTGCTCATCAAAGCTCACCTCTCGGTCCTCGCTTTCACTGTCGTCATAATCCTCATCATCATCGTCATCTTCGTCCATTTCGTCAAGCTCGGCCCCGTCCAAACCGGCTTGGTCATCGTTCAAGAAAGCCTCAAATCGTGATACGATCTTGCGCAGATCCGCCTGAGCCGTGCTATCCCCAAAGGCTGATTTTCCTGACTGATTCTTCTTGCCGTCAAGCTCTTGTTCAAAGTCGTCGTAGTTGACGTCCATCCAGGAGTCATCGTCATCCCGTTCGACGTCATCCCAGCTTTTGATCTCGACATCTGATGGAAGGGCCTGATCCCCGTCCTCTTCCAGGTCCTCGAGTAGCATGGCAACTTCCACGGCCACTCGGCTCTTGCTCTTCGAGGCACTGGCGGCAAGCATCTCAAAACCGCAAGCTACTTTCATACCCAGGTCAAGCATTGAGAAATCCTTGTCATCGCTATCTCCTGAAGGTGAGTTTCGGTCCGATGATCGCATAATATTTTGCCAGGGGGGTGGAGGCTCAAATCTCTGTGACTTTAACTGTGCGTACAGAACTCGAGTGAAGCGCACACTGACAGTGACAAAGTCCAGCGGCGGGAAAACAAGCTTCTCTACAGCTTTTGACATTAATGGCTTCAGGGTGAGGGGGTCTCGCAAGTAGAATGCCTCTACAGCTGGGGCGATGGCCTTTGGCCGTCGATGAAGAATATACGCCAATTTCCTGGGGATCTTGACTCTTGCGCAGTGGATCATTTTCTGTATCTGGTCGGGGTACTTGTCTAGTCGGTAGAATGCCTCAGCTTCGACAAATGCGGAGTGGACCATCAACTCGGGAGTTGACTTGATAAATTGCACGGCGTCAAGCAATCTCAAATTCCTCATTGCCGGGCCTGAATCCGTAGCAGCCGGTAGCAGCCTTAGCTGACCTCCTTGTATCCAGACTCGGTTGGCATCACTTTCAGGGCTGAGCCACTTGGGCAAGACATTGGCGGCTTCTATGAGGAGAAACTCTCCGTCACTATCAAAGACGCGGACCCAGAGATTTGAGAACTGTTTAGTCAACTCTCGGAGGATGTAAACAATCAGCCACTCGTCTTCTACAGAGTCTCCATAATCGGTTATACCATGAAGATACAATAGACCTGTAGAGCGTCAGCGATTAGCTTTGTATCGTGAAAACAACCTTATCTGCTCAATTTCTTGAAAATAACTTGCTTTCCAGATTGTGTCCAGATAGCTCTCAATAGATCAAGATTGGACCACGGCTCCGACACGGCTAAAGGAGCTACGTACCTTCTTGGCTCTTGCTCTCAAGATTGAATGCATCTCGATGCCATATGTATTCCTTTGTGAGTTGGTCTGAGAGCTGGAAAGCCGTTTTGCGCACTGTTTCCAGGGCCGACAGTGACTTGCGAGGGTCGAGCTGTGAGTCTATGATAAAGAGCATGTATTCCATGCAGCTCTCGGGCAGCGTTCTTTCGAACGGAGCGAAATTGCCCGCATCCGAAGGAGCTCCTGCGTCGGGGTCCATCGTGTCTTCCCGAGGCAGACTTCTTTGAAGGGGTTCTCTGCTGCGTGACGGGATTTGCTGATCGACACACACTACCGTGGACGAGTTGTTCTTTGTTCTCCAGGCGCTTGTAACTCCAGAACTACTTCCGTGGTTTCAACAAACTCAAAGACGATTTCCAACAGAGTTTTATCCTTCGGCTCTCGAACTCAAGGGCAGGAATCGCTCACGCTTGACCTTTGGCAAATAAACTGACAGACTGATATTCTTGTTGGACATTCGCTAAGAGAAAGTTCGAACTGAGGTTTGACTGGTTTTAGTTGAGATTCTGGGTTAACGCAGCAATAAAGTAGTACTTGACGAGTCAGGCTACGACCCCCAGCTCCATGGGTAACACGTTATCTGGGTAAGGCAACTTCAATACCTACCATTCTCTCGTGGGGGCCAAAGCTCTAAAATTTTCGGAAGGGTCTAGCGTGTTCAGTGGCCAATCTTGCCCCTTATTAGGTTAAGGGTGCCTAGGAGTCAATACCGCAAGGCACCAAGCACCCCTGCACCACTAAAACACGGTCGCGTCGAACCTCCTTGCTATCGTGCCAGCCTGCCTGACGTGAGTTTCGCATCTCCGCCAAAATCGCCAACAGTCTTGCCGGTTGGGATCGCGAAATTTCCACCACAGCGAGGCGCGCTATTTTCTGGGACGGGCACTCGTTCTCCAGTCTGTCAAATAGCAAGATGCCCGGCCGCACAGTCAACGGCTTGGGAGGCTCGTCCAGGAAGCGCGCAAGGCGCGATGCCAACGATGGTGCTGAAGAAGAAGACGTCGTCGACGTACGAGAGGCTAGTTCCAGCTTACGCCATGACTCGGTACGCATCCTACTATGACTATAGGCTTCTCAAGATTTTACATTATACTTACTATAATTACAGCAGCGCAAACGAGCCCGTATCTCTGAGGCTGGTTCTAGCAAGGATGTTAGTCGTGAAACCCGCGACATGTCCCCAGATTCGGATAGTAGCGAAGATGTCGACATGGACGAGCCCGAGCACAATGACGAACCCCCAGCAACACAATACGACATCATGCGAGACGGTGGCTTCACTCATCTGGAACACGAGGACGAAGACGATCGACGTGCAACTCAGCGAATCCGGTTGAGGAATACAGAGAGAGGTCGGCAACACAGGCATCGTCATGCGGTTGAGGAGGTTGGCGAGAACCATGTCGCGGAGAACGGTATCATCGAGAGCATCGAGTGCATCAACTTCATGTGCCACGTGCGCTTGCACTGCGAGCTCGGCCCACTGCTGAACTTCATCGTGGGCGAGAACGGTAGTGGAAAGAGTGCTATTCTCACGGCCATCACACTCTGCCTCGGCGGTAAGGCGAGTTCTACCAACCGTGGAGGTAGTCTCAAGAGCTTCATCAAGGAGGGCTGTGACCAGTCCGTCCTCCGGGTAAAGATCAAGAACCAGGGCCATGACGCATTCCAGCCCGAGGTATATGGCGACTGTATCGTGGTCGAACGTCACTTTTCCAAAACTGGCAGCAGTGGATTCAAGATCAAATCCGCCACGGGTAGGACCATCTCTACCAAGAAAGGCGTTGTCGAGGAGATTGTTGAGTATTACTGCTTGCAAGTGGACAACCCCTTGAACGTGCTCTCACAGGACAACGCCCGCCAGTTCCTGAATGCGGCTTCAAATGCCACCAAATATAAGTTTTTCGTTCAGGGTGTTCAGCTACAACAGCTTGACGATGATTACCGTGTCATTCAGGACTATCTTCAATCGAACGAAGTCCGAGCTGGCGATCTCGAGACAAAGGCAGCAAACGCGCAGAAGGCTCTCGACAAAGCGCAACAACTCGAGCAATTTGTCAAGCAGCATGAAAGCATGCGCCAGCAGGCTCGTCTATATCGCAGACAGTTGATTTGGGCCCAGGTTGTGGACCAAGAACGCGCGCTTGAGACTTTGAATGGCGCTGTCCAGGAAGCAGATGGAAATATCGCCCAAGCTGAACAAAAAGCTCAGGAAAAGTCCCAAATCTTCGATGAAATGGAGGAGAGAGTTCGTAGAGCGCAGACTTCTCTTGAGAATGTCAAGTCTGAGGAGGCTGAGTATAGAGATAAGGTTGCCGCGGCTCAGCAGCAGTATGCGACAGCCAAAGGTGAACTGGTATCTCTTCATCAGGATGAGCGCGACGTTCACCAACGTGTCAAGAATGCTTCAGACAAGATGAAAAGCCTGGAGCACAAGATCCGCGGTGAGGAACGCCGTCTAGAGGATGCAAATGGTGATGCACATACTCGAAAGCAAAACGAACTCGTCGCTGCCCAGAGTGAAGAGGCCGAGATTGATATAGCGATTGAGGAGAGCAATGCTCTGATGCCTCAGCTTGAGAGAGAATATGCCAACGCTGAGAAGGATGTCAAGAAGATGAACGATGCCATCGAACACAAAAGAGACGAGATCACCTCGACGGAGAGCAAGATTACGAATCTGGAGCAGGGTGGTGGCTCACCATACGATGGGTATGAGCCTCAACTACCACAACTACTAAGAGCGATCGAGCACGACCATGGCTTCGAGCAAAAGCCTATTGGTCCAATCGGCGCACATGTGCATGTTTCGAAGCCTGTTTGGTCTTCAATCCTTGAGAGCACTTTTGGCGGTCTCCTCAATGGCTTCATCGTCACAAATAAACGTGATCAGCATCGTTTACGTCAAATGATGACTCGACTCAAGATCCGATCCTGTCCTATTTTCATCGGTAGTGGCCATGCCATCAATACTGATGGTAGAGAGCCGGACCCAGAGTTCGACACGATTCTCCGGATTCTCAAGATCGATAACCAACTAGTTCGGAATCAGCTCATTATCAACAATCGTATCGAACAGATCATCCTCATCCAAGACAGGACGAAGGCTGAGCGAGTCATGATGGATGGTCCTGCGCCTCGGAATGTGGCTGCATGTCTATGTCTTCATGAGAAGAAGCGTGGCTATGGTCTTCGTATGACCGTCAGAACGAATGCCCGTGAAGGCGGTATGAGTATAGGAACTACGCCTGTCGAGCCGCCAGTCAACCAAAAAGCCCGGTTGAAGTCGGACTCTGGTAGTCAAGTCAAATTTCTCAAGGAGTCGCTCCAGTTTCTTAGTGGTGAACTGCGAGAGCTCGACGGTCAAAAACGTAGGATTACGCAAACGATCCAGCGCTGCCGCACCGAGATAGCAGAGCAGAAGAAAAAGAACAACTCACTCAAGCAAAGCCTGAGAGCCATTCAGGTGAAGATCAACGATATTCAGGAGGAACTGGATGCTTTCGATGGCGCGGATGGACGACTACAGACTCTTCGCGAGGAACTGGAATTGGTCAGGACAGAAAGAGACCAGTATGGAGACCAATATGGTACTATGCACTTGAGAAAGTCGGAGATGAACAAGCAAGTCGAGGATCTACAGAAGCATCTCACACAGGAGAAATCTCAACTCGCTGACTACGAAGCTCGGCTACACAAGGCGGAAGATAAAGTCAAGCGTTCGGAAGATACACGGAGACTCGCCCTCGTTGAGAAGAATCAGGCCTTCGAGGAAATAGACTTGAGCAAAGACGAGAAGGCTCGCCGCGAGCGGAAGCGTGATCGACAGATTCAGACTGTTGAAGATTTCACTAGGCAGGCTTCCGAGCACTCCGAACGAGTTCATATCGGAGAGGGCGAGACTCACAGCACTGTGGAGAAAAAACTAGAGTCTCTCGATAAGGCTTTGGCTTCGTATGCCAGGACAATCGGCATGACGGACGAACAGGTCTTTGACAGGGCTGCTGCAGCCAAGGCAGCTCGTGACCAAGCTGTGGCGGCGCTCGAACAAACACGCAAAGAAAACCAAGCCCTGAAGCGGACGCACATGAACCGTTTGGACCGATGGAGGCAATTCCAGCGTTATATATCCGCAAGATCCCGAGCCAACTTCATGTACCTCCTCAGCGAACGCAGCTTCAGGGGTACACTACGTCTGGACCATAAGAAGAGACTTCTGGAGCTCCAAGTGGAGCCGGATCAGACCAAGAAGAGTGGTGCGGGTAGAAACACCAAGACTCTCTCCGGTGGTGAGAAGTCATTCTCTTCGATCTGCCTCCTCCTCTCCATCTGGGAGGCCATGGGCTCTCCATTGAGATGTCTGGATGAGTTTGACGTCTTCATGGACAACGTGAACCGCGCTATCAGCACCAACATGCTTGTAAGTTTATGTTTATGCCCATGATGTAAACCTTGACTGATATTAATGCGTTTCAGATTTCGGCGGCTCGTTCATCTGTCAGTCGACAGTATATTCTCATCACACCTAATGCCATCGAGGGTCGCGCTACTTTGGACAAGGATGTGAAGATCATCAGGTTCGTTCATTGTGATCCAGGGCTGTTGTGGACGAAAGCTAACAGTATTCAAGGCTCACTGATCCCCGCCAACGTTTGATCGCAGGCCATTAATCTGCCTAAGATATATGCAAAACAGCCAGATGTGACGTTGCTTGCTACCACTGTGCCTTCACGGCCGGTCACTTCTTCATTTTTGGGACTTTTAGACAAAGGCATGGTGTTCTGGTGTTACATTTGCTGGTCGGAGAGGTTTTGATCAGGAGTTCGAGCTTGGCGACTTATGGCCGGACCTATAGCTATGTGTACATTATTTGTGTCCTGGTAGCTCTTACACGTGTTCTTACAAGGTTATAATACAGCAAGGGTGGACAGTGATATGCCGGCATCCTATGACCACCATGATCATATCCGTAAACCCTTACTTCTCAAAACATTGAGGCCTGCGCTGGCTGTAAATCCAACCCACGACCCGATAGATTTGACGGTGCCTCCAATCTCCTGCGCTTCATCCAACCTTCGACGAAGGAACCGTAGTGTCTCTGTGAAACCTTCTGAGGTGTCCGTCGTCATGAATAACTCGGTTGAGGCATAGATGGCAGATAGAGAAGCACGCTTAGTATACCATGAAGGATCAACAGACTTGTCGCCAGCGAGGAACCATATCTCATCGGCCAGCATGGCCAGTTCCTTGACCGAGGCTGGGACATAGCTCGGTTGTGCCATGACTGCCAGCGCCTCCTGCCATCGACGAACAACTACCGAGTTTCCTAGGAGACGCTCCCAAGTCAGGAGCTCTACCTTCTTGCCGACGCCAATTCGCGCGGCCGCCTCTTCATCCCCAAAGAGTTCTTGTGCCTTTCCGGCGAGGGCCTTCCTCTGGGTTACTAGATGCCATCGGATCAGGCTGAAAACGCCCTCGGGGACAACATTGGTGCTGATATCAAGATACCCCGCGTCCTTCGCGCCCAATGCTAAAGCCTCCTGCGAGAAGCCGTGCTCGGGAACATGCGTGTAGGCGGCGGATAGGATCTCCTGCTCGGCGAGACTGAATGAGCCGGTGGGCTCGGGGTGGTCGTAGGAGTGGTAGAGGCGTGGGCGGGAGCTTGGCTGCTGCGATGACGCGACTGCAGGGCGCTGCGGAAGGATCGGCCGAGCAGGGCGGGCGATGCATGTGAGGTTCCGGCACTGGGCGACTGCGGCCGGGAGATGCGGTCGTCGAGCATGCAGGTGCTGGGAAAGTCGTGTCGTCGGCTGTGGCCGCAATGCCGCCAGCCGGCTGGCACTGGCTTTGACTGTGTATGTGGACGGGGGCATCTTCGATGTGTGCTTTTGCCTCGATCCTTGCCCAGGTCCAGGATGTGCGGTTGCCACAAGCGAGTGTCCAACACCGGGGTGCAATCAATTGGCCCGCGGGGAAGCTGATGGTGCCGTTGTGGCCTATGGACAATAGAAATTGCTTCGTACTTGTCGCCGGCAGGGTGAACAGCTTCTACTGGTCAAACATCACGAGCTTTTGGATTTGCTACGTCCGAGCTGTCTCTAATCGTGCTAGCGGATGGGGGATTTTCCGGGCCGCCCGGAGTGGCTCAAGACCAGGTTTACACTTTGCACCAGCTAAAACTACAGCACACTTGTGTTCTCTGGACTACGCCCGCAAGTCCAGGGTTCCCTGCACTGAGATGGCGATCTGTTTGCCCACAATGGGCTCGACTGCAGGGGAGTAAGACCGGTATATGTGCATAGATTGAGGTAGACAGGTATTCCGTCCCCGTCGAAGCTATGACCCCGAGTTTGCGGCTCAATGTCTTTCCAGGTGGCTAGCAGCCCTCTACCCTTTGCTGGTCTCTCTTTTGCTCCGCGGTAGCATAAGGCAAGTCCTGTGTAATCTATCTGTCTCGCACTCGCGGATATGATCGGTCTGATCTCACCTGCCAATGACTGGCCCGCTGTGGATGCTTCCGTATTGGTGTCCACCCCCGAGGCTTGGGGCAAGTTGGGGCGGGGCTCTTGCTGGGTGGTCTGTGACATGCGCTGCGTAGTAAGGCACCTCCTACGCAGTAGGGAGGGAGGGAGGTGTGCAATCGGACGAATGACGCAGAGCCGTGCCAGATACGTAGCGCGCAGCCAGGCATCCTCGTGGGTTGCTTCCGAGTCCGGTCCTAGCCCATAGTGGTAGCAGTAAGTGTGTATGGAGATGCGAGAAGGAGGCTAATGCAAGGAGACGTCGAACATTCACACCTGAAGATATGCGCCGCCGCAACTGCAGAAATCCAGTGGGCCAAGACATCGACGAGGAGCGGCCTGCGCGAACTCGAATTGATCGCCCGATCCATCTAATCTAGCCTGTCCGGCATCACGACCCCATCTAGAAGTGCTACTAGCATGCTCATCAGGGTGTGTGTTCTCCACCAACAGCAGACTGTGATTGTGCCATATCCGACCGTGGCCGTCCTAACATAGGAGATTGTTCGATGCAAGCCTAGGCTCACCCCAAGGCCAGATCACGTTTTGCTCACTATACCGGATCATAGCCGCAACACATCGGGCCGGCGACAAGACCTGGCAGGGGGAGATAAAAAGCTCTTTGCCTGACAGAGTGGGACATGCATATTGCGTACATGACTGGACCACCCGCAACCGACCCTGGGCGAGCGGTAAGTAAAATCCAAATCCCCTGGCGCTCGTAATCCTGTGGCGCCTGGCACCTGGCGTAGGAGCCACACAAGGGCCTTTGATCAATCGGGCAACATTATTCTTCACCGGGTTCCAATACACGTTGGTTGGCTCGTTCAGTCGAAAATTTTTACAAAACTGTTGAGGATTGTCCCGCCTTAAGCTCTAGGAGCTAAAGTGAGCAAGAGCCTCAGTCTGAACTCTGTCCGTCGTGGCTTCGTACATTCTTGTTGCCACTTTGCTTCAGGAAGCTCTGAGTATAGCACTCTGAAGGCCATAGAATTTGTACGCTGTATGATGTGAGCTATGCGAAGCTAAAGAAATAAGAGTTTCTTGTTTAGGATGCGTGACTTCAATCATCAGACGAGAAGCTCAAGATTGAGATCCATAGCTTATCTGTAAACCACGTAAGTAGTAAGGACAAAGGGCGTGTGCAACCCTCCCAAGCTACCACAGCAAGTGACTGCTTTGGAAGTGAAAAGACTGTGGGTGCTTAAACAAATAGCCATAGATCAGGCTACCTCAAACTAGATAGATGCTCGGGGTTGTTAGCCATCCTGGCACGCTGTCAAGGATGTCTTCGATGTGTATGTATCGTACCCCATCTATCTGTCGATCTGATCCTCCAGGATCATCTCTCGTCGCAAAATGTCGACTTGTAAGACAACGTCGGGTATGCTCCAGTGCGTGAACAATACTGTGGGACTGAACCTGCAAGGCATTCCGGCGTGCTTCTTCCAGGTCTAGTCGATTTTCGGTAGATCTTGGGTTGTATCTCGTAGTTATTAAACTAAGTAGCATGCACAATGTTGGTACAGTGCAGTACGCTTCAGCATTTAGCAGCATGGATTCGTTCCAGAGGCTGTCTTTCCGCATGACAGCCTGGAAGCAGTCGTCACTCTGAAGGCCTGATAGGTGTCACTGAGTGAAATGCCCTGTAATAATTCACTGTCATGCAGAACGTGGGAGAGGGTTGGCCTAGGCCTTGCATATAGAGAACTTGCATACAGAGGCGTCCCATGCCTGCAGGTTGTTGCATTCTCAGTGTCAACCTCTCCATCCCGCCCATGCTTCAAGCGAAATACCTCGTGTCAGGCAGAAGCGGTCGTCAAGAGAGGCACTTCCACTGCTGTTTTCTGGTAATAACCTAAAAGACGGACGAGGCTGACACCAACTGGGTGGCCCGTTGATAAAATTGAAGCTCGACACCTGATGCTGGTATATCAGAGACTTCAGGATAGACACTTGGCCTTCCACTTGAGAGCGTGATAAAAAGGTCAGTTAGAGCATAGGAGAGGGTGGACAACTGTCAATTACAGACTAACATCTCCGTTCTGACAAAGGGAAAATCTCATAGGAAACGCAGCCATGGCGCGGCAGGATTCGTGAAGGGTGGTGAAATACAGGGCCACGAAGGACAAGGGCATGGGTTGCCATTTCTAGACCGGCCCGCATGGCATTAACGTGAAGCAGAAGCCACGTCCCCACCCCAGAAAATCTGGATGAACACGTCAAGGCTTTCATTGGATCGCGAGAACGCCAAGTATCCTCTCCCTGGCCTGAGGACTCATCGTCATGTACTGTCATTGAATGGTAGTACCGGGGCAGACATTGTCCTAGGATCTCCAATTTGTGTTCTTTTGCAGTCGCAGAGTCCGGCGATATGCCAGAGTCAAGGTAAAGTACAGGACGGCAACAGGTGGGTAGCTGTGCAGGGTCACAATCGCGGCACAGAGGCGAGATGGACGACGTGCAACCGTATCAGCGAGTGGCTTTATTCAGGTGTCTCAACAGGATACTCCAAGTCCAGGCGGGTTCGTAGAGGCTCAGAGCACAAGCTCTCGAAGCTGCCACACCTAGCTTAGCGAGCATGCAGACCGGGGGTAGGCAGGGAAGGGCAAACGGTTACCTCATCGCCAGCTTCTTATCGAGTAATGAGGATTATAGCCTTTTCCGAGCTACCTCTCTAGCACATGCTATATGAGATATCTAAATGATATTTGGGGGCGAAAAGTGGGCGCTCTGCACCTGTTCGAAAACACGCTTCTCCACAAACCAGCTTCCTGAGATGCCGTGTACATAGGATCTCGAGGTACCTAAGTCAGCCGTTAGCCTCAGACTAGACTCGGTGCTGGTGATATAATGTTCTTTGAGGTTTGACTTTGATTTCGTACTGAAAGCTTGGTCCTGTGTATTGATCTGGAACGTCGATATGTGTGTCTTGTGGTAAAGCATCTTGCTTTAGTCTCGAGGTGTTTTGGAAATCTAAAATAAGCGACAGGTGGCGCTAAAATAGGGAGATGGCAAGGCAAGGACCACCGAAGAGGGCGCCTTCCCGAGCGAATCTTCGCACATCTAGCACATGCCTATTCAAAAGATGCTCTCCCGCTCTGCTTTGTGGTTTCAAAAGAGTACTTTGAAGACGGAGGTCTCGATATTTCGATATGTTGATAACCGTTGGGTGCTTTCATAAGATATCGGTATCTACCTACTGCACCTTCTCCGTCCGGTACGAATTACGACTGACTGCAAGTTTACAAGGTGTTCTAATGTTTGGCAACATGATCCTCTAAAGACTGATCAATCATCACCTAGTAGGCGAGTCAATTTCCAATGAGCTAAAGTCGAATCCACCTAAGTAGCTGGTAGCTGATAGCTGATGTGATTAAGTTTCTTAATATCGTACTTGTACCACGCGCATAGAAGCATCGCAAAGACCTTGTCAGTGCCCGTGCCTGTACCTCGCAGGTATCTAAACCTTGCGTTGTTCGAGTGGCCGGGTACAACGACTTCCACAGCGACCTGAGAATAATTATATCCCAATAAATTGAATAAAGTACAGATTCGAGCCTTATCAGAAGGCACTTGCATCTATGACTTGCATCTACAACCTTACGTACTTCTTACTGTACCGGGACCGCTCGTATGTCAAGATTAGATAATGTGATCGAGTGGGCAAAGATGTCTCAACCCAGTGAGCGTGCTGGGGATGACTGACATGGATGCGACCAGGGCCTCATCTTCTACGAGTAATATGAGATATTCGGTCGATGCACGACATACTACCTAGCTGCTGCTAATAAGGGAACAGCGTTGACAGCATTGTCTTGCCTACCGTGCCAAAAAGGCTGTTTCATTGTGCCGCTCTAGCCTCGATAGGCTAGCATTGCCAGTCAGGGATTCTCTTCCCGTGCTGAGCCAGGGCGCCCGGCCTGGTCGTGTTCGCCCGCATCAGCTACCATCCACCCTCCATTCACATCCCGTCCCCCCATGTGCCAGGTCTGCCGTATCCCCGTTCGTCATCAGAACTGCACTGTAGGTATTCCCGTGAGCTATAAGTTGCCATGCTAAGGTAGCCTTGGAGCTGGGCTAGCGGCACTGAATCTGGCCACCCCAATACGCTGGTGTTCTAGGTATGCTGTTATCACATATGAGAAGTGCCCTATCATTGGGTGGTGACCGTTGGCATCTGGGCGCGAGAGCTGTAGTGTAACCAACGCGAAAGCACCAACTAAAAAGGCAACCAGAAGGCAACTTGGCGAATGCTCTCCTCTTTAGCATCAGCGAGCAGAGACATAAGCCATCTCACCAGATGGCATTGACAGCAGCATCTCAAGTCCAGCTCTCAATCATTCAAAGCTTGCCTCAATATCTGCGACCTCGAACAAAGAGGCTATGCTGGGCCTTACCGAAGACATGTCTTGTCGGTCTAAGGCTCACTACGCCCCAGGACACAGTGAATTGCACCCTGAGCTGTGCCTGCTTACGATTGCGGTGACACAAGCTCTAGAGGATCTGCCTAACCCACTGGATCCGACTTGTACAGTATTGTAGGTTGCTAGTAGACAACAATTAGAGCCATCTGTTGTGTCAGCCGTGACGAACATCTCTTCCTCAGTGGTTGGCAACACACCGACGTCCAGCTCAGTGACACCACCACCTCAAGGTGTTTAAAGCCACCAGATTACTGTCTCGCGCATAATGGACCAGGCGTAGTGTCGTTGGAATACTTCCTACTGTGCTAGGACAGGAGTAGGGGTTTGATATTGGCAAAAGAGTAGTCTTTAAGGATGTGTTACCCATGCAGTCCTCGAGGACTCGTTAATTATGGGGAATCTCGCGCAGTACCTCTAGTGCCCTTGCTTCGGCCGTGTTCAAGTAGGTAGTGGATTGAGTGGAGATCGAGATTGGCAAGCGCCTGTTAGGTATCCAGGAATAAGTCGCCTACCCTGGTATCATCCTTGGGGAGGTGGAAAACTCTGCCAGGTCCGTATGTACTGAGCAGTCTGAGGAAGCTTGGCCCGGGGGAGACAGATGCCATCTCTACCTCTCCACATTGACAAGTCCCTTTGGTTTTAGTCTCTTCACACCTGACCATCAGACCAGCTGGCCAATGGGTATGTCGAATAGGTTAATTGTGGTGTTGGATGCACATTCTGCATAGGTAGGAGAAGCACTCTCACTTTGCATTATCCAAACCTTGGCAGGTGTCTTTGTTTCCTGTGTTTCCAAGAGACAAGAGACTGTACAAGGCCGTCCTTTTCCCTAAAAGAAAAAAAAAATCCATCTTTCCAGCGAAGAAATCAGGTTCGTGGCAGTAATTCTCTGTCTGGTCAACAGATCAGAGGCGAATCCCCCCCTTAAAGGAGGGAAAAGGAAGAGAGAAAAAAAAAAACCCTTGTTAGCACAACAGAATAAGCGTGTGAAGTCACCTTAATCGATTAATTGCCTCTGATCTAGAAGTAACCCACCAAATGCATGCTGTGCCTGGAACGCGTCTTTTATTCTCTCCCTTTCTCACACTTTCTCTAGTCTGGAAGTGGAACATCTGAGGCACCCTGTGACTGGATACCTCACGTTACCTGACGTGATACCTAGGTAGGTAGGCTGTTCCTCCACTCATTCTCCATCCATTCACTCTTCCTGCACGCGTCTGTAGCCTTTTTTCCCCGAAGCAATCCTTGCGACAGGAGCACCCGCTCAGGCACACCACGCCCATCCCATCAACACTTACTGTACAGACAGGCTTACCTTAGAGTATCTAGGTGGACACATTCAACCCTACCTAGGAACCAACGTACCCTGGAGCCACCACCAGCACCACCACCACATACTGCCCTACCTCAACAGTACCTGGACAGTAGTGTGTGTACATTCTTCTGCCTCTTGTAGGAGTGACCGACTGGTAAGACCTCCACTCCTCTATTGTCGTCGTCGTCCTCTTCTCAGTCCACCTACCACCACCTTGCCCTCTGCCGTCGTGTCTTGCCCCTCCCCCCAATCCTAAGAAGAAGCCTAGCTGTTCATTTGCATGTACCTAGGTACCAGCAGCACAGAGTTGCACACCTACAGTTACAGGAGCATACCTAACTACCTACCTTAGCAAGCTACCTAAGGTAGGTAGATTATCTACCTGTTTCTGATGACAGCCGCATGGAGTGGTTGAATACCCTACCTAGGTATCTACTGTAGGTAGTTGCCGTGGTTGTGGTTGTGGTTGCTTCAGCCTGCCCTGGTCTGGTCTGGCCTGTTTGTCTGTCGTGCCTGAGGTACCCGATCGCATTTGCCGCTAGCTGGTTTGTCCGTTTGGCTTTTCAGGTCGCGCAGCCTCCTCGGACGCCTCCTCCTACTCCAGCTCCGCTTTCTGCTCACTCTGCCGTCCATTTCATCAATCACCACCTGCTGTTGCTGTTGCTATACCTTACCCCAACCCATCCATCACACACGCACACACACACACACACACACACATCCATCCATCCACATCCCCATCCACATCCACCACACACGCACATCCGTAACCAATCTACCCATCTCAATCCACTCTGGTAGGTACATTTGCGCACCCTGACACCTCTCGAAGTTTCTGCACTCTGCGGTCTGCACCAAGTACGGTACAACCACAAAGGTACATACCGTACAGTACAGTACGGAACAGACAGACCAACACTGACTGACTGACTGGCTGCCTGCCCTTTCCGTTCTTTTCCCTAGCATTTGTCTTGTCTTGCCTTCCCTTTCCCTGCCCGGGGGCTTGTTCTTCCCTGCATCTTCCTGCAGCCTCCTGGACCGCCGTGGACCCATACCCATCCATCGTTGAGCGGCACCTCGGCGTCAACCAACGCGCGGCATCCCCTTCCCGCCTACTCCTCCATCGTCTGCGCGCCTGCTGCAGCTTCCACTTGCTATCGCATCGCATCACATCGCATCGCATCGTCTCACAGTACATTGTAGTGCAGCGCAGCAGCGCAGCGCAGTACAGTACACTGCAGGCCATCGCGTATCCTACCCATACCCATACCCATACCATACCTTGGCATACCTCTCCTCCTGCCGGCTCGACTCGTCGCCTACATCTCGCGCGTCCCGCTTCAAGCATTTAGTTGGTCCTAAGCTAATCCTCCCTCCCAAAGCAGAAGAGTGGCAGTCTGTAGCTGTTGTTACAAGCAAGTCTCTTCATCAGAGAGTCGTTCGTTTGTTTGTTCACTCGCTCGCTCGCTCGCTCGGCCACCACAACGAGAAGACCCTTCTCCCCCAGATCTCCGATATCAACGCGGCTAAGTACGACAAGCATTGAGAATACTATATGGCCATGGGTACGTCCTCGGCATCCAAACTCTCTCTTTCCCTCCACCTCCTCCTCTACCTCTACCTCTCCTCTTCAGTACCTACCTTACCTACTTGCTCTCCATGGTCAACCTCTTCCCGACTTAAATTCCTCGCTCTTCACTTATCTTGCCCTGCACTGGCCGCTGCCTCATATCCTCCCTGCCTGAATTGCCCTCCAATTCTTTCCCCCCCTTCTCCAGGTCGTGCTTGAGACACCAACCTATCGGCCAACCGGTCTGCATACCTCGCTGTCGTGAGCAGTCTTCAAATGCCTCGATGACGTGTGACCAGTGATTATACCTCACGTCGGTACCTTCCACCTCCGTTGCACTCGCCAGTCCCTGCCTGCTGCTTGTGCCTTGTCTTGTCTGGCTCTACCTAAATGTACTTTTGGTAGCCAGCTGGCTGGCTGGCGGCGCTGCTCCTGCTCTCTTCTCGTCTCAACTGCCTCGTGTTCACAGTCACTCCCCCTGGGTACTCGCCCACTCGCTCACGCTCACGCTCACACTCACACTCCCACCCCCGTTCAATGCATCACATCACCTACCCGCCTGCCTTACCAGCTATAACACTGTCCTTGTTCCCCGCCTACCCTCCCCATATTCGTTACGCACCCCCCTCTTGGTGCATGTCCTTCCCTTCCCGGTCCACTATCGGGTCCTGTCTCTTTCCCCCCTCTCCCCGCCGCACCCCCAACCGCCGGCCTGTAAAAGTCGCCACTGTACATTTCTTTCCTCTCTGCCTTACTTACTTCCCTTACATCCATTAAACTTCGTTTCAACCCGATTCGCTTTCCTTCCTTCTTGGACCGGCTTTCTAACACCACAACGTACTATCTAGCAGATTCAGGAGATACTTATCGTCCCGTGAGCTTCTCCTTTTCCCATTCATTTGCACATTTTGTTGGATCCATGTCTCTCTGTCGCCGTTGTTTCTCAGCTTGCTTGCGCCTCTGGGCATAGACCGTCGCGCCACGGTAAGAGTTTAAAAGACGTGCCGATGGTCATACCTGACGTCTGTCTTCATCTTTCGGACAAGGGTTGTCGTCGTTGAGAGAGTCGCGGTTTCAAAGACTCACTCTCTGGCTGCGGGTCATCCGCTCTGGTGGCGCTGTTAGGCTTCGCATGCCGTCACCTACAGCCGCATAATACGCCATGAGGTAGCCAGTTCTGCGTTGTCGAGGCACCGGCACGAAGTCCGCAGCGGTCTGCACCAGAGCGGCTAGTTCGGCCGAGACATTACGGCTACACCTGGGAGACATGGGTCCATCAGTGTTCGAGTGAGACAGTGCAACTGACAAATCACAGCGTGAGAGGTCTCGCTCTCCTCGTCGTCGGTCTCGGAGCCCAAATCGTTCTGGACGTCGGCGGTCGTACTCACCTCGAAGCGGATCTCGGAGTCCCGATCACCACAGGAGAAGATCTCGGAGTCCCATGAGCGGTCAAGGCCCTGCAGCAGGAGGTTCGGGTCCGGGTTACGGGGCGCCCCATAGGTCTTACGAGGAACGTCAGCAGGCGAGAGAGCAAATGATGAATAGTCTCAGAGAGACATCGCAGCAGGACCGCCGAGTCTACGTCGGCAATCTTTCCTACGACGTCAAATGGCATCACCTTAAGGACTTCATGAGGCAGGGTGGGTCGATTTGCAGCATCAGCGAGACTTGAAGGATAGGAGGCTGACAGGGTGTTGCAATCTTTAGCTGGAGAGGTTCTCTTCGCCGATGTTTTACTGCTTCCAAATGGAATGTCGAAGGTGGGCTTCTACACGTAGTTTTTGGCTGGCTTTCCCCCCGGTTCCCCTCTCTTGGTCTACTTTGATGGAATCGTTGGATTGACGGGTTGGGACATTGTCCATCGGTATTTGTAGGGATGCGGGTAAGTCCTCTCAACCGACATTGGCGTGAGATCCTTTGCTAACATGCCTTCTCCACCTGTAGTATTGTGGAATATGCTACGAGGGAGCAAGCCCAAAACGCCGTCGCGACGCTCAGCAACCAGAACTTGATGGGACGACTCGTCTATGTGCGGGAGGTGAGTACCACGGCTGTGAGCAGTCCGGGAGTGGTGCTAAGACTAGATCAGGACCGCGAGGCGGAACCACGATTCAACCCGCCCGGTGGCGGCGGCCGCGGTGGTTACGGCGGCGGAGCCATGGGCGGCGGTGCTGGTGGTGGTCCGGCTTACGGCGGCGGTGGCGGCGGTGGCGGTTACAACGCTGGCGGGATGGGCAGTCGACAGATCTACGTCGCCAACGTTTGTCATCTCCCTTTCTTCCCCCCTTGATACTAATCCTAGGCAATGAGTTCCGTGTTAACTTTTCACCCTAGCTCCCCTTTACTGTAGGTTGGCAAGATCTGAAAGATCTCTTCAGACAAGCAGGTGAGACTTGGGAATCTAAGCCCACGCGCGTCGTTGTGTACTTTTGATCGCTAACCTTACAGCTCGGACTGCTGGTGTTATTCGTGCCGACGTACACCTCGGACCCGACGGTCGACCTAAGGGCTCCGGAATCGTCGTCTTCGAGAGCGCCGACGATGCTCGCAACGCCATTCAGCAGTTTAACGGATATGAGTGGCAAGGTCGCCTGCTCGAAGTTCGCGAAGATAGGTTCGCCGGATCTGGCATGGGCGGTGGCTTCGGCGGCCGTGGTGGATTCGGTGGAGGTCGAGGTGGATTCGGCGGCGGCTATGGCCGTGGCGGTTTCGGTGGTGGAAGAGGTGGCTTCGGATACGGAGGACGAGGCGGCTACTCTGGAGGCGGCTACGACGGTGGTGCCGCCGGGGGCGGTGGTGGTGCTGCTGCCTCTGTTCCACCGAACCCATTCACCGATTTCGCAACGGCCGGTACGGATAGGAGCGAGATCATCTATGTCCGCAACGTAAGAATATTCATAGACACTGTCTCTCGTTCTTGGATTCCGCTGACCAGCCACAGCTTCCCTGGTCTACCAGCAATGAAGACCTGATCGAGTTGTTCGGCACCATCGGCAAGGTGGAGCAGGCTGAGATTCAATACGAACCCAGCGGTCGATCTCGAGGCTCTGGCGTTGTTCGATTCGATTCTGCCGAAACAGCGGAGACGTCTATCGCGAAATTCCAAGGTTACCAATACGGAGGGCGACCCCTTGGCTTAAGCTTCGTCAAATATTTGACGCCCGGCGGAGGAGATAGCATGGATACCGATCCTCATGGCGGTCTGACCCAAGATCAGATCATGTAGAGAACAACACCTGCTTGCTCTGCAGGAGATGATCCAGGATCCAGGGGCTTGACTACTCGCCCTACTCGCAGTTTTCAACGACCCATCTCCACTGTTTGTCTCCTTTCCTTCCTACGCCCGTCTTAATGGAGCAACACACATTATTATGGTTGCGGCGACACAACTTATTGTACTCTTGCTTTCCTTTTCTATCGCTCGTTCCGTTTCTTTTTCTTATCTTGAACCCAAAATCGACGAAAACTGAGGACAACGGGGGAGCACATGCTCTGGTTGCGTCACCGGGGCAAAACTAATTGATACTGGTTGTATCCTCTATGACAATGGATGGCGGAACAGTCGATGGATTGAGATGGCTTGACCTCTTCGAAGGTCTCGTCCTTGTGACAGACCCGGCACCCTACCCTGTCTCGGGAAACTAAAAAACGCTCTTGTCTTGATGGTCTGAGTACCTGTGTGGTTATAACTGAAAATGGGGGATTGGAAGCATCTATTTAGAATGACCTCGAATAGCATCTGATTCTCCTAACCGTGGTGGCGTTTAAGGGATGGCGTCGGCAATGGCGGTGGACCACCGAGATCCTACTGAAGCGTGTGGATTGTTGAGGTATGCTCAAGGCTCCCAAGTCAAGCAGCGTGTAGTGGGGAATGTCCCTGAGCCATGGGGCATGCGTGTGTGTGAATCCGCTACCTTACGTGTTCGGGACATGCTGTGTAGGCTCTGTCAGTGGTCCTGTGTCATTTGACTGGCAAAACCTACCTGGATACCTAGGTACCTAAGGGTGGTAGGTGGTCCTTGTCCAAGGACGGTATTGCCATTGAATTACGAGGTTACAGATTTTCTTGAACGAGAGAATGATAGCAAAACCAACTCAGACAATCTGCGTTCCCCTGCATCGGGGAGCCGCATTTTTGTCATTCTGAAGTGTCTGTTGATCAATTTCATCGATTGCCTGTGAAATCGTGCCCCTTTCTTTACCCTGTCACTGTTTGCTAGGCCGTTCTAAAGTCCTAGGCTGGCATGGCAAATTCGCCAACACCTTGATTTCCACATTAGGAGGAGCCTGTTGTCCATGATTCGTATCCCGCCAAATCTTTCACGTTTCCTCGTCTCTGCGACGGATGACAGCACAGCTTAGTTGTTAGTTGTCCAGTTTGAGTTAGATGTGTTTTCACTTATTTGACTATGGTATTCTCCCATGTGAGGGCGGATATGCCAGATCTCGTTGGATCGTCACACCTAAAGATAGCCACGGATTTATCGACAATAGTCTACTTGACCTTGCGCCTTTTGATCGAAGACAACTTTCCGAAAAATACTAGAGTCTATAAGCTGCAGTTATGCCTTGTCGATGCTGTGCGGCGGAGAAATAAACGTGCGAACTGCATTTCTACCGGTGCCTCTGCGGCAATGCGTGGACCACGTACAAGAAGCTAGCAAGCCGTCATGGTGGCATTTCAAGGAAAAGATGCCCTGAAAGACTACGTATGCTGGTTGGCGACTACAGGCGGCCTCGGAGCCGGGTGCATCGCTACTGCAGGGAAACTAGAGGAATTCATGACTGTATGGGGGACTAGATGTTGTGCGAAGAGCACTGCGAGCCTCTTGATAGGAGGAACATGGCGAGATTGGCGCAGACCTCTGCCCTTACGACAATTGTGCATTTTTCAAACCAGGTGCTCAATGCTAGTCGTGAAAACCATGAGGAAGGAGAGCGGTAGTGATAGTAATTTCAACTGAAGTGACTAGCCTTCCTGGATTCCGTGGTAGGCTGCATAGATGGCAAAATGCCCACAGAGAGCATTTCGCAGTTCAATAGGTATCAACAGGGACTTGAATTCACAAATAACAACGTTTACTCAGGAGGTATCAGGCTTGTTATACTGCTATAAACATACGCCGATGATCCCGCTTCTTTACGCGCTTCGTTCTTGATTATCCCTAGTCGTGCAGAATACCAAGGCACTATACCAGACAATTGTTGGATGAGTCTGATCATCAAAGGATTTCACGTGTGCCAACGATGACCGCCAGGTCGAGATGACCCGAGCCCCTCCGATATGCGATTCATGGACTGGCTGTATGACCAAACCAATGAAGGTTGGTTGAACATAGCGCTGAGCCCTCCGAACGGTAGCATCCAACTCATGCCATGCATATCTAGACATAGCCAAAGCTGCCTCTGAATGCCAGTACCACGCCTGATTTTAACTCTCGAGTCAATGGCTATAGAACATTAAGCGGCGCCAACACCGGCAGGACCACCCTTCTTCTTCCTCGCCTTAGCCTTCCGCTTGCTTCGATCTCTCGGTTTCAAGGATGACATGCCTGCTCTGCAGACCTCTGCATAGCGCGCATAGAATGCCTCCAGCGCATCAGATTGGACAACAGTTGCAAGCTTCACCTTATCGCTCCGTTTCTCCTTGGACTTCCCATTTGTCGCGCGAACCAGTATCGGCAGGGGCGTATCATGGTGTACATCCGCGAAGTCATCTTCGTCTGTTGCCATAGCACTATCCTGCCCGTGACTCACTAGATCATTTCCATCAGCTGGTCCCAGACTTCTTACCGAGCAAGCGGGATAGAGCAGGAGCCTGATATGATGCCCGCCCAAATTATAGGATGAGACAGGCAGGTCTATGAATGAAGGATCAACGTACATCGTTTCTGAGTCAAGTAGATTGCGCCGTGATCCTTTCCTTTCCGAGAGCCAAACAAGTCTCCTAATCGAGTGAAGAACTAGACCATGAATTAGCAACGGTTACGGGAGGAGTTGAGCTGATCGCCACATGCCTCATCATGTGAGAGGTGGCTGTCAGCCATGGCCTCGAGGCTAAAGAGTTGACAGTTCTCACGATCGTACTCAAAGAAACTCTTCAGGGTTCTGAGAGCTGAAGGGAGTGAGAGGACGAGGCAGAGATCAGGATGGTCACTCCCAAACAGGAGAGAGAGTGAAGCTTGACAGGGTCGATGGCACACCAAGAAAAAATGCCCCGCGATTGAGTTGACGTTCTTTTTAGGGTGGGGAGAGGGGCGGATTAGTGAAATAGTTAGGCGGATGTTAGTGCACTCTGGAAGACCCCATCGGATTGCGTCCCGCTGGTTGAACTGGAAGATCTTGACCCACCTCCAAGGCAGGCAAAACCTAGAAGAAAAAAAAAAGGCGGCGATAACACAGCTACCAAGAAATACGTCTTAGCAACTGCCACAAATCCGGCTTGTTCGCTGCTTCGCCAGTGGCCGATGAAGACATGCCTTCTGAACGAAAGCGCCCAACCCTCCCCGGGACGCTGCTAAAACAACTTGGTGTTCCTGGTAAGCAACCAGTACATGTCTACTTGCCATCTCCCAGCAGGTACACTGGTTCCAGCATCAAATTAGAATAGTCATGCAAGACGGCAGCTTGCTGACAGTAGATCCCGCAGAGCCCCAAGAAAGACAGGGCAGGTCACGGCCACGATCAATCTCTCGAAAAGAGCGCAGAAAAGCCGACCGATCTCAAAAGAAGCAACACCGCGGCTCTTCAGCCCAGCAACATGCCAGGGATCGGCTACCGGCTGACAACGACAGCCCACCCCCGCCGAAGAGACGGAAAACAGGGCAGGAACCCGCACCACAAGTCGCACCTCCGAAGTCGATCCTGAAGAAGCAGAAATCAAGAGAAGAGCACTTTGCGGCTGATGATGGTTCCTTTGACGACGATAGCGATTCCTCCCAAGAACCGGACGTCCCATTACGGACGAAGAAGGTCCCTAGAGCGACTCGCGATAAGTTGGCTGAAGATGACGCCGAGATTGCAGCATTGGAGTCCAAACTAGGTCTCAAGGGTCGAAAATCGCTGCCCAAGTCTTTCTACGATGAAGGACTGGGCGATCTGCTGGAAGATCTGGGAAGTGAAAACGAGGATGGCGAGACTGCGGAACGAAGAAAGATCAAGGCCGAGGCAGACGAGTGGCTCGCACAGAAGAGGAGGAACCGCCGAGTGTCTGAGCTGCAGCAAGCACATCCTAGCTCCGAAGAAGAGGAAGAAGGCATGGGTGATCTTGAGGACGATTTTGGTGACAGTGACAGCTTAGGTCTCGGCTCTGGCTCATCAGAAGCAGAACTCGACGAGGAAGAGGAGCACGAAGGTCTTGAAGATGGATCTGAAAGCGAAGATGAGCTCGAGGGTATCGACTCAGATACTGCAGCCGCAGAGGACACCCAGCCTCGAATACGTGAAAACCCCTATGTTGCACCGTCAACAGGACCCAATGTTGCAAAATATGTGCCTCCGGCTCGGCGCGTGGAGACGGGATCAGATGCCGAATTGGTGTCTCGAATTCGCAGGCAGACTCAGGGGCTGGTCAATCGACTCACCGAATCCAACCTGGTATCTATTCTCGGTGATGTCGAGAAACTTTACAGAGACTATCCTCGACAGCATGTCACAAACGTCCTCGTCGAGGTGCTACTAGTCCAGGTAGCCGAGCCCACCAGCTTGCCTGATACTCTCCTGATTCTGATAGCGGGATTCGCCGCTGCGACTTACAAGGTCATTGGCATGGATTTCGGTGCCTTTCTTGTCCAGCGCGTAGTGGAGACATTCAAGGAGTACCATGTCAAAGCCAGCACGCTCTATGCAACGCCGCAAGACATCACCAAAGAGACATCAAACCTTATCACACTAATATCGGAATTCTACAACTTCCAGCTGATAGCTTGCGATTTAGTTTTTGATTACGTGCGATTACTACTGGGAGACTTATCCGAACTTCATGCTGAGTTGCTCCTGCGAATCATCCGAATGTGTGGGCCACAACTTCGTCAGGATGACCCTTTAGCTCTGAAGGACATTGTCTCCCTTATACGACCTGCTGTCGCAAAGATTGGGGAGGCGAACATATCCGTTAGAACGAAGTTCATGATTGAGACCATCAATGATCTAAAGAATAACAAGCTCAAAGCTGGAGCCAGTGCGTCAGCAGTCATCTCAGAGCACTCAACCAGGATGAAGAAGCTGCTTGGATCGTTGACTTCGAGGAAACTCAAGGCCACGGAACCCCTACGCATCAGTTTGAAGGATATCGAAGATTCAGACAAGAGAGGGAAATGGTGGCTTGTTGGAGCTAGTTGGGCGGGGCCATCAGGCCACGGACAGGTAGGAGAAGGCTCTAGGAAAACGCCTGAAGCGAATGAAGACAACGATGAGCTGCAATTAGATGACGAAGAAGCCGGTCCTGATCTCTCCGCTCTTGCCAGGGAGCAGATGATGAATACAGATGTGCGACGCTCCATATTCGTTGCTATCATGTCAGCTGAGGACTACGAGGATGCTTACATTCGCCTGCTCAAGCTCCACCTCAACAAAGACCGTCAAAAGGAGATTGCCAACGTGCTAATACAATGCGCTGGTGCCGAACAGCAATATAATCCTTACTACGACCTGATTGCGAAAAAGCTATGTGGCGATCGCAAGGTGCGTTACACTTTTCAGGATTGTCTATGGAAGCTCTTTCGGCGGTTGGGCGAATCCATCTTTGGAGAAGAAGCAGAAGACGAGGAAGAGGGAGATGAGTTGGTGGACATGCGCCGCCTTGTCAATGTGGGGAGGATGTTCGGCTCACTCATAGCGAGTGGTACACTGGGGCTGAGCATTCTGAAGTGTCTGAACATGGCCTACCTCCGACCCAAGACTCGGGCGCTCCTCGAAGTGATGCTGATTACACTCCTCGTGGATGCGGAGAAAAGACAGGGTGAGGCGACGGAGAAGATTTTCAAGTCGATAGGAGACTCTCCGGAGCTTTGCAGAGGCTTGCAGTACTTCTTGAACAAGGTCGTCCGCAAGTCGGATCTTGTTAGCAAGGCTGAGGTTAGAGCTGTCAAAAAGGGGTGCAAGGTGGCACACACGGCTCTTGACAGCGTCATGGTGGCGGACGAGGCAGACTAGAATACCGATACGGCTAGCATTCTCCAGTCACGAGCTGTTGGCCTTCATGCACTCGTGTTTGGGCAATCTTGAAGATTTGTCAGCTATGGCAACCTCACCAGTCCTACGATGCAGGCGAGGCTCAAGTGGGAATCCAACACAGTTATATTCGTGCTTCAGGCATCACAAATGGTCGAAGGCTATTTAGAATCGAGTACACGCGACCTAGTCTGTGCTGGGTCATGAGGGTGTGACATGCAGCGATATGATCTCGTCTGGTCTATCTCTACCTGCCTATAGATCCACTCGACGCGTTACATACAGCATTGCCTAGGTAGTCAAGTAGGCAGTTGATGATTACTCACTTCCACCGACGTTGGCGTTGATGGTGACGATTGTCGTAGTGCTTGACCTGCTAGTGGCTCAAGCTAAACTTAGTAGGATAAAACTTGGGGGGGTTTATTGCCGCAAAAAGTTGGCCTGCCATTCGCCTGTTGCCGGGAAAACACGGCATAACGTTAACATTTAACGGGCAATGCGGTTGTGGTTGCCGTAAATATAAGGCCGTCCAACAGTTTGGCACCGCCAGAAAAAAAGAGCTCGCTCGGTTCAACAACATCGTAGCTCCCCCTTCCGCAGTCCCGACCCCAGAGCTCCGAAATCCCATCACCACCAACTCACATCTCACAATGCTGGCCAGCCGGTTAATACCACGAACTGCGGTTCGCTCCGCGTTCCGAACGCAGTCCGCCCTACCCTCAATTGTCCCGGCCGCGAGGTGGAGACGGACCTATGCTACAGAAGCCGAGGAGAAGGATCTCGTCATCATTGGAGGCGGCGTTGCTGGCTACGTCGCCGCCATAAAAGCTGGTCAGGAGGGCTTGAAGGTGCGTCTTTCACATCTCGGAGAGCTCATTCTCAAGGCTCTCTGCTCGTACCTGTCTCTGCGCGTTGTTGGGCTGCACGTGGGAATGGGACCGTCTGTGCAACACCTCGATGGCGGAATACTGGACCTCACTCTACAGACCATTTATGAAGCAGAGGCAAGTTCTGGGGCATATTGCTAACTTATCTATCTCAGGTCACCTGCATTGAGAAGCGTGGAACTCTCGGCGGCACTTGTCTCAACGTCGGCTGCATTCCCTCAAAGTCCCTCCTCAACAACTCGCATCTTTACCATCAGATTCTTCACGACACGAAACAGCGTGGTATTGAGGTCAACGATGTCAAGCTGAACCTCAAGCAGCTGATGAAGGCCAAGGACCAGTCGGTTGCTGGTCTTACAAAAGGTGTGGAGTTTCTGTTCAAGAAGAACGGCGTCGAGTACATAAAGGGCGCAGGCTCCTTCGTCAACGAGCACGAGATCAAGGTGGAGCTGAATGACGGAGGCGAGACTAGCGTTGTCGGCAAGAATATCCTCATCGCCACCGGAAGCGAGGCGACTCCTTTCCCCGGCCTCGAGATCGATGAGCAGCGCGTCGTCAGCAGTACCGGCGCCATCGCTCTGGAGAAGGTACCCGAGTCCATGGTCGTCATCGGTGGCGGCATCATTGGACTAGAGATGGCCTCTGTCTGGTCGAGGCTAGGCTCCAAGATCACCGTCGTTGAGTTCCTTAACCAGATTGGTGGCCCCGGCATGGACACAGAGATTTCAAAGCAGGCGCAAAAGATCTTGAAAAAGCAGGGCATCGAGTTCAAGCTCGGCACCAAGGTCGTCAGTGGAGACAAGACTGGCGACAAGGTGAAGCTTGAGGTGGATGTTGCAAAGGGCGGCAAGCCGGAGACAGTAAGTTCGGGAATTATACGTATGTTTATCGGGTACATCGACTGACGTACACTTTTTCTAGCTCGACGCTGATGTCGTCCTTGTTGCCATTGGTCGCCGCCCATATACCCAAGGTCTAGGCCTCGAGAACATCGGCATGGAGCTTGACGAGCGGGGACGTGTCATCATTGACTCCGAATACCGAACCAAGATTCCCCACATTCGATGCGTCGGAGACGTCACCTTTGGTCCCATGCTGGCACACAAGGCAGAGGAGGAGGCTGTCGCCGTCGTTGAATACATCAAGAAGGGCTACGGCCATGTCAACTACGCCGCGATTCCCTCCGTCATGTACACCTACCCTGAAGTGGCGTGGGTTGGCCAGAGCGAGCAAGATCTGAAGTCAGCGGGAGTCAAGTATCGTGTGGGAACCTTCCCATTTAGCGCCAACTCCCGTGCGAAGACGAACTTGGACACTGAGGGCATGGTCAAGATGATTGCAGACCCTGAGACAGACAGACTCTTGGGAGTTCACATCATTGGACCTAACGCTGGTGAGATGATTGCAGAAGGTACCCTCGCGCTAGAGTACGGTGCGTCAAGCGAGGATATTGCACGGACTTGCCACGCGCATCCTACTCTCGCGGAGGCGTTCAAGGAGGCCGCGATGGCCACACACGCTAAGGCGATCCATTTCTAAGGGCTTGTAAGGGTGTATATGGGATGGCCGGCTTCCCTTGTTTCTTGTGTATTTTCACTAGGGCCGGCAGGTGTAACAGTAGATCACCCCGATAGACATGCATGAAAACAGTCTGATGGCAGTTCCTTCCCTGTTATTCGGTGTCTCCGAGCGACGACACGGGAGCAAGTTCGTACACGAGTCTTATATGCGTGGGATGCCTTGAATTCTGACCTGACATCCTGGACACGGTGAGCATTGGTCTATGTGTACTATCAATGAATTCAGGTCCGCTGGCGACGCAGCCACTTTAGCAAATAGACCTTGACTAATGCTGGAGTATCAAAACCTCCGATGCCTTCATATTCTGCCCGTGAGAATAATTCTTATTGGTGTAACTGGCAGCGGCTACATATATGACAGTTGAAAAATGAAGAATTCGGGGCAAAAAGCCCTCCCCCATTGCCAGGAGTATGAGGGAAAGCACCGGCCCATAGGTTTGAATATGCGTCTCCGACGTTGACCATGTTGCACCCTCCGAAAGGCGACCAGCCAGAAGAATGACTGAGAAATGGCACACAGCTGCACATGTGGTGACAAGCCACTGCCGAACTTCGGGGCCCTTGGGCTCTTAAGCCCGGGGGAATGACCCCCTGACCTGTTACCGATCCGTGGAAACCGGAACTGTGTTAAGATCAGCTGAAATACTCTCTAGCAGGGCAGAGGTCCGTATGGCAGTATATCCTGCTGGACTTTCATCTCGTCCTTACCCTTGGCGACCAGGGATACTTCCGTAACCTGGAAACTCTCAGTATTATTATACTGCTCCCGAAATGGACCATCAATAATAAAGCCTCTCACCTTGTACAAACCGAATCTCTCCATATGGCTGAGAAGGCCAAGTCCACCAAGACATCGGTGTGAATACAATCAATGTCAAAGCCTTGGTGTTGGTAGGGGATTGCGAAGCTGGACGGATAATTTGATAATTCTCCTTGGACAATCGCAACGAAGTTTTTGGTACAGCAATCCGTTGATAATCAAGCCGACATTACAGGGTCAATGGCATTTTTGAATGGGCCATAAGATAGATGAGGAATGCGTGGACTTTTAAAGGTATCACCATCTACAGAGACGTTAAGAGAGAGCACGTGGAGCTGACTTCTTACAACATGTTTGACGACCGGAGCTTTGGCAAATCTTATGACTCTGTGGCTTGCAAACACCAAGCACACATTCAAGAGAGTCATGTGAGTGAATCATCTTGTTTGCTTCATGAGTGAGCAAGTCGCGGATGTAGGAGTGGCTACAACTTACCGGCACAGATGAAGCTCACTCTCGGCATAAGAGTATGGATTCGGAGAAATCAAGCCCCACGACACGAAGATACAATGTCATGACTGATCGATGACATCCTGTGCGGGACGCCGCGTTTCCAGTAGAAGTGCCCGCGACATTTACGAAATGATGCTTCAGCTATCAACCTCCCAACGACCGGACGAGCTGGACAAACTGGACTAGTGAAACACAAGGCGGGCATGTTTTGTACCTGCAACTGCCCAGAACATCCGATAGGTAGTCGGTACTCCATCCAATGAGAACAAATGGGGGATTGTGTGAGTAGTCCGTCTTCCTGATCTAGGAAAGTGAAGAGAATGAGTACGTTGTGGGATATCCAATTAGTCCAGATCACACATGGGTTTTGCCTGTGTTAGTTTGGGACGCATGATTGGGTGCGCCATTTGCGGGTGGTCCCGCAACCCCTTTTTGTCCCTTCCAAATGTAAGCAGAGTTCCAAGAAGATGGACGCGCAAAACCATACGAGAATGGAGCCAGTTTCCTGGGCTCTCGAACTCCACAAGAGCACTAATTGGGAGAGCTGTAGGGCCGAGGTGAGCGAGGGACCAGCACCAGCCCACTTTACCCAGAAGCACCGGCGCACCACAGGGATCTCTCAGTGTCCATCTTAGCTGCTGTGGCGGGGAAATGGCAGGGCGGTGTGGGAATGCCCGCCATAGTGCTACCACACACCTGCCCACCTGCTCGACTATCTCTTCCAAGACATTCAACTTCGATGATCCGGTCCATCCGGAGTCCATCTCACAGTCGACAGCGCTCAGGCTCGTCCTTCTCATGATCAATTTCAATTGAAGGACAGGGCCCTATTCTGTCTCGCCTTGCCTCGCCTCGAGCTCCAGGTGCCAGATCGACGCATCGCTTCGAAACAGCCCTCGGTTCCAAAGACGACGGGGACGCGTTTCACTCGCCAGTCAAGCAATTGACGCTTCTCACCTTCTTCCCCGGCCGGACCCCTGTGACGATAGCCTCATAATACTAGTTTCAACAAGATGGACTCCTCGCTGCCGTCGGTCAGGACATACCCCGTCCTGTCTCGAAGGCAGATAGAGGGACAGATTGCCGATGGCCGACATATCGTTATTGTAAACCAGCATGTTCTGAAAGTTGATGCCTGGCTCAAGTACCACCCCGGGGGTGACATAGCCATCAAACACATGGTCGGCAGAGATGCCACCGACGAAGTCACCGCGTGCGTACCTACTCGACCACCACGTACCCTTATCTCCGATCAAGCGTTGCTAACCCTGGTCTCTTCAGTCTTCACTCTCTCGAGGCTGTCCAGATGATGGATAAATATCGAATCGGACGCATTGAGGGCCGCTGGAAAAACTTCCTGCCGCCAATTCAAGGAGGAATATTTCGCCCGATTTCCGAGAGCTGCGATGCCGACATGATGGATGGTTTTGAGAAGGACGAGGATGCAACCGCATCCTGCGATGCCAACTCCCGGTCACCTTCGCCAATTTTTGATAACACAGTCCCTAGCACGCGGAGCCGTAAGTCCGGTCATGGAGTCTCTCGAACTACGTCCGTATCATCCGTCTCCGTGTCAGAGGAGCCTGAAGGGCCCCTCGATGGGATGGCCGTCTTAGACGCGAGAACCAAAGAGCTGATTAAGCTGGATGTCGAGAAATACCCCTCTCTAGACGATGCCACTCAGGACGATATCATAAGGAAATACCGTCTTCTCAATGAAAGGATCAAGGCCGAGGATCTCTACCGCTGCCATTACCGATCGTATGCTATAGAGATCGCGAGATACACGACCCTCTTCACCCTGATGCTGCTCACCTTGAGCTGGCAGTGGTGGGCGGTCAGTGGCTTCTTTCTGGGTGCTTTTTGGCATCAATTGGTGTTTGCCGCCCACGATGCAGGTCACATGGGTATCACACATGATTTTCACGTGGACACTGTTATTGGAATTATCATTGCAGATTTCTTTGGGGGTCTATCTCTCGGATGGTGGAAGAGAAATCACAATGTGCATCACATTGTGACCAACTCCCCTGAACACGATCCCGATATCGAGCATATGCCCTTTTTTGCCATCTCTCACCGGCTACTCCAGTCCCTTCGGTCCTCATACTATGAGCGTGTCATGGAGTATGATGCTTTCGCGAAAGTCCTGATTCGAATCCAGGCATATTCTTATTACCCTATACTAACATTCGGCCGATTTAACCTCTACCGATTATCCTGGATCTATCTCCTCTTTGGCCAGGCGCCTAAGAAAGGGCCTGCTTGGTGGCATCGCTGGTTCGAGATCGCAGGGCAGTGTGTCTTCTGGACGTGGTTTGGCTATGGGATCCTGTACAAGACTATTCCCAACAACTGGGGACGATTTGTATTTGTCATGGTCAGCCACGTGGTGACAATGCCGTTACATCTCCAAATCACGCTGTCACACTTTGCTATGAGCACTGCCGATCTTGGGCCGGCAGAGTCATTCCCCCAAAAGATGCTTCGGACAACCATGGATGTGGACTGTCCTCAATGGCTGGACTTCTTCCACGGTGGCTTACAATTCCAGGCAATCCACCATCTCTATCCCAGGATTCCTAGGCATAACCTTCGGCGAACTCAAAAGTTGGTGCAAGAGTTTTGCAACGAGGTCGGGATCCCGTACGCGTTGTTTGGCTTCGTTGATGGGAATAAGGAAGTAATTGGCCGACTGGCGGATGTATCCCGACAGGCTGCCATCCTGGCAAAATGCCAACAGGCTTTAGCAAAGAGTGACGATCCGCTCCACATCCATTAATATTTCTCCCTCATGATAGAATGAGCTCATCTCACCAACGCATCTAGAGTTATCTACTTGTACATATTACATAATTACATACATCATGTCGGCACAAGCTACTGCAGCAAGCTTGGCAACCGAGCATGGTTTGGCAATGCTACACCTCAGCGTTTGATAATTCTGTCTACGCTGGTACCTAATATATTTGCTGCAAAGGATAAAGCTTCGGTCGACTGGTAGTGAGTGAATGACACATCACAAAGTCACAGCTCAGCGAAACTAGCTTGCTCGTGCATACGTGCATGCGCACATATATACATAAATACTTGCATACGGCATGGTATAATTACGCTGCAAAGACATACAGAGTATGCACGATGGGTCTCGACTAGATAGGCGAGACGGGTTACTGGGTCCTCACGTCGTCAGGCGGCAGCTACGCACAGTCTGTTTCGGTGACCCTGGCCCTCGGGTTATAGGCAGACAGGGGTACGAGGTCGAACCCATCCACTATGATCCCACTCAAAGCTCGAGATCCTGGCACATATGTGTTTCACCCAATCATAGTGCTCACCCACAGAGGACCCGTCTCCATGGGAGCTTGATGCGAAACAACGTCCCTTTCCTAGATAACACATCACTGGGTTTTCCAGGCGTTCATCCATGTCATCAAGGAGCGTCCCTCCTGGTCTATTTCCTTCATTGCGCCCTCTCTGGCTAGTCGATCTTCTCAGTCTCTCATATGGTAGAGATTGAAATCTCCTGAGCTGAAGCCAAAACGAGGCCTCTCGCGGGGGTCACACCTATGCTAAATAGTAAGCCCAAACGGGCATTCATATTAGAGGCTTGCGTGTAACCAACAAGGGAGGTTTCGACTGCTATCTATGCATTTGTATTTATCGACCCTTGTTGTACAAATATACGAGCCCTTGGCTGTTCCTTTGCCTCAGATGACTTCGGGTCGATTGGCAAGTCCCTTTACTCGATGCGCGTAGTCAAGGCGGAACACGAGACTGGGCCCTGTTTACTAACATGCCCCTCCAATGACTGTCATTATTTAGAAGCAATCATTGGCGTCTTCACATATCGTGATGTTTCCTACTTTCAAGTCATGGAAGCCTTGCTATCAGACCAGGGCCCTGGTCGTTCGGGACATAACACACAAGCTAGATAGGCCTTGTACATGACAGACGTCCCAACCCCCGTCCGAATACCTACTATGGTACCTGGCTTACATACTTGCTCCCGTCTGGTTGGTAACGAGCTGCGAGCCATGATCCGACCCCGATGACATGTTGTGCTGCAGGATGACAGCCACCCCGGCTTCCCCCAGAAAAAGCAAAACCCGAGGACAAGCGATGATCAAGTCTCTATATCAAGGGCGCTGGTGCGCCTCCAGTTGTGCAGCTTCTACTATCCCATCATCATTACGGTTTCTTCAAAGCTCTGTGTATTGCACTTGTATTTTCCCCTTACCACAAGCTGTCCGTTTCTCAAGTATCCTGGTAGCACCAACAACGACATCAAGTCTCTTTACTCTATACCTAGCCGCCCAGCTTTTCGGCCCAAAGTAGCTCTACTAGGAGCCCTACCTCAAGGTTCCTAGGTTGTCAATAAATCTTCCCATGGGTCGCGGTAAAATGGACGAGGCAGCCGCGGCAAGAATCCGTAAAGCGCGAGGAGACAAAGTGACGATGCCCGAAAAAAAAAGTACCGTTGAAGAACATACTAAGCAGATACAGGATGACTTCGCACGGCGCGCAACCATTGCAGCCCGGTCCAACAAGGAGAGCTCGGGAAAAGATGACCAGCAGGGGGGGAAGGACGGCGGAGGTAACGATGGCAAGCAAGGCGACGGGAGCAATGGTCAGAAGTGACGTCGTGGCCAGCTGTTTGTATGGCAGAATGGGGGCAAGAGTGGGAAGAGATGTTTGGATAAGATGTGTGTGAGTGGATTTGGATATGTGTCAAAAGCACGGCGCCTTCTTCCGAGCTCGTTCGACCGGATGGCATTGTATGGAGCTGTTAGCTGCAAGTTTTCCCCTGAACACTGAGGACATTTCTCTTGTGCATGGTCAGACCGCCGTGATCAAGCTATTGGATAAGTCTGCTGGCAGGACAGCTCTGCCCCTGACTGGCGTCATGGTTACAGACCTGCGCCAACGGACAGAAGGTCCATCAGAACCAAGCAAGTCGGTCTGATCTCCTGGCTGGAGGCAACAGGCACTCCAGGCCCTGGTCAGACGGCGCCGGTGAGATATCAGAAATGACTCTCGATTTCGTCAAAAAGAAAACGCGCAAGCCCGCGGATTGGCCGGTCCTACAACTGAGGCGGATCCGGGACCACGGTGGCAGCCTTCGTAGGGCACGTCGGCACGATGCGGTCAGAAACGGATGTTGAGGCGACGGCCACCGCCAATGAAGTCGATTAGCCGGTAGGGCCAGTCGCCGACGCTGCCTCAACTGCGGCCTCACGCACTACTGTGTATGCTGCAGACGAAGGTGGTCATGCGCAACATTGGACAACCAGGTGCCGGGCACCAGATTGGGCTACTGCGCCAATAATTGCTTTTGGGCCGCAATCACGGAAAACCTGGCTGGGAAAGGGGCACACAGGGGGAGACAACGGCAACGCACGGCCAGTGCCAACAGCGAACCTGCATGTGTATGATTTGGGCTCCGCGATTCGATTGGGGAGAGACTATCATGTAGCCAAGGAAAGGTGGGATCGCAAAAGGCACCGGAGCGGAAAAGAAACCACGACGAGTCAAAAAGCAAATATCAAAAGGAAGCAAGCTGGCACAAGCCATACGCGTGTGGATCCCGTGCATTGATCCTCCCGCTAAGGAAGCGGTCATATTTTGACCGGTTACGAAATGGAGATATCGGTGAAGGCTGACGTTTTTAAAGATGGTGGCCAGACTCGAAGAGGACGATGCAGCAGGAGTAGCAGAGTTGATCTCACAAGGTTTGATTTGATATTTGCACAACTCTCACAGGGCACTGAAATCACTTTGGGGGTGCGGCACTACAGAAATGGAGTATGAGAAGTGATCAAATTGAAAGACTACATACATGACATTTGTTGTCAAGGTCACTGAGCCTTGACGGTCTTGACTTGCATCGCAGTAGATGAGTATGTGAGAGGCTCGTCGAGCCTCCTTCTGGCAAATGAGCCCGGGCTATGGATCGAGTAGTCAATCAGTTTTACATCACAGTGACAGTCGCCCAAGAGTAACTGGGTCTGCGAGAGCTCCGAACCCAAGACGACAGGTCTACTTGTCCATCGTCTGGCATTGAAAGACACAAGACAGTGGAGCCAACATCGTGTGCTGCAGGACACCTCAGATCTCACTAGGCACGGTGGAAGAGGACTCGGTTACTCGAAGCGTCGATCTTGTAACGGCACAACAAGACGATACTATGAAGAACGGGAACATCGAAGAGGAGCTACTGCTGGTGGCGGCGGCGGCAAAAACAGACGGGAAGCTAGACAAGCTGGTCAACTCTCGATTTATCGTTATCATCCCAGGATGTAACCAGAGGCATCTCACCGGAGGAAGAAGCTCCGTAAGGCGATCGAGAGGCTAAACTCCTTTCCCGTAGACTCCGTAGTCCTTGACGGCTGACCATTCTGACATGTATGCAGGTCATGTAGCTTGCCCAGGAGCCTCGACGTTGTCGCATCCTCCTTACTGCTAGAGGTGACATATGTTCGCCCAGACAGGCAGCCAATGAGCTAGGTGCGGCAAGCATCGGGGAGGCATGACTAAGGAGCGAGCAGGTTGAGGTCGAGCTTACAAGGACGAGCGGATGCGGCGACCATGAGGCCAACAGTTGTTGCGAGGATTCAAGGTACTGACGGGCGGGAAAGTGAAGCTGACTGCCCAACCTACCGGCGTTGGGTGTACTTTGGAGCTTACCTAACCCAAGCTATCCTACGCACCCTGACATCATCTAGAAGGCACGTCTATAGAGCGAGTACATGATGGATATAGTACCCGGGACTGAGTAGGCAGGTCGCATCCGGGGTAGATGCTAAGTGAAAGTGGTAAGTGGTGGAGATGCGGGGAGGAGACTTACATACATAGCATTTGGCTGAAAAGGGGCATATGCCCTTGACACGGATAGGAGCATTATCCGATCCACCCGTACGACTGCACAGCGAACTGCTGCTGACGGTGCTGTTTCTACTCAAGCAAGGCCTCTCCGCCGTCAGCATAGCAGACGTAACAGTACAGGGTCGGATCCATGGCCATTTGGACAACATGAAAGTTCCGCGTGAGTTCCATGAACGATGTCATGCATCTGCGAATTGGTTCTTCAACGGCGAATCCATATCGATCCGCGCCAGCCGAATATCGAGGGAAACCATGCACTCATTGGACAAACTCATGCCAGATACACCAGAAAGATGGATAGATGGATAGATGTCCTCTTGCCTGGATGCGAGCAGATATTGCAAGCGGGCAGAGGATATGACGTTGACCTACATTACCACCACACTACCCTACCTACACTAAGTACTACGCCACGTCAGGGCCGGGGTTACATGGCCTTGCCTTAGTTAGTGTTACTACCTACCTAGGTAGTGCTACCATTGCGGTCTGTACCTAAGGCCACTAAGCCGGCCCCGCGCCAGATGGATCCAGCCTCAGCTGCTTGAGCCTCTTACCCACGCCGATCAACCGCTGACGACCGCCGCCCGTTATTGTGCACCCACTCATTCCGGTCTCATCCTCTCCGCGGCTGCACCCGAAAGAAACCGGCCGGGACTATCTCATTCCTACTGTAACGGCTCCGCATCTGTCCCAGGAGTTATCACCAGCGCCGCTCTCATCTGGGCTCGTTTCACCGCCGCCGCCGCCGCCGCCGCCGCCTCCGCGCGTTGCTCCATCTGTCGCCATCGATTCCTCACAGCCCCGAGCTGGGAGTTGGGAGCTGGCCCCTCGGACCAAAAGGCTCTACCGCCATTCGCATCTGAATAGCAATCTCACGACCGTCGCCCGGCTACCTTACGCTGGATCCATTGTCTCTGCTGTTGTTTCATCCCAGACCTTACTAGTCTCCGCCCCCATCAACTTCTCGTCAACAGCATGATAGCTGTCTCGTCCTCCTTCGAATCCTGTCAATCATGGATACAAACATCCAGCGAGCTTTGAACGATAAGCTTTACGACAAGCGGAAAGTCGGTGCTCTCGAGTATGTTTTCGTCCCTCTCCCAGTTGCTCTCTGCCATCTTCATTGTCTTGTGATTGTGCTGGTCTCGCCTACCGTCCAGGTTTCATGACTTACATCTGACCATTTCGCTAGGCTCGAAAGGGTCATTCGGGAGCTGGTGGCGAGCAAGGACTATGACAGGGTACAGGCAATACTGGATCAGCTCTGCAACGAGTATGCCTACGCTGTCCACCAGCCTCATGCCCGCAACGGTGGCTTGATCGGCCTTGCCGCCGCCGCTATTGCTCTTGGATCGGTCAGTTCAACTCTCACTTGCCATGCCCCAGGCTAGCTGGAAAAACAGCGTCTCATGACCTCCTCAGGAACTTCCCAGGTATCTAGAGGTTATTGTACCTCCAGTACTAGCGTGCTTTACCGATCACGATGCTCGTGTACGCTACTATGCATGTGAAGCCATGTACAACATCGCCAAAGTCGGTAAAGGAGAGATTTTGAAGTATTTCAACCATATATTTGATGCACTCTGCAAGGTAAGTTTCCGTGCCTAACGGTCTTGGCCGCCGAACTCTTCAAGAGTTGAGCCTAGGGCCTTCTGTAAAAATGCTCACGCCTTTGCCTCCCGTACTAGCTTGGGGCAGATTCCGAACTGTCCGTCAAGAATGGGGCTGAACTTCTAGACCGACTGATCAAGGATATCGTCTCAGAGTCCGCCGCGACCTACGTTAGTGTGTTGGAAATGCCAGCGGATCACGTCGAGAGTGATAAGGACGCCCTTGACGAGCATGCGGAGTTACCTACTGCCTTCTCTCTCAAACAATTCATTCCATTATTGAAAGAGCGCAGCTATACAATCAACCCCTTCACCAGAACATTTCTGGTCGGCTGGATCGTCTTGCTGGATTCGATCCCTGATCTAGAGCTCGTCGTATATCTCCCCGAGTTCCTAAGTAGTCTATTAAAATTCCTCAGCGACCCCAACAGAGATGTCCACGTGGCCACCCAGGGGTGCTTGGACAAGTTTCTCAACGAAATCAAGCGCATTGCTCGCGTCAAGAAAGGCATTGCCGAGAGCAGAAAGTCCAAGGGTGATGGCAAACGTAAGAGAGAAGAGTCCGTCGACAGCGGCAGTGTTCAGGCTGCGCTTGAGGAAGGGGACGAGGTCGACTCAACTACGGCTAATGAAGAAGACGACACGAGTAGTGAAGACGACTGGGTCCCGGGACAAGATGTTCAAATCAACTACAGAGCCATTCTCGAGATACTCACGGCTTCTCTCGACTCGCCGTTAGGTAAACGTCTTCAAGGCCAATACCCTCACCAGTAGCTGACATCGTTAATAGATGAAGACGGTTTATTAGAGTCTCTGAGATGGATCGTCGATTTCTTGGACATCTGCCCAGAGGAAGTGCTTCCTTTCACACCAAAGATACTGGCCCACCTCCTACCGGCCATGGCAAGCGGAGTTGAGTCAATCCGTCAAGCTGCCGCAAGAGTCAACACGTCACTCATGGACTACGTGGTGTCTCTCTCTGACGAACCAGAATTGCCTCTGTCGCAGAATGCCTCTCGTATCCCAGCACCCCTACCAGGGGAGCGACAGGATGGCGCCTCAAGCACTCGTGCGTCGCTTTCTAGTTCGAGAGAACTCGAAGCACGAAGCCCTACGCCAGCGCAGAACAGGCCTTCGGTAAATACCCCAAGAGTGTCTACACCAGCACTTTCTAGCAATCCACAAGCAGACCTGGACTATGCAGCAGCAGTAAATTCACTGACGCTACTTTTCCTGAACGATCACGAAGCCACGCGAGTTGCGGCCTTGACGTGGCTAATAATGTTGCACCGAAAGGCACCAAGAAAAGTGCTCGCTTTCAATGACGGGACCTTTCCTGCTCTTCTTAAGACCCTTTCCGACCCTGCCGAAGCGGTAGTTACAAAAGACTTACAACTACTTTCCCAAATATCTCGCAACAGCGAGGATGATTACTTTTCTAACTTTATGGTCAGTCTCCTGCAGCTCTTTTCTACAGACAGGAAGCTTTTAGAGACCCGGGGTAATCTTATCATCCGTCAACTGTGCGTGAGCCTCAGTGCAGAGCGAATTTACCGCACCCTCGCCGACTGCATCGAGAAGGAGGAAGATGTAGAGTTTGCTAGTATAATGGTCCAAAATCTGAACAATAATCTCATCACAGCCCCGGAGCTGTCCGAATTGAGAAAACGTCTGAGAAATCTGGAGACCAAGGTTAGCTTCCATTCAAAAACTTAAGCCTGTATGGCCGAGCTGACATTGTCTTAGGACGGCCAAACATTCTTCGTTGCTCTTTTCCGCTCCTGGTGCTACAACGCGGTAGCAACCTTCTCGTTATGCTTGCTTGCGCAAGCCTATGAGCAGGCCTACAATCTCCTACAGATTTTGTATGTCTTCCCCCAAGTACCCTCCATTTCTTGCGGACTATCTAATCTGACTTGTCCAAGTGCTGAATTGGAGATGACGGTCAATATTCTCATTCAAATTGACAAGCTAGTGCAACTTCTGGAGTCGCCAGTGTTCACATGTAGGTGTCCCCTTTATGGTTTCCCGCAAACTCGTATCACAATTACTGCACATGTACATTCCTGCGAAACCTCGCTTATGGCTATCCTAGACCTTCGCCTCCAGCTGCTGGAACCGGACAAATACCCTCACATCTACAAGTGTCTCTACGGACTCTTGATGCTTCTGCCCCAGTCGTCGGCATTCGCGGCACTGAAGAACCGCCTGAACAGTGTGAGCTCAGTAGGCTACCTGCATATCGCGTCGAGAACGTAAGTCGCGCCTGCCCATGCCTTCCCTCCCCATCCCTAGCAAAAGAGGCAAAATCAGCCTCAAGTTACTCCTATACTGTGCTGTGCATGCGACATATGTGCTCACAAGCTTTGTTATAGCAACTCAACCACTCCGAGTGCCACTACCTTTGACAGACCCAACAGACTCAAAGGCAGGGAGGAGGGTATCATCCGCTGGGGAGAATTGCTGGAGAAGTTCCGTTCGGTGCAAGAGCGTGCTCGACGGGCTCAGCGAGTAGGCGGTGAACTTGATGATGGACCAACACTCGCCATGGCTGACCTGCGGCTGTCTGACGGGCTAGAGTTGAAAATTCCGAAGGAAGGGGCACGTCTGGGAGCGGGACCTCCAGTTCCATTGAAAGATGCACCAACGCCTGCAGCTCCAGTCGCCAAACCCAGGTCCGGCCTCGGAAGGCAGTTTGGGCGACTCGGAGGGGCGGTCTCAGGCAGAGGGAAACGAGGACAGCAGTGAAACTGTTATAATTATGTAAACGTATCGAGTGAGAACAGACTATGAGTCATCATAATCATGAACAATTAATAGCCCGGGGAAGTCGTGTTGGAGGCAAATTTGCTCATTCAATGTCCGTCATGGTCTTTTCCGTGGTGTCTCTCGTTCGACTAATCCCTCAAACACGGCATCTCTCCGCTGGGTTATGGATCGCAATTCGGACCGTCGATTTTCTAGCTCCTGGCGCGCGGCGTCTGTATCCGGTGGAAGGCCGTGAAAGGTTTGGACCTGAGCCTCCAGGTTTTTTCTCTGGGTTAAGACATCAATGTAGACTGACTCTTCTCTCTGAATGTCTTCAATGGTATGGCTTGGGGAGCCGACCGAGGTAGCCAAGGCTGAGACTCTACTCTTGAGCTCGGGCAGCTTGGCTGCCATGGCCTTAATTCTTCGTTGTATCTCCAGATTCTGCTTTGCTAGGTCGGAGGCTGGCCGATACGCGTCTCCTTCTAGAGACTTCAGCATAAGGTCCATCTGTGCGGACTCGGCCTCGATGTGTCGCTGGAGAACAGCCACTCGTTCAGCCGCCTGGTCCAAGTCAAACTTCTGCGCTTGCAGCTGCACCATCCGCCTTCCTAAGCTCTCCGGCTCGGGGTAAGCGATGCCTAGCTGGACTGCTGCAGAAGCAACGGCCTCTAGAGCCGATTTTCCTTCTCTCGTGAGGCCGTCCTCGATTGCCAACAATATGTCATTCTTGACAGCGGACATGGTCTTGGGAAAGCCTCCGCGCTGGGCATCTTGAAGAGTTCTGCACTCAGTGTCCTCGCTCAGTCCATGCAGGGCTAACGCCTCAGCACGTGCAACAAGGTCGCGGTCTTCGTCAGCCGCCTCGTTCAGAGCAGCCAAAGCCAGCAGCGCCTTAAGAGTATCGGGGTTCCGCTCAAAGGGCGGCGGGGCGCGGCCGTGAAACTTGGAGCTGAGCCAGCTGTCGACGTAGTTCCAGTCTTTGGCTGTCGAAGCAGCTATGCGGGCGACAGAGGGAGAGAAAATGGCGGCGTTCAAGTTGTGATGCGCCATGGTGTGAGCGGGCCTGACAGTCGAGGCGGCTGTCAAGAGCTAGCTGGCTGGAATCAATCCGTCCGAATCACTCGACTATTAGAACAAAGCCCTGTGGTGGGCTGAAAAACCTTGGGAAGGTATCTGAATCTGCGCCAAGTCCACGTTGTACCCAGTAAACAGAAACACAAGGGTCGATGTTGGTTATCGCCAGTTACCAGACCATATGTATGTAGGTGTGTTAGATCGGCTGGGGTTTACCTGATTGCACCCCTGGTGTCTTCTTTGACCAGTGCTTTCCGAAATCCAACCCGTTGTAGAACGCTGCTGTTTCTTTTTTTCCTGTTGTGTGATCGGACAATATGAAGCCAAAGAGTTGGTCGGTGTGGGAAGGTACCTATTCTAGCTTGGTGGTTTACCTAGGTAGAGTTCCTAAGGTAGGTTCGTAGGTTGGCATGGCATGCACATGGCTTGGTGGGCTTGGTGGGGTTTTGGCGCATATTCCCAACAGCCCGCCTCAGACGTGCCGCTATCTACCCTCCACACATGTACCTACCTGGCTAGGCTACCTGGGAGCCTGGGTATGTAGTGCTTCGCAGGGACGGGACTTACCTTAGCTAGGTAGCTGGCCCAGGTGCCTACCTACCTATACTAACCTTGGAAGGGCGCCTCCCGCCACCGGACGCCTTCAATTTGTAGGTCTGGGTGACTGAAAATGCCAGCTGGTCAAAGCACAGACTGCAGATGCGGAGAGATAGAGAGATACCTTGCGCACCTGCAGCCCGCCCGCGATTTGCCTTGTCAACCTTAACGCCTCTCGATCTGGCCAGATTGACGATCTTCAACTGCAGCCCTCTAAATAGCCTACACCACCTACAAAGTACGAAGCGCCATACTCGACCTCATCGAGTTTCGAGTCTCGAGTCTCGAGTTCCGAGTCCGCGCAAGAACTCAAAATCTGCTTTCTCGCTTCCGTGCGCCTCTCTTCAGTTCAGCGGCGGCTTTCATTCCCTCCTTCTGCCGACCCTGATCTGCTGCTCTTCCCTCACTTATCGAGGTTCGCTCTTTTGTCCCTTGCCCAGCTTGACCTGACCTCGCGGTCGAGGCGCTGTGCTGGCAGTATTCTCTACCTACAAAACCCAGGTTCTTGACACCGACATTCAGAAGCGCCAAACATGTATCCCCCCTTGTCCGCTTTGGCTCTTGCTGCCAGCCTGTTCTCCGTACAGCCGGCCCTGGTGGACGCTCTGTCAGCTCAGGACATACCCTCCGACACGCCAATCTCCTCCCTTCTCTCCTCGGCCCAGATCCATCTGGCAAAAGGAGAGACCGCAGATGCTCTGGTATACTACGATGCTGCCGTTGCCCGCGATCCCCACGACTACCTCACCTTCTTCAAGCGCGCCACCACCTACCTCTCCCTCGGCAGGACATCTCAGGCTACCGAAGACTTCAACAAGGTCTTGTCCCTGAAGCCCGGCTTCGAGGGCGCCCATGTTCAGCTGGGAAAGATCAGAGCCAGAGGCGCCGACTGGGATGGCGCGCGAGAGCAGTACATGCTGGCCAGAAAGGGAATTGGGTCCAAGGAGATGGATGAGTTAACTGAGGCACAGGGCGCGGCCTCTCTCGCCGAGACGGCAGAGCAGAACGGCAACTGGGACGAGTGTGTAAGCCAAGCCGGCGTCGCTATCCGAGTTGCGACACGCTCCGTTGCTCTGCGAGAGCTGCGCTCGAGGTGTCGTTTTGCAAAGGGTGAGGTTGAGGAGGGCATGGGCGACCTACACCACATCCTAAACATGAAGCCCGGCGACACCTCCCCTCACGTCAAGATCTCAGCAATCACTTTCTTCGCCCTGGGCGACTTGGCGAATGGCATGGCCCAGATCAGGAAGTGCCTGCATTCCGATCCAGAATCTAAACTCTGCAAGAAGGTGCTACGGCAGGAGAAGTCAATTGAGAAAACCATGGTCAAAGTCGACAAGGCATTTAGCAAGAATCAACCCATGACGGGCACGCGCCTGCTGGTCCCGTCTGCCGACGACGAGGGGCTCATCAAGGAGGTCAAAGATCAGGTGCAGGCCTTCCGAGAGGACGGCACCATCCCCCCCACTGCACCTAACGTCCTAGTCTCGAGGCTGGTTGAGTTGGCTTGTCAAGGTTACTATGAGGTATGGTTCAAAACGGAATGTTTCTCACAACTGCCGGGTTACCTGTGCTAACAGTCCTGCTAGATGAACAACAAGAAGATGAAGGATTATTGTGTTGAGTCCCTTGCTCTGGATGAAAACTCATTCTACGGTCTCCTTTATCAATCCAAATCCCAGCTGGACGCCGAAGAGTTCGAGGCAGCCATCAACTCGCTGAAAAAGGCTGGCGAAGCACGGCCTGACAAGCAAGATGTCATAAATCCTCTGATGCAGAAGGCCCAGGTTGCTTTGAAGCGTAGTAAGACCAAGGACTATTACAAGGTTCTTGGCGTCGCACACGATGCGGACGAGAAACAGATCAAGTCGGCATATCGAAAGCTGTCGAAGCAACACCACCCTGACAAGGCGGCAAAGCAGGGTCTCACCAAGGAAGACGCCGAGAAGAAAATGGCATCCATCAATGAGGCATACGAGGTCTTGAGTGACCCAGAGCTCAGGGCCCGCTTCGACAGGGGCGATGACCCCAATTCTCACGAGCAACAGAACCCTTTCCAGGGTAGCCCATTCGGCGGTGGCCAGCCATTCATGTTTCAGCAAGGTGGCCAGGGCCAGCAGTTCCAGTTTAAATTCGGATCTGGGGGTGGATTCCCTGGCGGGTTTGGGTTTGGTGGGTAAAATGAAGTTGACTGCATTCGAGCGTATCCTGGGCTCAGGAGGGAGTTTGGGGATCTTATATAAGTGTCACAACGGCGTCTTGATGCTTTTCATGGTGTATAATTGTGTTGATGATGGCATCGCTCACCTACTCGTCCGCGTGTCTCTTCTACGTGCGCTTTGTCTGCGAAAGATAGGTGCGGTAGCTATAACAATCCGTGGACTAGTTGGGTAATTTGGTGGAAATGCTCATCAGCCTAAATTCAATAGACGAGCCTGCTGCCCATATGAAGAAATCCTATGCCATTCCACCTATTCCACACAATCGTACCAGGTTTCTAGCTGGTTTCTATTCTCGCGAAAGAGGGGCTCACTCGACTCGTGAGGAGTATGATCCGCTAGGAGTTATCAGCCAGGCTCTCTTGTCGAGCCTCGTGGTACCAACAGAGTTCCAATTTGGGGTCCTGCCGCGTGCAATCTATTTGGCTCATTATGATTTGATGTCATCCCTCTCGTGACCGGGACCGTATCCCTCTTACTAACGGTGACAAATGGAGTCAAAAAGATGGCATGGTAATAAACAGCCAGGACGACTCAAAGCCTAGCATTGGATTCAGGGCTCGGATCAACAGGTCACTCCGTGGCAAGCTATATAGGCCGGCAGAAAGAGCTTGGGTAGCAGTATAAGTATGCATGCAGCATCACCTCGTCGATAGCCACGGGTGAACTCTAAGGGGCTAACGAGCATTGTCTAGCTTCACCAACAGTTACGTCTGCGGCTCTTTCCCGCTAATACAATATGAAGTTCCTGTCAAGCAGCAGTAAATTTCTAGTACATGGCTTCCTGATAGCCCCCGTCCTGTGCGACTCGTTCAACCTCTCTGCCTGGGAATCAACCACCGGAGGCTCTGTTATCACTCACAGAATATGGTACGGGGATGGTAAGTTATCATAGGCTCTGCAAATCTACTAAATTAGTTGTTTGATACCTCAAACTAGGTCTGGCATACACTGGCGCCGGTATTCCATCAAGTGTCAAGGAGGCGTTCAACATCACATGTAAGGCTCCCTCTCCCTGCTCCCTTCAAACACTTCAATGTAACCCTCACACATCCAGCCCTCGGCAATAGAGCCGACCTGATATACGTCTCCGTCGATGAGACAACGAGTGCACCTGGCACCCCGCCGCTGCCGGACCCGACCTTTCTCGTCATCAACACTGCCCCTGGGGCGTCTGATCCTCTCTTCTTCACTCACTCGGCGGTCAATCTCAGCGACACGGATGTCTACATCTGGATAGGCTATGAGGGCTTCCTGTTGGCCATGGCTCGGGGGAACCTGCTTCAGTCCGGCTCTGGCGGCTTCTACATAGTTCCTAGCGACCTGGAAGGCACCTACACGGTTCGATACATAACCGAGGGCGCGACGGCCGAGAAGTTGGGTGCCCGGAAAGTCATGCTCACCAGTCGCCAGCTCAGGTAGCTGGAGCCGGATGTCGTCTGCCCAGGAAGGAAGACTGCCTGGGTTCAATGTCCTCTCCAGTGACGACTGATCAGATGGATCCAATGGTGAACACGGAGGATTCCATCAATGTACCTTGAATTATCTGAGCCATATCACAGTAAGAACAAGCCAGATGCACATGTTTTGTTGCAGATATGCATGTCCACTGCGTACATTAATGGTGCGTTCCGTCACTTTGTATTGATCTCACGTCACGTAGACGGTGAACTATGACAAACGCAAGGTGATCTGTTGGGATCGCTATATCACACAAATTGCAGGCCCTCTCTGCCGAAGGGTAACCCGAGTAACGCCTGGCCAGCCTACCAGCCTAACACGGCTCGCAGCAAGCGAACAATTCGGACACGAGGAATATATACACGTCGTTGTGGGCTATATTCCATAGCCCTCACGAGGACCCCGAGTGGGGGGGTTCATTAGGGGCCAAGAGAAGCCTCGGAAGGTGCCAATGGGCAAGCTGAGACGTCTATCCAGGACTCAGGAGCAGATCTATCCACACGCGTTAGATTCAGAACACTAGGTTAGGGGCCCAAGCGGATGCATCTTGAAGGAGGTTCCCGGGACCTCGACAGCTAGGAAGTGCCAGATAACGATGGGAGAGCTCAGAAACTCACCTCAGAATTAACGCCTCGAGTCATAGCTTGCTCTGTCTCAGGAGCTAGCGTTCTGGTGAATGAAGTAGGCCCTAGAACGCATCGACGTTAGCAACTGCATCCATAGCGCGTATTGGCAGCGGAATGAACGAACTTTGAGGCCTCGTAAGCTGACCAGCATATGGCCGTGCTGGGCATAGTGGTGACAACTCTAGGTCGCACGCCCTTGAAAAAACCCCGGAATCCTTCTCGCCTAAAGAGGAGACGACAGCCGGCCATGAATCCGTTCACGGTTCTCAGCTCAGGGTCAGAAGCGGTGCCTCGGGTCTGCAGCATAGTCTTGATGACGTCCATGGGGGTGGTAAGTGCGGCGGCGAAGCCTCCTGCAACAGCGCCGGCCAAGCAATGAGTCGTGGGGTCGTATGCCTTTGTTGGGTTCATAGTCGTCGATATTGACTCGTAGGCAAGGAATTGAAGAGCGGTGAAAGGCACCGTCATAGATAGGGTGGTAGGGTAGGAGACATAGAAAGCAGCCAGGCCTTCCGTCCTGTAAACGAACTTGGCGCAATCGAACATGGACCGGTACATTTTGCTCGAGTTCTTAATCTGCATCCTCTGCTTGATGACTATTTCGCGGGTCAGTATCCCATGCCCATCGCCGGGTTTTCACTGCGACAATGCTGCGTACCGTCAAAAGGATTCATCAGGGCATCGCTTGCAATTGTCGCGCAAGCTCCGCTGGTCGCTACGGACAGGTTAGCACCCCTGGGCGCCTCAATTGCAAATGAAGGCTATTCCATCGACCAACCTGCAGCAAGGGGGTGGTGTACTCCAGCCTTGTTTCCACCCATAATGTGTTTAACAGCCTCGTATGTTGCGAAGTAGACAGCATGTGCGGGACCTGTTTAGCTTGTCAGACTCCTCACAAACGGGAGGTGGCCATTGGCACGGGTGAGATGAAAGGGCTCGATGGGAAACAACCTACCTGCGCCGACTACAACGCTGGACATTCCTCGCCACAAACTCATCAAACCTTCACCAGTAGCCATGCGATATGTCCCTTGAATGACTCCATTGTAGACTGTGGACGGAGACGGACTAAGTACTTGCATGCGGGTCTATATCGCAGATGGTCAGTAAGACAGGGACCCCGACTCGGAGGGAGGAGGGGCTGCAAGGACTCACTTTGATGGCATCGATGGGATACATGACCGTATGCTCCTGTATGTCTGTGTCAGCAAGTTGAGGGACCGGGTCGGAGGCGGGCAGTTCTGACAGCTATGCCCGCGAATGCGCCTGCTGCCATGTTCTGCAGCAGGGAGAAGTTGGGAGGGAGGGATTCGTAGCTAGGCAAAAGAATGTTAGCGACAGTTCGGCGATGGAGAGAGCAGCGTCAATGCTGGCCCGGAGAGAGGATGATGGCGGAACGGACTCATAGTCATCGTCGGCCTCGGCATTTGGCTGGGCCATTTGGGCCACAGCGGCAGATGCTTCGCCGTAGGGCTTGGCCTGGAGATCCAGGATGGCGACGAGGAAGCTCGCAGTGGGTGGAGGTTCGGCGGCAGGCGGTTGAGGGCCAACGAAAGGCAGGATCGTGGAGGCGGCGAACGGGAAGATGGAAGGTGAGGAATATCGTGACGCAATGGACGACGGATGGGCGGTGGTTGGCGAGCTCTCTCTCTCTCTCTGAGGGGGGCCGCCCGGAACCGCGGGCAGGGAATGGAAGCTCGACGGGGTCGGCGAGAGGAAAACCTCAGTGCGAGCGAGCAAGAGGGCAGCTCGTGATGTCCGGGATTTGCGGATTGGGAGGGGAGAAGGTGGTGGTTTGTTGATTTGCTCGGATCGTGGCTGGCATATGGAAGACGACGAGGTAGGTATGCCTCTCTTTTTCTTTTGCCTCACGCACGCACACGCTGGCCGCCCTGGAAATTTCTGCGACTTCGCTCAGCGCACCGGTAGAGTACGGCAAGGTTAGGTAAGGTGAGGTAGGGGCCCCTGGTACCTACTGGGTAGGTAGGTAGGTAGGTACTGTAGGTAGGTAGGTAGTGTTGGTACCTTAGGCACCTCAGTCAAGGGAGTACTGTTGCCCTGCCTGAAGCCGCCTGGAGGCAGGTACCTGCTGGGTGGTAAAGTGGAGGTCTGAGGTGCAAGATCAGAGATTAGCTCCCAGGTTGTATGTACCTGCGGTACCCGGACTGCCAGTGAGTGTAATTTTTCTGTTTTCTCTTACCTATCAAGGCTATCGCTGCTGCGCTGGCTAAGCCAACTCAGGTAAGCCTGGATGTGTAGGTACTAGGTGTACCTATGTACCCAGTAGGTAGGTACCTACCTGGTAGGCAGGCCAGCCGGGGGGAACGGACGGGGCGCCACAGCCACGGGAATTGGTGGCTAATTACCTTAGCTAAATAGCGAGCTGAAGCCGAATACCTGCCAGCCTAGCTCGCCTAGGCACTTCCAAGGTTAACTCTTAAGAAACAGGAGGACAAAATCTACGGGATCAGATAATTGTGAAGAGACAGTATCAATCCCCGAGATGGACTTGAGACAACTGAGGAGGAAAGATGAAAAGTAGTGAAAAGGCGCCGCAGGTTGGCGATCAATCATAAATACACCGCCGGCCTACCCACCCACTCAAGTCAAGGTACCTACTTCTTTAGAGTCCCAGGCATCATCATCCCCGTGCTTGATGCCACTCGGCCACCGGAGATATGTGATCTTGTACGTAACACTCTGTCTCTTGTCTCTGTCACCCTCGTGGGCTGAGAGCACAAATCCCCGTGATGAGAACCGAGGCGCGGCGAGGCAAGGCAGGCGGCAAGGTAATGAATGAAGGGATTCATCCTCTTTTTCGTCTTCGTCGTCTTGACCAAATGAGACCAAAGAGACCAAAGAGACTGCTGGACTCATCTCTCGAAATGGGCACCTCCCTGCCTACCTACTGCGTACTGCAACGGGTACGTCCGCACTACCAGGAGCATATCTTACTTCTTGCAAGGTACAGGACCGGTACTTACCTACTAGGCATGTAGGCAGTACAGGCAATGCATAGCACTCTTCACTGGCATCCAAAGCGCAGGCGAGCGAGTCGGCCGGCCGCGACTCCTCGGCTTTTTCGCCCCGGGGCAAACCTCCTTTCCCCTCGGATCCGGCCAACCAACCAACCTGCCATCTTGATTCGGCTCCTTCGGCCATCTGCCTCCGCGGACTGCCCATGACCCTCGTATATACGACCTCACAACCACGTTTCCTCTACCGCGGGAGTTCCGCTCTGTTTCATTTCATCTAATATCCCGTCCTCTTAAAGATGAGTGGTGAGAGAGAGGTGCATCAAAAAAGGAAAGAACCAAAAAATAACGGCCTCGGGTCCTTTGCACAACTCGCTCACCCATACTTGTTATGGCCGAGGATGTGTCTTAGGTGTGCTCTGTCTTCCAAGGATGCTGCATGTTTCGCGCTGACACATGATATACATGTACGCATCACTCTCTTGCCTGCGATACCTGAGACTCGCCGCACTGATGGTCTATTCGGCTCACTGATCTCGTACGCCGTGCAACGGCTGTCAGTCGGACCCGCCGCGCGTTGACTGATAGAGCTGCATTAGGTGGATACCATAGCCACCTGGCTCCCTTGTGAAATCAAAATGAACAAGTACCCTGGTAGTTGTAGGTATCTAAGTAGTTGATGCTCCATCCATCTCCTTCGACTGCAAGTCACCGTCCCCTCTCTCGCTCTTGGCAGGGTCTGCCCGACCAGAGAGCCCAGAGATATATATAGCCACGAGTGGATAGAGCGCCCAAGAAGATTGGATGCCAAGACCTCCCTGCACATCTCAACAGACAACAAGGATAGCCCACCACATAGCACTCAATGGCGAGACTCGACTACAAGCATAGCACGAGGGACTTTGGTCTTCTAATGCATCTGTAATTCAAACAACTGGAGTGGCAGATTCCGGAACACCTCCATCGCTCCCCAAAAATACCTGGTTGTAACGCCCAAGTGCTCCTTCCCTCCAGCATCGTGTAGCTCGAATTCCGCGACTCTCAACGAACTCCGCCAGATCTATGGTTCATTTGGTGCTGAAACTGGTACATGAGACCCAGAACACCAACCTCTGCCTCCTCTGCAATAGCTCCGCTGTTTTCTCTGCTTAGCGTCTTCGCAGGAGACGTCTGCCATGCAGATTCGTCCAGGCCGTGTCCGCTCTCGTAGATGTCTTCCTCGTCGGGTCTCCCCGATCTGCCATCCTCATTTCCGTCTTCAAGAGACTCCTCGATGATGTTGCTCTCACCCTGGTATCCAGCTCTCGTTTGCCGCTGACGATGGATACTCCGCGTCCCAAAGGTCGACGCTGCTGGCTGATGGTGCGGATCCAGAAGTATGGATGCCATGGGAGACATCTGCGGCGGGGCGGGCCCGAATCGAGGGGTTCGAGCCGCCTGCGAAAGGCCTGCGGGTGCTCGACTTCTGGTCCGTTCGCTGCGGCCTATCCTAGAGGTCTGCATCTCGGCCGCTAATGTCGGAGAATTAAGCCCAGGGAATGCTGGTGGTGGGTGGAACTGGTGACGAGCCCCAGGGGGTAGATGGCCAGGTATGCCTGTTTTGGGGTTGATGACATAGTTGTCGAGAAACCCGTAATATGAAGCCGCCATCTTCCCATGCTTCGTTGAGTAATAGTCATCCCGCACGTCTGCGCTGCCTCCTGCTTGCTTCGGATTGCCGACCCCCTTCTTGAAGTCAAATACAGCAAAAGAGCAAACATACCCTAACCCATCCACATGAATAGTAAACTCTCGGAAGAAGTCAATTACCTGATCGCTGGACTTTGGCAGGCTTGCAATCAGGATGAGTGGCGTGATAAGGATGCTGAGTATCTCCTCAACAAATATGACTATTTTATTCTTGTAGAGGTCGGCGAACTCCTTCTTAACATCGAAACTGTGCAAACGGCCTTGCCAATGATCAGGTTGATAGTGCGTATACTCGATCACCTGGCGGAGGGCGTACTCGGGGTCAAAGACACTGTCGTCATCTGTGATGCTGCCACGAGCGAAAGCCCATACACTGCCGAAAATACCGATATAGAACAAGGCGGTCCTATCATGTGTTATTTCGAAGCTGAGGAACATTTCCGGGTCAATAAGCGAGGCAATAGCCAACACGGTGACCACTGCACCGGCGATAAATGCAATAGTTCTGGCCAGTCGCTCCATCTTGACTTTGGGAAACTGATCGATGTATCGCGTTGCAAATGGGTACGACATATTAAGGCGTTCCCTAAACAGATGCGGTAGCTCGTTGAATTCCCGGAACTTCCAGTCAGCGAGCGGCGTGTAGTTACGAGCATTGAGGGCTGAAGGGTTCTTCTGATATTCCTGCACACGCTGTCAGTTTCGGAAAATCTAGCGATCTATGGAAAAGTCCTCACATTATAGTAAGTGAGGAAGTAAACAATGATGAGATAAGCCGTAAGGAAAGGAGCCAGAATCAGGTTCATAAATCCTGCGAACATGAACCGGGCTTTCAGCTTTTGACTCAACTGGCCACGCCGATCGGCTTTCAAGAATTCTTGGTTGACTTGTCCCTGCTCGTCGAACACGAAGTCAAGAATGCTAAAGATCAAAGTCCACTCGAGAGTCCGAGAAAGCATGTGGCGGTTGCGAAGAAAAGGCAGAGGAATAGATAGATCTAGAATATCTTTGTTGAATAAGGCGATGAGATAATTTTCCCGCCGCATCAATCGATTGGCTATATCGTGGGCATCCAGCCTCTCTTTCGATTGACTTCCGATCCACTTACGCTGCTCTCTGGTCAGGTTAGAAGCCGTCCTAGGATTCTGGTCTCTCAGTGCCATGATCCGGACGACAACGTCCTGCCACGATATCGTCTGCATATCGTGTTCTGGGATATTGAGCAGATGAGTGTAGAAGTCTCTGATGTTGAATAGCCGCCGCAGGTCGAGAAGATACTGCAAAGACTTCCAGACGAAATAGAATGCGAAGATCCAGAGACCAAGGTTCCAAAGTCCTGACATCTTTTTGGTGCACTGGGGTATCACTATCTGTGACAACGACTTGCTATTAGGAATTTCGGAGTAATTCACACATTGCGTTAGAAACGTCAGGAAGACTGCGACAAACACAACGTCTCTATCCACCGTTAGCTATGCCACAGGTCTTAGAAGCAAGAGCAGTCATGCACGTACACGAGGTGGAGAAGTCGCTCCAGCAGGATGCACCAAAGTCCGTCACCTTGATAATAATCATAGACATCTGTGATGAAGTTGTCGAGATTGGAGACATTAACCCATCTCCACATGGCCTTCTGCTTGGCGCTGCCAGATGCAACTTGGGCCATAACTGTAGCGGGCCGTGCTCTGTCCAGCGGGCCTCCAACGCCATCATCGTGATGCAACCTCTGCTGGTTCTGGGTCGTTTCCCACTGTGCACGCGTCCTCCTCGTTGCGTTACCGGGAACCGCTCCAGACCGCGATGACCGGGCTTTGGCTCGCGGTTCCCCACGCCTCAAGAGCGTTTCGTGTTCATGCGGCTCCACGAGTAGGGACGCCGGTACGTCGTTGTCGCCGTCCTCATGTTCTATGGTAACCCGACTGCTTTCAACAGCGAGCGTGTCGGGATCAAGATCATCATCGTGGAATGGGTGATTAAGGTTCTCCTCGTCCAACGCAATGGCAGCATGGTCCTCCACGTCCAGCGCATCTCCCCGCCGCCTGCCTCGGAGTTCTTCATAGAAGGATCGCTGTGGGTGTTGACCCTGGGGAGCTAGCCGCGAGAATATATTCGAAGCCATGGCAGGTCGGAAAGGATCAATCGAGCGGGGAAGGCAAGGACCATGGCTCCGTTCATAGGACGATGACAATGTTCGGCCGGAGCATCAGTCTGAGGGTCGGTGTAAAGGGCCGATAGGTAGCTCTGGTGAAGTTGCGGAGGCTGTGGCTGCTCGAAGCTCTCGTAGAAAGAGACGAGGCTGTGACGACAATGCTTCAGATCATGGCATGCGTCTTGATGAGCATCGAAGTGAGGAGGTCATCTGGAGTATGTCACTCGATCGTTGTGACTTGTTGCGTGTCGGACTGTGAGTGCCTCGTCATTCGCGGTTCGCGGTTGCCTCCAGCGGAACAGCCCCCAGGTGCAGGTGACTCCAGTGAAGGTGGGTGTATGACGAGTGACCACGGCTGTGGCTGGATGCGGCAGGCGGTGAGCGTGATTTGGTCGCTCTTTCGGCTAGACCGCCTTCCAGAACCGTCACTGCATACCAGGTATCTGATGTACGTAAACCTTGGAAGTTACACTTGGAAGCTACAAGTGCAACAGGCACCCACTTGAATTCTAACCAATTCCCTTTACCACAACTTGGATGTAGTTGGTTTACACTCGATTTCAGCATTGCATTATCTCGGGCCGATACTCAGGATATAACGTGCTCGCAGCTGAGTTGTGCACTTCTGCGCAGCTATCAAGGTTTACTTGCCTCAGGCGCAGCCAGTAGCAGGTTTGCTTTGGCCTGGCCTTAGACGGGACAGCTCGATTTAGGTCTAGAGTATCAGCCTACAGACCTTATCTACCGTAGAGTTCTGTTCACACGCACCCGAGAGTCGTAAGCTTCAAGACCAAGGGCGTGCGCTCGTGTGCGTGTATGTGCGGTCTGTTCCTCCCGCAGCTATAATCACTAGACTCGATAGGCTTTGGGTGTCTTGTGCGTTCTGGTAGTCGATGGCCAGCAAATCCGATCTTGTTAGGAAGGCCGTCGAACCCGAATCCGTGATTGTCACGTAATGCGCAGGGAACGTCCACAACAGTTATGACTTCGGACACCTTTTCCCTTGGCCAACTGCCACCACCAGGCGCCGCTGGAACAGCATCAGGACCCCTGTCCCCTCAGACTCCAGCCACCTTCTCATCTACGAGAGGCTCAAATCCTCTCTCCTCCAAGGTGTCCACCGTTCTTTCCACCTCTTACGCTGACTCCGAGTTTCGCGATGCCTTATTCCTGTTGGATGACCGGGGTCTTGGAAACAAACCAAAGCTACGGCGACAGCTTAGACTCGATCTGCAGAAGGAGGTAATAGACAGCAATGGGGAAGTTATCAATGAGTTTGGTCGAGTTGTCGATGTGAGCAAAACTCCTGCGTCAACATCGGCTTTTGTCTTCCCTGGCTGTTTCTAATTCTCACGCAGCAACTACGCCGGATCGGAATCACCATTGACAGGCTTAATAGAAATTACACGGAGATGAAACGCCAGGTCAACGCTGCCCATGATGCTACCTCCTCCGTCATTGATGAGGCCTCGACGCTCATGGCGCAAAAACGGGATATTGAAACAAAACAACAGCTTGTCAAATCGTTCAGGGAACGGTTCATCTTAGCTGAGAATGAGATAGCTGTACTGGCTCTCACCTCGGAAGCGGTGGACGATAAGTTCTTCTCGACATTGGCCAAGGCTAGACGAATTAGCAAGGACTGTGAGGTCCTGCTAGGCTTTGAGAATCAGACCATCGGCCTGGAGCTCATGGAGCAGACATCTAACCACGTTAACCTGGCATTCCAGAAACTGTACCGTTGGATCCAACGCGAGTTCAAGTCTTTGAATCTCGAGAACCCGCAAATAGGGACTTCAATTCGTCGCGCATTGCGCGTCCTTGCCGAAAGGCCGTCCTTGTTCCAGAATTGTCTAGACTTCTTCGCGGAAGCACGAGAGCATGTATTGTCAGATGCTTTCTTTGCTGCACTCACTGGGTCGTCTGTATCTGGCGTTCAAAACCGGTCGGCCAAGCCTATCGAGCTTGTAGCGCATGACCCTCTTCGATATGTTGGGGACATGTTGGCCTGGATGCACTCCGCTGCTGTCAGCGAGAGAGAGGCATTGGAGGTCCTTTTCGTTTCCGAAGGGGATGATTTAGCCAAGGGCTTGCAGGCGGGTCGGGAGAATGAGGTCTGGAGACTCATCGCCGAGGATTCCGAAGACGCACCTGCATTCGACGCTGTACAAGCTCTCAATGAGTTGGTTGATCGAGATATGTCTGGTGCTTCGCGAATACTTCGTCAGCGCGTCGAGCAAGTTATTCAAACCAACGAGGAGACAATCATGGCATATAAGCTCGCCAATCTCTTAAGCTTCTACGAGGTTACATTTTCTAAGCTATTGACCCCCAAATCAGTTCTAGTAGAGACTTTAGGAGGCTTGGAGTCTGAGGCGCTGCGACAGTTCCGGTCTCTCATGCGAGACCACATTGCTACCTTGCAAGGCGACTTTCAACATGCACCCCAAGATCTGGGACCACCAGAGTTCCTCCAAGAGGCTCTTCAACAGTTAACCGCCATCATGAGAACCTATGATACCTCGTTAGCTTCTCTCGATGACCGGACCGCCGGCTTTGAACCAATACTGGCTGAGGCTTTCGACCCCTTCATGACAGGCTGTCGAAACCTCTCCAAGTCTATGGGCTCTCCAGCCAGATCAATATTTCTCGTCAATTGCTGTCAAGCGGCTACAGTTGTCGTCGGGGCCTTCGACTTCACTCGTAATACGACTGAGAAACTGCACCAGGAAGTTGAGACGGAATTCGGGGTCTTGGTAGAGAGCCAGTACTTCTTCTTCCGCCTGGAGTCAGGGTTGGACGCTCTCTTCCAGAGCCTCGGTCCGCTGACGTCCAAGCCTGAAGATATTGGCCAGATAAGACAGTTGGAACCTCTGCAGCCTGATCGGCTCTCCATTGCAAGCCAAACCCTTGATGAGTTCTTGCCGTCAGCCCTTATGGATGCGATGGAGAATTTGAAGCGTCTTCAGGATTCAACGCTCGCTAGAAAGGTCGTGGAAGAAGCCGCAGAGCGGTTCTGTGTCGATTTTGAACATGTGGAGGACATTCTCATGCTGGCAGATGAAACCGCTGAGCAAAATGGGCTCGCAGACAGCGAAACTGAAGAAATTCAGAATCTGCGTGCCGTATTCCCTAGAACGAGTGGTGAGATTCGGGTGTTATTATCGTAACACCCTGGATTATCTGTACGGCTAGCAGGACAGGAGTTTGCCAGTTTGAGAGAACGCTGCCCGCTAGAACGCAGAGGAATCTGTATCTGGCTAACAGTCTGCTATGCTGGCAACTAAGCAGTAATAAAAACACATCACGTTTTGTCAAGGCAGCACTTCAGTTGTACATGGGCTTTCAACCTCCAGTCGTGAAGATGAGCACGGTGATCGAGCATGTTGTGAGGAAGCAGCTTCGTATAGGCTGCACTTTGTGATGCGTGACTTGACGCCTGATCTTGGTATATCACTTACTTCATCTCGATGGAGTGCATATAAAACGGTGGTGTGCCGTTGAAAGAAGAGAACTAGCTCAGGGTCCTCGCTCGGGCAGCAAGCTCCCTAGGACGAAGTCGGAGAGAGCATGGCAGTGGTACTTTCGATTTCAATTCTGGAATTCTAAGCCAGACAGTTGTGATCATCTTGCTGTAATATCATCTGCATGTCTTTACACCTTTGATGGGTACTACCTGGGTATGAACTTGGATAGATTGGTAGGTTCTTTGTGGGTCTAAGTCAAGGTGTTGGTAGGCAGATCCCCCATGTGAGAAACCTTACCCGCCGTAACGTGCAGTGTGGCTTCCGCCAACCCCACTACGTCACACTTCACCGTCAAGCACGTCAAGTACAGCCCAACCTCGAAAGGCATTCACAACCCTCCCCCGTCCAGTCTAGTCTTGTCTTCATGCCACTGGCGATGCTTGATTACGGAGCGAGTTCATGAATACCTAAGAGTTGTCGTCGCTCATTTGTCCGGTAGCTTTTCTTCCCCCGTCCACCATCCCAGTTCACGCGTGTAACCCGCTGTCACTGAGCCTTCCCCCAGCGACAATCGTCAAGCTCCGGTATGCTGTCCTCAGCAGCATCACTACAATGCTCCGGAACAAGGCTGCACTTCCTGTCTTGCAGAGGACATACGACGAGTGCTACCTGACCTGTTCAACTGCGGTCTATTATGAAGGCCAGGTAATTGACCCCGCCGTCCCTACTTCTGCCTCTTTGCCTCGATTGATTCCAGGTCTGACACGCTGCCAGGGGAATGAAGAAGAAGCCACACGATGCTGGAAATCGGCGCTCGACCAAATCTATGACCACAACGCAAACAAAGTGCCTTCGAACTACATGCCGCGTACCGAGACCGAAAGGGCGCTGATGGAGAGTTTGCGCCAGCTAGAGATTCAATGTAAAGAACGCATAGATCTCCTCGAAGCCTTGAGGCTCTCTCGCCAAGACGACACTCACCAACCCCTGGCAAGCTCGTCGAGCGGCAAGGTGTCCACGCCCCTAGATTCAACGGAGTCGGAGCTCCGAGAAGCTGGGTGGATTGGAGAGGGAACGATACCTGCCATCACCTACCCGGAGCTTTCCCGTCCCAGTCTACCCCCACGACCCTCGCTTCCCACGCGCTCATCTTCAGAACAAGCGGTAGTAGGCGGCAGTCGAGCTTCTAGTTTTGACGTCGCTAGCCCCACTGCCTCCAGGCCGCGCCTTGCCCCGTCGTCTGGGTCCGCGTCCCGGGAGAAGCCATCAAGGTCATCCAGCCCTGAAAAACGGACTATGAGAACCACACTCCGCCCGGGCAAACTGGGGGACAGGCCCAGTAAACCCTCCCGTCACGCTCAAGCAAAAGCGGTTGACGGCCCTGGGGCTAGCAAGGCCGCATCTCTTGCGTGGAATAGTATCAACCTAAGAGAGCGGCTTTCTCGGGGGCACAATTCCGAACTTATCGTTTCGCCTCCTCACACAGTCAACCCCGAAATGGCTGAGATAGAATCCCGCAGTGTCGTGACGACCCCACGACCGCAGTGGGACAGCCACTCCAGAAGGCTTGTTAGCTCCCGTGATACGGAGCTTACTGAAACAAGACACAGTTTCGATTCTTCCCAATTTCCAAGATTGTCGGATGATGCTACCTATCAACGGCCTTCCCCCATATCGATCAGTGCCGCTGCCAATGCTTTAACAGGCTCTGAGTCGGAAAGGATACCACGCCACAGGACTGCTCCTCCCACGGATATGCGTTCAAGGGTACCCAAGACTGATGAAGGATTCCGGGTTCAAGACAGTGATCTCGAATCCGTGACGGACAGCCGTGGCTCGAGAGATTTTCCCATCCGACGTAAACCTATTGACCACAGTGCTTCGAGCCCGGCACGGGAAGTTCGTCGGAAAGGACAGCATCATGTGAGGCGAACAGCTTCGATTTCTAGTGTGGAAGACAGCGACCGCGCCGGGACTTCGCCACATGGGCGAAGAAAAGTTCGAGCAGAGAGGAAAGAAAATTCTCTACTCGCCGATTCAAGAGGACAAACAGGGGACGAGTCCAGCGCCGACGATGACACGAAGAACCCAGCTGCTCTGTGGAAACGAAGGAAGGCCGAAACCTTGCGAAATCTGCCACCAGGTGTTGATAAAGGCGCAGCAAAGCAGATTCTAAATGAAATCGTTGTTCAGGGGGATGAGGTTCATTGGGATGATGTTGCCGGCCTCCAGATTGCAAAAAATGCTTTGCGAGAAGCCGTGGTTTATCCATTTCTACGGCCTGATCTTTTCATGGGTCTTCGGGAACCAGCCCGCGGAATGCTTCTGTTTGGCCCACCTGGAACAGGCAAGACCATGCTGGCTCGTGCTGTGGCCACTGAGTCCAAGTCAACCTTTTTCTCTATATCTGCCAGCAGCTTGACAAGCAAGTATCTTGGCGAATCTGAAAAACTTGTTCGAGCCTTGTTTGGATTGGCCAAATTACTTGCACCGAGCATCATTTTTGTGGACGAAATCGACTCATTACTATCCCAACGCTCAGGCTCTGGAGAACATGAGGCAACTAGAAGAATCAAGACGGAGTTTTTGATTCAATGGAGTGACCTGCAGCGAGCTGCAGCTGGAAGGGAAGTGAGCGACAAAGATCGCGGAGATCCTAACAGAGTGCTAGTCCTTGCTGCGACAAATCTTCCATGGGCGATAGATGAAGCCGCAAGGCGCAGGTTTGTTCGGCGACAATACATTCCTCTTCCAGAAGCAGAAACACGGGCTGTCCAACTGAGAACTCTTGTTGGTCAACAAAAACACAGTTTGACCGATACCGACATGGAAAAGCTGGTTGAACTCACGGAAGGTAAGCTTTTATTCACGGATAAGAGGCATTCGCCAATGTCCTCCCCGTTTCTTCTACATACTAAATGTCTACGTTGCAGGCTTCTCGGGTTCAGATATCACTGCATTGGCGAAAGATGCTGCGATGGGACCTCTGCGATCCCTGGGCGAGGCGCTTCTGCATATGACAATGGATGAGATTCGTCCCATTGAACTGTCTGACTTCATGGCGAGTCTTACTACAATACGCCCCAGTGTTAGCCAGGCTGGTTTGAAAGAATATGAAGACTGGGCTCGAGAATTTGGCGAAAGAGGTGGCTAGATAAGACAACGAGTAGGAACAGGAGCTGCTGGCGTACTTTAGAGAACCACCACATTATCTCATGTATCGGTTTCCAATGATATATTTTTATGCAATTCGGGTGGCTCTTACGCTATTGGCTCCAATATAGATACACACATCAAATGCCCTTGATGAACCTAGTTGTTTAGCTATGATTTCCGACTCGACCACGTCTTCGCGATGGATCAACTTTCCAGCTGACAATGAACCATTCGGCCAATTTGTTTGAAATTGTATTGTACATATATACAGCCCCCGTATAAGAAGGAGGTAGAAGCCCGAATGCGTTCCTAGCACCTCTTCGACTCTGCGCAGTTGTGATATCTCATCACTTCTATAAAGAAATGACCGCGAAAGCGTTCCTAGCACCTCTTCGACTCTGCGCAGTTGTGATATCTCATCACTTCTATAAAGAAATGACCGCGAAACCAGGTTCATACTCGGTACCATCGACTGTCGGCGTGCATGTAAAATCAGTCAACATCTTTCGAGCTCTCAACCTCTCTCGAAGATGCTGATGTATCCTGTGGGCTTGGGTTTTTCTTGTCGATCAACTCGGCTTCCTTCCTAGCGGCCCTCCTCTCACGCTTGGCTGCCCTTTTTGCTTCTTTCGCAGCTATCCTCTCTTCCTCAGTCGGTATCGGCGGGCGATCTTCGATGGGGCTGCCGTATGGCGACAAAATGTGCTTCACGACGTGCCTCTTGTGCTGAGATGATCTCCAGCCAGGTGTGATGGCGACCACATCGCCGGTTCGAAGCGAGTTGTTGGGGTCGTGAACCAGATATGTTTCCTTTTTCATGAAATACTGCCAAGAGCCTGTCAGCCGCGGGACCTTATGCATATGATCGTGCAGAGAAGTCTCTTGAGATATCAACACACCTTCTTGACTTGGTTATTCCACTGATGACCGCCAACTCGAACTTTGACGGTCTTCTGCGCCAGACCCGCCGATACGACGACTCCAGGAAGCTCGCGCAGAGCACGGCGGGCGGTAGCACCTACTATGTTCGACATGCTGCTTGGTCCTCGAGATGGGTGTCGAGGATAGTATAGGATGTTTTAAGGTCTTTGACCGACATGATTGTCGCATTACTCACGACCCAAAAAATTCAGCCCCACTTTACCGAGTGCACTGACCACCCGGCAGGTGTCATCCAGAAACACCTCCAACCTCCTTAGCTGCCCGAATACTTTTCTTTGCATGCTTTCTTCAACATTTTTCCTCTTCTTCGCGACAAGACAACTACATGGCAGACCACCAGTAATATACTGTCTGTTATGTTTTGGCCGCCGATCAGATGTAGCCTTGGAAATCCTTGATATTTAATATTTGCTTTTTCAATCCGGAAAGCCAAGTGCTGAGTGCGAAAATACTTATTGAGTAGGGAAGTGCGTCGCGGTTTACATGATCGTGCTTCAACCTCTGTTGCTTCTGCCTCTTAATGGCATCTCGGGCGATTTCAGGTGATTTGAGAAGCCCGGGTTATCCAGATATTGTTCATCTGGGTAGGATGGGCACCTTCTTTTAGCTGGCTGAATGATGGCCTCTACATCTTTCCTTCTTGTCTGATTTGGCGTCAAGAGGTGGCATAGGTTCATCGGACAACACAATACCCGACCACATATCTCAGGGGCATACACATCCGAGAATGCTGATCAGACACTTGGCCGTTTTGGTCCAGAACGCCTCAGATGGATAAAGTATTGCAATCACGCCACACGGCATGTGCCCTGTCAGGACAGTACGGTGGCGCCCCTGAGTATCTACACCTGGTAAACTAAGCTGACCATTTGACATCCTCCTCGATGTCGTTGCTCTATCCAAGCATTGTACCTCACGAGTAGGAAATTGTGAAAGGTACTCTTTCCGATTTCGCCCATTTCACTTTCTTTATCAAGACTATGTACAATTAAGATCCTCGTCCCCATTAGGATTGCTTATTTAGGCAGCCGCTGTACACATACAGGTCCGGGTAGGCTTGGCACGAGATCCGGCCCTATGCTACCGTGTAGGCATGCCATTTGATTCTCATGGATGAGCATCGGCGCTCCTAAGGCCGTTCCAGACTTGGGAGTTTACGCCACAAAGACGCGCGCAGGGAGCCGCGAGCGTCGTTGCTGGTTGTTCTGCTGCTGTTGATTCGCCTACGGGAGTGGCCTGTCAGTACAGAATTGTAGGGAGCACGGACGAATAACGTACATTGGCATTCTTGCTTTGGTTGTTTGCATTTGCGTTGCCTTGGTCTTGAGCCGGGTTCTGATTGTTCGCGTTTGCATTGGCCTGGTTCTGACCTTGGTTTTGGCCTTGCTGGTTTTGAGCCTGATTCTGAGCTTGTTGATTCTGGCCTTGGTTCTGGTTGTTTGCATTGGCGTTTGCGTTTGCATTAGCGTTGCCTTGGTTCTGGCCCTGCTGGTTCTGGTTATTTGCGTTCGCATTCGCATTCGCATTGCCCTGATTCTGGTTGTTGGCATCTGCGTTGTTCTGATCCTGACCCTGATTCTGGTTGGCATTAGCATCACCAGTCGCTTGAGCACCAGCAGCGGTTGCAGTCAAGGCGCCTGGGCCGAGGTCGACAGCGGACGCGGCTAACGCAGCAGCAGCCTCGCCCTTGTCTCCGTTGTTGGCAGCAGCGTTGATGGTGTTGTTGTTTCCGTTCACCACAAACTTGGTGCAGTCATCCTGGGAGCCACGCTGTGCTACAGGCATGATAACAGGCTGGTGGTTGGATGCAGAGGTAAGGGTGCAGATCCGGTAGTTGCCCTCCGGAAGCCCACCAACTACATCGGCGGTAAGGAGACCATTGCCATTTCCTGCATCATTGATTCCCTTGAAGAAGGCGAATTGAGTCGGGTCGGGTGGTGTCTTCGGGTTCAGGCTGTTGCCCAGGTCTTGGACGGTGACATGGGTATGGCCAATGACATTTCCACCGCCGTTGAGAGCTTGCGGTGCAGAATAGTAGGTAGCCTGAGCATTGGTAAATGATCCAGCTTGCAAACCATTCACTTGCACCTGAATTGTGAAGTCCTTGCCTGACTCAATGGTCTGGTCGTTCGAGGGAAAGAGAATGATAGTTGATATCATTTTATCTTTGGCGGGAATAAATCCCTGGGCTTCTTGATGTCAGGACGCATATCATGACTCAAGCCGCAAAAAGAGTGCCAGAATGATCACTTACGGGTTGGGCTGCAGGATCCATCAACGATCTGTAGTCCGTTGGTGATGGTTTGGCCAGCGCAAAGATTGATGAAGTTGTTCTGCGAAGTATCCGATTTCGCCTGACCATCTTCCGCTCCTAAGCTCTCAGACCCATCAAAGAACGAACCAGTCTGGATGGCATTCGGCAGGAGCTGAGTTGAGTCTGCTCCTTGTTGATTATTATTGTTGTTATTGTTCTGGGCCACCGCCAGGGCGAACAGGGCCGCAGCGCTGAAGATCTTTCCGGAGACCATCTTGTCTTTCTACAAAAAGAACGAACGGCGTGAAAAGAAGGAGAAAAGAGTGACGATCTAAGACGGCGACTACCAACCAAGGTAAGGCCTCGAGACCATACGCAAACTAAATAAACAGATGCACGGTCAACGTGATCTTCTTCTTCTTGACTGGCAAGACCGAAGAGAAGAAATGAAAGAAACGAAGGGAATGGCCCAGGGAGGAAGAAGAGAAGCGAGCCGCGGAAGAGAAACAGACAAGCGATATATGAAGTGGTAGGTGGGCTAACAGACTATCTTGGCGTGGGAGGGCGGCCATGAGGACTACTTATCCTCTTGGCGGGACACGGCATAATGAAAGGGAGAGATGTGATGAAGATCTTGGGTGGACGGGTGCTGTAAGTTGCTCAGGGAGGAGGAAATGGAGATCCCGTGGCCGCATTGGTGTGTTGAAACTGGATATGAGGACGGCCTTGTCGCAGAGCCAAGACCTTTGGGAGATCCGCCGCTGTCACCTCAACTCACATAAACAACCGAAACGTCCGGGTCTAGTTTAAGCGTATCGGTAGTTTTTAGCATGTCATTGGCTCATCTGGCCGTCCCCTGACTAAAGCGTTGAATTCAGACGAGGTGCCGTGCCAAGCACAAAAGCCGATGCGGGTGACAAGGATGGGCACAAGAGGATCTATACCGCGCCGTTCAGAACGTCCTTAGGTTCTTTGCAAAACAACCATGTATCAGCGTACCGCTGAATAAGAGGGAGGTAGCCGCATTGGACCAATCTCCGTATCGGGCGGGCTGTATCATCCTTTACAGGCTGGGGGAAGCCCATACAAAAACCTATCCTCCATCGCAAGAAGGCAGCTACTGTGATCATCCGAATTCTAGAGGTTTAGAGACCACACCTGCATGTTACGGACACAAGGATTCTTGAGGTCAAACTCTTCAGAAGAGAGCTTGGATTGATGAAGTCCAGGCAAATCTCTCGCTGCCGCCTGTGAGGACAGTACACGAGGATGTTTCGGCCCCCGGAAGCCGTATGTGCCAGGCGATATTCGATTACTCGGATCTGTCATCTGAACTGAGACCCCACAATTGTTGGGGGATTTGACATAGATTATCCCCGCGTCGAGACCAGGTGGCTATATGCGACCGAAACAGACCGTGTTAGAGACATGCGTCAGGATACCCAGCATTGGCATGGAGCCGTGCGATCTCGTTAACCATGTGCGCAGCTTCTAGCCCCAGTGTAATAAAAATGTTGGAGAAAGACAAGTTGATAGCCGGTTCGATTATATAAGCATAATAGCGAATTAGAAACCTGCCTGCCTAGTTACAACAGAAATTGGGCGTTTAAGCGGTTCATAAACATCTTTCACGTAACAGTCATGAGTCGGCTTTCGCAAGAAAACAGCTCAGTTCCGAGGAGTATCATTACAACATGGTACTTGGCTACTAGGGTACGAATCTACCCATCGGTGCCAGCCCTTGTGATCAGGTATCTCGAATTTGAGCCTTACCCCCAAGGTCTCTGCTGAAATTTCAATGCCCTTCCCTGATTCTTCAGTCAAGCGAGGCGCTGGTGGAGACCTGATCCCGTCATCACGTTCGGAATGCACAGGATCCTGCGAAGGAACCGCTGTATTAACTCTAAATCAGCCAAGAGCGCATGGCCTCAAGGATTGTCTGAGATCCTTTGCGGGTTCTTCAACATACTGGTAGAGTGTACTGGGATATCACTTGTCTTGGCGAAACACGCTAGATCTACGGTTAAACCATACTCTGCGAAGTGATATCGACACCCCGTCCATATCGTACAGGACGATGCATTAGGTGATGACGAATGCGTCACATCACATAGCACATCCATGGCGCTAAACTCGGTTGAACCGAGCCAGGACCGCGTTTGAACGCACAACTGACGAGCCTCGATAGGGAAAGGAGGTAGGGAAGTTCGTGTGAAGCCAGGCTCAAAGCTCCTCAAGAGCAGCCCACCTCGCGCCTCTCGACTTGCGCAGCCAGTTCTATTGCCACTCGGGCCACGTCCATGTTCGTATGTCATGCCAAGCCTCAAACAATCTATGACAGGGGCGGGTACGCTGGGCTTGCGCATGCTAAGCTTTTTGAACAACGGTGTAGTGCAGATGATACATCCATCCCCTGCAGATAGATCTCGCAGCTTTCAGGGTCGAGAGTGGCACAAGCACCGTCTGGGAGACCAGGAGTGGGCTGACAATTTGGCAGGGTGTGGTTGATCCCGTGCTCGGCAAGCGACATCCTGCATCATCTTCTATGCTCGTGTGTCAGCTGTGACGGCCAGCAGGACACTCTCGAATGGGTCGCCGGGTCAGAGAGAGGAAGACCGAGACTCCACTCCCTACAATTGCTGCATGGTGTACCTACATCTCCGAGTCGCCTCTACGGTAGTTGTCAGTGCTTAACCCAGTATGAACTGTTACATACTGCCACAGCCATGCACATCGTCTACCCTGTTATTACAGTGCAGTACCATCGATGGCGAGCGGGCAGCAGCCAGGGGCGCCGCGTCTGCGACGTTTCACCTCGTCGATCAGAACAGACGACTATTTGGGATGGGAGAATTGCCATGTTGCCAACTGACAGCAATCGCTCGGCTTGGCATCCCATGTTTCCTGTTCTCGTTTATTACAATGAGTACATACGTTTCCAGTAACGGCTCCAGCTCTCGGCCCACACTTACAAAGTCGTGATTGACGACGGGGAGTTGTGCCCCCGGAGAGGAAGCTGGATTGCCCATAATTGGCCATCGCAAACAACCGTTCTTCCACAATGTCTTTCTTGAGTTCCCCGTAAGATGTGACCCAATGCAGGACCATTGCAAGAGGCAGGATCGGGGGCTGCTTGGTCTACAGGAGAGACTGGACAAGAAGACCGTAATCAATCGGAGCCGACCCAGAGTGGAGAGTCCGGAGCGGGTCGCCCGGCAGCCCGATGGGACCGCCGGGTCTCTACCCATCGGTCGAAGGCACTCTCGGGGCTTCCCACCCTTGCCGGCAGGCCTGGTTGTCAAGTTTAGATGTACACGTCTCCGCACGAAGAAGAGGTACACAGGAACAGAGATAAGATTGAGGCCGCATGCTACTGGTGAGCCTCGCAAGAAACGGAAGCCTACCATTTCTACTCTCCCAGCACTGCCAAAGTGTGCCTGCCAATCCTATTGCGCGTTCTGACTCTCACCGCCAGAAGAAAGGGGAAGAAGGGGTAATTTCTTGATGCGATCAAGTCAGCTGCTAATTTGCTCCATCATCAGTCCAGACCCGCGCTACGCGACCTGAACGTGGTGGATAATTTGCGAACGATTACCGCAGACCCATAAACGCATGGAAGTAGCTTACATTCTTCAAACCATCGGGTAGCTACCCTGGGGTTGGTATCTTAGACTACCTATCGTTGGGTAGTAGCCTCGAGTTCGTCGTACGAGGATCTCGCGAGCCTGCCTGCCTCCCGAGCCAGTATTTTCACATCAAGGCCTTTCCAACGCCTCCTTTCCTTTAATCGTATAAGCGGGCTGTGGCCGCGATCAACCACTAGGGATTGACCAGAGATGACATGATGGATACATTGGTTAGCAATAGCGCCAGCCAGTACACATCGGATCAGGATCAGATTGCCTGTCCGCCAGAGGTATTTCTCGCTACGGTATCGGAGCCGAATTCTGCATCGTTACCTTCCGCAACAGTAAGTGCGAGCTAGGTACTGCGTAGGTCTACTCTGGGTCAAATAGCGGCCACCTGCTTAGTTCGGCGCTTATGGGTTTTTTTTAGTGCTGTCTGCGGGGTTGTTATATAACTCCCTAACATCAATTGCACCTGAGTTACACCTCGTTTTGTTAGACGGGAAAACGGCAACGTTAACTGGTAAGCCCCGCAGCGCAACCCTTCCCTTTTTTTTTTTTCCTCTCCTCCCCTTCGATCATCCTCCTATTGTTCATTTCCTTCTTATCCCCCATCCCCGACACAAACACCCTCTCCATACGAAAAGTGTCGCTGTTCTTGACTTCATTTCGTTGCGCCTCCCCAGTGTGGTCCAGTTCCTTGCCTAAAAGGGGAAAAAAAGAATGTCGTCACCTGAGCAGCGAGTTGGCAAGAAGAGGCCACGTAAGTGATCCCAGTTCTCCTGGACATAGCTCTCCCGCCCGTTTCTGCCGCGCGATGAGTGAGTGCTGATCCCACGAACAGGAACCCAATCGCTTCCTCCGCCAGCTCTGCCCCAGCTTGTAGCTGAGCAACACCTCCCCATCGCACCCACAGACAAGGATACCAAGCGACTGATTGTCGTCCTCTCACATGCCAGCCTCGAGACCTACAAGGCTTCCCATGGCGGACCTGGACGCATGGGCATACAACGCGAGGAAAAGTACTCGCTCTTGAATAGCGATGAGCACATTGGTGTCATGCGAAAGATGAACCGAGATATTAGCGACGCTCGGCCAGATATCACTCACCAGGTTCGACATTACTTCCCTCAACTCATCATGCGTGTGTGTCTGCATTCAACATGCTGACCAGGTAACCCATCCCCTATAGTGCCTCCTTACCCTGCTCGATTCGCCTGTGAACAAGGCAGGCAGGTTGCAGATTTATATCCACACCGCGAAAGGAGTCTTGATTGAAGTATCGCCCTCCGTCCGCATACCGCGTACCTTTAAGCGCTTCGCCGGTCTCATGGTCCAGCTACTTCACCGGCTTTCCATTCGCTCTACTAATTCCCAGGAAAAGCTCTTGCGTGTCATCCAGAATCCCATCACAGACCATCTTCCACCCAAGTGCCGAAAGGTAACGCTCAGCTTTGACGCCCCAGTAGTACGTGTACGGGAATACGTTGACACGCTGGACACCGATGAGAGCATTTGTGTGTTCGTCGGTGCTATGGCCAAGGGTCCAGACAACTTTGCCGATGGCTATGTCGACGAGAAGATATCCATCAGCAATTACAGCCTCTCGGCGAGCGTTGCTTGCAGCAAATTTTGTCACGCCGCAGAGGATGCTTGGGATATCCTGTAGGGCGGAGTTCTACTTCAGGGCATCTGGTACGGCCACACAGACGCAGGAGGATATCTAGGGATCAGCTTCAGGCACTTCAGAGGAGCTACACGATATGGCATCCACTGAATTTTTTTAAAGGTATAAGACGGGGCTGCAGGCGGTGCCGGTGATACAACATCGCTGGTGGCTGCCTGTGACTCCCCGTACTTGGGTCGTCTGAACTTGCGCTGTTCCTGTTTTGCAACAAAACCATGGGCGTTCAACAACGGATCCCCCAAGACGCTTTCGTCGTCTGCTATGAGCCACTTCAACTTGGCTCACAACCCCCTATCCCCGTGTCCCCTGCTCCTCAAGTGGTTGATGTACGTGTGGGCCACGTGGCTGGGACAAATTTCCGTCCTCTATCGATGGTCCAACTTGTCAGCCAAGGCTCCATCAATGGGGAATTACACTCCACCAGCTTATGCTTGTAGGTGTCCGACACGCTCATATCTCAGCAACGTTCGACCTATTTGGTACTAATAGCAGCAATCCGGTGGCTCGATCGAGGCGGTCGTTTTATGGGTATGGGGTTGTACAAAGGGGTATTCAGGTTGCCGAACATCACACATTTCGTTGTGGCCTTCAGTCGAGGAATAACTTTCATTGGACTGCAGAATATTTGCATCTCCGCAACAACGGACATATTCAGGATCGCTTTCGAACAGGATCTATCATGAATGATATAAATAGTTCAACAAACACCCAGACGCACCCACTAAGAGCAATTGTAGCTCGAATGGCTATTTGCTTTGGAAGCATTCAAGCTTCCGCTGGAGATGCAGAAGGGTTCCGTGATTCGCATAGAGACGTATTCAGTCCCATTTCACAATTCCAAGCCTGGGATCCCCCAGACCCCTCAAACAGAAAGTATGCCAGCGTCGACTTGTTCATAGTTTTCCATCGGGTTCTGTCGTCACAGAGGAATGTCTGTCAATTGTTAATGAGACTCCTTTACCTACCGATTCGCTATGACGTGATATGTAGCGACGAGGTGCAGTAGCACACGTTATCCAACCCACATTACTCTGCCTACCCTAGTTGCCCTGGGTAGTCGACTTCTTGTTGAGCCACCGTACCTCTCAGATGCCTAGCCAGACCTGACACTAGGACTAACACACGTCTGGGGGCAAGCCATTGCACCTAATGGCAAGACCACCGAGTCTGGTTGGACTACTACTACTACTTGCCTGGAGGCCGAGAGGTGGACAGATCGATCATGCTGGTCGCAGGTGATGTGTATCGGAAGCGGGCTGTATGCCTTGCGATGCGCTTGGTGTCCGACCGACCTTTTTACATCATCGTGCACAGGTTTAGGTCAGCGGGAGGCGACGGGAGGGGCTGCGTGAAGTGACTTGTCAAGCTAGATCTTCCTTTCTTGCCCTCTCATTCGAAGCCTTGGCTCACTTGGATAGCCGGGACCCGGGCCTTTGTTAGACGTTGGGCAGCAGCCGGCATCCCACGCGCATACATCCCTCGTCTGCATGCATACATCTACCCATTCATTCGGCCATCAGTTGCCTCAGCTCACCCAGCACTGCTGGCAAGTTGCAACACCCCGACCGGTCTGCTGGTCTTCTCCCGGCGGACCTGGATAGATTTACTGACTGACTAATTGATTAGTTGAAATGAATGGGTGATTGGCTCCCCGGCCAGTAAGAGCCATATGACGATTCACTCTTGGCCTAAACTATGTTACTCGTACGTGAATTTAGATCCATGGCTGCCACAATTGCAGGGAATCTGCCTTAATGTGCAGCTGCATTACATGAACGCAACACAGCACAGCACAGCACAATACTTTATACATGCCAACTTACTTCCTGCGTGGAGGTCGGTGGGACAGCGTGATCCATCCACCAGAACCGCCCGGGCTGACATGCCTCACGTGGTGGGAGACGGAGGCCTAACCAGACCCTTGTGTCAGTTGAATGTTCAGGTACCTGTGTGTAGGAGTCGAAGACAGAGGCCGACCGCCTGCCTGTGGTCTGTGAATTCCGCTCTGGTGAGTCAGGGTGATCAATCGATGCATCCATCCCCCTGGCCCACTGAAGTCCAGCAGTAGCATCAACGACGGGACGTGTTGGGGGCCCCGCCCTGGGTGAGCATTGGTTCGTCCATTCGTTCATTTCATTCATTCCCTGGCGAGCCTGGGAGGAGGACTGCGTTGTATTCCTAGTCTTTGGCCCAGGTGTCTTAGCAGCCATCAGTATCATGCCAGTAACTCCGGCAGACATAACATAGAGTGGCTACGCGGCGGCCCGCGCCCAAGCCAGGTAGAACGGCGGGCTGGTGGATAGTGGATGGTGGATAGTGCAGGAGAGGACACTGGAAGGAAGGAGGCAGCCCAGGAGGCCATCTCAACTCCCCCACATCTATCTGCAGTATCAAGCCTCGCAACTTTCACCTACACCTTCATTACCTTCCTGGGTACCTTAGGTAATTCTAAGCTTGGTATGTTGTCTGCCTCCCAGATGGCTTCCACTCACATTCCAGGCCTGTCAGGCAGTCAGTCAGTCCAAGAAGCACCCATTTGTTCCTCTAGATTTTCGTGACAGATCAGCGATCACCAATGCGTTGGCTGGGATTGAGATTGGATCGCCTCCTCTCCGCCTCTCCGCCGCTCCGTCCCAATGGTCTCGCCCGTCTCTCTCTCTCTCTCTCCCGTCTAACCGCCGCATTGGCCCCGCGCGCGCAGAGCCTGCCGGTGCCCGAAGGAGGGCCTCCCTTTCTTCTAGCTGCCTATAGGCGGGTTGGCCCTCCTGTGCAGCAGACTAGACTATCCGACATGCTGCATCATGCAGAGTTGCGAAGACCTTACTGCAATGAGGTGCCCCATGAATGGTGCGTATGCATACCTGCCTCAAGATGCCCTCCGCCGCCATTCGTTTGTGACGCCCCGCACCGGCCCCGGCCCCCCAGCTACTATCCACGGCCAACTAAGCATGCTACCCAGGGAGCCAGGCTTGCCAGGTAGCACGACGCAAGATGCAACAGGGTCTCTATACCTAGCCTACCTACCTACGTATGACCACTGCTTTGCCCTGCATTTCCGTCAGCTTGCCTCGTAGCAGGAGTGGAATTAGATACCTCTACCTTGGGTGGGCTAAGAGCGTGTCTGATCAGGATTGGACTGGATTCCGTGGACCACACCAGACCCCGATCATTGATCAGGTCGACGTACCTAGCCTAAGGTAGGTACGGTACATACATGATACAGCCCACTGCTGAGGAGGCGATCCGCAAGTCGATTAGCAGGAGACAACTGCATACTGCAAAAAGCACCTAGTAGGGTAAGGATCAGGTATATATGGACGCCCACGTAAGGTACCTACCTAAGAAAGCTGGTGGGAGGTAGCAGAAAAGCGAGGCTCGCTCCAGCTTTCAATCTTCATTTTTCAGTCTTCACCTCAACAGCCCATCGCTCGCCTGCTTTCATCCCATGCTATCGACGGACGGCGCCTGAAGAAAGAGACAGACATAGATAAGGGTAGATGAATCGTCTCTCGTCCTACTCCAACTCCAGCTCCAGCTCCAGCTCGCCTCGGTTCCAGCTGGTCGTTGCTGGTCTACACGTCCTACAGCAAAGCCTCCTCAAGCGCCCAAGCAGAAAAGCGCGAGATATCTAGGGATACCCGCGTCTCCGAGATAGATTTCATATCCTTACTCCATCATTCTCGGTAAGTGATCAGACATGTAATCCAACCTACCTACCTCACGAGGGTCCCTCCATACCCTATCTACAAAGGGAATCCATCTGATCTGAGTCCATAACTGTTTACATCTTACTTTGCAAGTGGGGTAGTGTATTCAATTCCAACACCATCACTCACTCACTCATTCATACGCCCACATCCATCCTCAACCTCCTTTTCCACCTCCTCTCCGATATGACTTATGCCTGCCTGACCTCACGCCCTGATTCACTTTTGTTTGGCTTTGCCGTCTTGGGCCCCCCGATCCAGTCCAGTTCTAACAACTCACTCACCCCCTCTAGTCTAGTCTACTCCAGTCTTGACTTGTCTACGGCGAACCCAACCCAGGGCTGGTGGTCTGTTCGCAGCTATCCCCATCCCCGGCCGGCCCTCTCGAGCGTGCGTGTGTGCGGGTGTGCGTGTGAGCACGCGGCTGTGATCCATCACCCCCTGTGATCCGCAACGCAACACAACACCAAGCAGCCCCATCCCTGCCTGGCCTGTGTCTTCCCGTGCAGTGCCGCCTGCTACCCACCATTCAGTGGCATCCACCACCCACTGCCACACCCGTCACCCATCACCGACCCCTGTCGTGATCCCCGCTACAGGCTGCCGCTCCACGACTTCGCGGGCGCCTCTGCAAGCCTCCCCCTCCACCACATCCTATCCCTCCTCGTTAGGTCCTTAGCACGCCTCGATTCGGACGGAGCCTGGGCGTTCTCCTCTCGTTGAAGCAAAAGGAAGAACCCCCGAACTCAGGCTCAATCGGCCTACTTCAATCTGATGATTCCCTTCCTCGAGGTCTCCCACCTCGCCTCCTCCACCTCCTTCTACTCAGCTGTCGTACAGCCTCTCGGGCTCCGCTACATCTCTGCCGGCTCTGCCTCCGTCACTTTCGGCACCGCCACCTTCCCTCCTGTCCCCGTCCTCGAGCTCCGCCAGGTCACTCCAACCCCAGCCCGGCACCTCAAGCCCTCGCGCCTGGTCCTCTCCGCTGGCTCTCCTGCCGCCGTTGACGACTTCCACGCCTTCGCCCACAGAGCCAGCGCCAGCTCCACCCCGGCCGCCCTACCGCATTCCGGTCGCTCCCTAGGACCTGGCGACACAGCCAGCGTTGGCTCGGCAGACGAGGCTGGCGAGAGACGTGCGAAGATCACCGATTTCGACGGCAACATCATGGAGGTCGTCTACGTGCCACCCCCAGACTACCCATCCCGCTTCGGCGGCTCGACCGTCAGGAAGACCCAATCCACTCACGACGAGGTTACCAGGATCCTTGACTGGAACTACGACGTTGCATCCTCAGTCCCTCCCTCTGCTGCCGCCACTTCTGTCCGGGGATCCAACCTGGCCCTGTCGAGACGGCCCGGCCGCTACCCGGATGACGAGCCCTACTCCCTCCTGCGCCGGAGCGTCACTACCACGTCAATGCTCGAGCCAACTTCTGCCCCTTCCCCCCGCCAAAATTCCAACGGCCTGAGCACCGGTGCCGTCGTTGGGACGCTGCTTGGAGTTGCTGCCGCTGGCGCCGCCGCAGGTGCCGCCTTGACATATAGCATGATCAAGAGTGACCGCGCCCGGGCCCCGCTGCAGGAGTTTGAAGCCCCTGCCTTCCAGCGAAGGTCCACCTTCCCGGAGCCCTCTCCTGATCGCCGCGGTCGCTTCATGGAGGTGGAGCGGACGGTTGAGAAGGTCCGCTATCCCGAGGACTACACGCCCGTGGCGGCGGATCACCGCCCTGCGCCTTCTTACATAGCTCGATACAGCCAGGCGCCCGCTTCTCGAAGTAAAGAAGTAGACGACATCTACGACGATCACAGAAGCCGGCATTCCTCCCGCTACCGGCCACCGCATGCCGCCACTGTTCGCACGCGCAGCGAAGCACCTTTGAGCCGGGCTCCGCTGATGATCGCCGACGCCGACCATCGCAGCTATGCGAGCTCTAAACACAGCGCGGCACCTCCGCCGTCTATCCGTCGCAGCTCGACCTTTGACATTCCGGACCGAGAGAGCTACGTTTCTGCGCGAAGTCAAAGGACAGCGAGCACGATCCGGCCACCACCGGTTCCAATGCCAGTGCCTGCACCATCCCACTCACAGCTTGTCACTCGGTCCAAACCCAGCAGCCGGGTCACGACCACGACGGTCAAGGTTCTCGGTAACTCCCCAAGCCAGAGCCCAGCAGCGCGTGGCTTGAGCAGGGCGGGGAGTTACATGTCAGCACGAAATGTGCCGCTGCCTCCCAGCGGCGTTGGGAGCAGCCATGCGCACTGGGATGACGATGCTGACAGTGTTGCCCCGAGCGACAGTATCAGTTGTGTGGGAAGTCGCAGGAGCTCGAGACCTTATCACTAGAAATGAACTCTTCCGACTTCCATCCTTCTCGGTTTTGACAGATTGATGTGACTCGGCAAAATAGAGTCTACAGCATGAAAAGAAGTGCTTGGTCTATCACGAGATAGAGCTCGATAGGAACGGCGGAATCTTACAAATTGGGTGCAGACGAGCAAGTCGGTGAACAGAACGAGAGAAATTCTAGGTAAATATTATTACACTTGAAGCAGAGCAATCTGTGATGCATAAAGAGGCGGCGCGGTGGCCAATTTATACGATCTCTCGTGCTTTTTACGGTGGCATAATGGATTATGGATGAAACGACTAGCTTATGTTCATGGGTATCTCTGTTGGGGTAATTGGGTGTCAATTAGGAAACTTGTTTGCAGCCTTGATTTCAAATACGTGAATTATACATTGACTGGATCACTGTAGCTCATTGTGGTGGGAGTTGTCTTCTCGAGGAGAATTTGAGGCATTGTGCAGTGTTGTTCGTGCCATGTACATGGAAATAGGGACTGCGCCGGTACTACCCACAGAGTCCGGAACCCCGTGATGTCGGGGACTGAGCTCCGGCCCGGGTGGGCAGGCTTTCGGCGGCCGGGGTCTCTGGATCTGGGGGCGGGGGGGGAAAGCTGCCTTGGTAAGGAGCCAATGACAAACAGGGACCCCCTCGCTCGGCGCGGGAAAGTCTTGTTGTCAGTCCTGGGAAAACACTTCAAAAATTTGCCTCCGATAGTCGGCACAATGACCAAGAATGGATTCGATTTCTGGGGGGTAGTGCGGCCAATTGATTGAGTCATGCTGGAATTCCCACCACACCACACCAACCTTGGAACCTCATTACCTGCCTCGCATTTACTCTTTCCTTGGGCTCGCAGATTGCCAGTACCAATTGACCTGCCCCAGGTACTGACTGACCTACCAGACCTTACTAGTGAGGTGAGCCGTGGGGGTTACGCCGACTACACTAGAATCCAGTCCATCCCGGTCTGACTGGGTATCTACCGGCCCATACTGAATCGAAGTTCTGTCTGTACTCCAGTACTCCCGTCGCCGCACTAGCCAAGTCTCCACCTCTTTCTTCAAGAGACAAGACTCATCTCACTCACTCGCACGCTCCAACTTGTATCTATCGCCTGCCCCAGAGACTTCTCATTTGTGCCAGCCCCTGGTCCCATCGACATTGACACAAGCAAGACATTCCTCTTGCTACTCCCAGGCCGTCAGATGCCTTCTTTTGAGCTCGGCGAGTCGATTCCGCCGGACACGGCTCACGTAAGTACTTTGATCCGCCCGCATGCACAGTAGGTGCTTTGCAGATTGTCCTTACTCACAACATCGCAACAGGCCGTGAGCGTGTCCTTGCCTACATGGAAGTCAAACATTGGCTATGAGGAAGGGGAGGAATGGGTCCTCGGGCGCATGGTGACCGGTTACCCCAGGTGAGACATGTTGTCCTACAGCTCTGGCCCCTGAGGCTAACCCCCCCATTTCAAGGTTCTACATCCACAAGAGCATAGCTGCCTTGGCCCAGGAAATTGCTACCAGGTATGGACAGCCTGGGCAGGTCGGGATGTGCTTCCCTTCAAGACAGTCGGCTCTCCGTTGCATAAGCTTCATCAAAACGCGTGCGCCGGGCGATGCTCTGCATCACCTCTCTGCCATTAATTTCTCCCTTGACAATTCCAAGCCAGAAGCAGCGCCCCTGAAGGGCATAGCTCCTGCCATATCCGCCGTTCTCTGCACACCAGCTGCTTTCCCCTTCGCGAAGCAGTACTGGCAGCACACGGGTGACTTTGTCTCGAGTAGGCGTGCTGAGTTCTGCCACGGCCTTCTTGATGACGGCCTCTTGGTACCAGACGAGAGGCGGTCCTCCCCAACACCTGTCAGGCAAAAGCCATGCCGTGGTCCTCGTCGGTACCAACGACCCCTATCCGTGGATGAGACAGCCAATTCCCCTGCAACAGGCGTAGCCGGCAATAGCATCTCCGCCAAAGATGTAGTCGAATCAACCCGTTTTCTCGAGGAACGATTCGGCCGGAATCTTGACATAATGTTTGTCGAACGAGCGAGGACAGCAATCAAGAGGAGAATTGCTGGTACGCTCACTAGTGATGTCGACCTCACCACCACACCGCTCCCGGCACTGGAGTCCAGCACCCGGGGCATTGCCAACCTTTCCGAGGGTGACATCTACCTCTATCCATGTGGTATGAATGCCATCTTTAACGCCCACGCCACACTCCTCGGCGTCCGTGGGTCGATGAAAAGCATCAACTTTGGTTTCCCTTATGTCGACACCTTGAAGATTTTGCAGAAATTTGGCCCCGGCTGTCTTTTCTATGGTCACGCATCAAATGAGGAGCTCGACGACCTGGAGAAACGACTACAGAACGGCGAGAAATTTCTGGGTCTCTTCTGCGAATTTCCTGGGAATCCACTGCTAACCTGTCCCGACCTTGTCCGGATTCGCCAGCTTGCTGACCAGTATGATTTTGCTGTCGTGGTGGACGAGACCATCGGTACATTTGCCAACATCAACGTACTCCATTTTGCGGATGTGGTCGTCAGCAGCCTCACCAAAATCTTCTCTGGGGACTGTAATGTTATGGGCGGTAGCCTCGTGCTGAATCCACACAGTCGGTATTACGCCGAGATGAAAGCTCTTATCCAGAGGGAGTTTGTGGATACTTACTGGGCCGAGGACGTCATCTTCATGGAGAGGAATAGCCGGGACTTTGCAGGCCGCATCGAGCGAGTTAACGCGAATGCCGAAGCCATTTCCGAGATATTGCTCGCGCACCCTGCAGTGCAGAAAGTGTACTACCCAAAACATAACGAGTCGAAGCGAAGCTATGATGTTTGCAAACTGCCACAGGGGGGCTATGGTGGTCTCCTCTCGGTTGTCTTTCATCGAAAAGCTCAGGCCATGGCTTTCTACGACGCCATCGAGACGGCCAAGGGTCCTAGTCTCGGCACAAATTTTACTTTGACTTCCCCGTATGTGGTACTCGCACACTACCAGGAGCTCGATTGGGCGGCTGGAATGGGAGTGAGCCCTGATTTGCTTCGGATCAGTGTTGGTCTTGAGGAGACGGATCAGCTTATATCTGTCTTCAAATCAGCATTGCACGCCGCAGAGGAGTGTGCACAAGACTAGGCCAGATCACAACGAACGGAACATAAATAGGCGAAGTGCTCGGGCGTGCGGAAGAGCTGCACGATGAAGCGGCTGCCTGGAGCAGAAACTATGGGTAGCAGTGTGTAAAGCAATATTGCTTCTCGATCTGGCAGATACTGGCGTACCTCATATATGCACTCTGATGCGAAATTGGAGAATAAAATTATGAATTAACTGTCTATTACCGTGTTCTCTTTTGCCGGCATTATATGTATCTGTAAATCGCTCCTTCACTCCAAGGCCGGCCTCGCATGTAGACACAGAACGGCTGAAGACCAAGCTTCACATTACACCGCACGACGAGTGCTTATATGATTCGCCAAACAGTTCAACACCACGCTCTATTTCATTCGCCTTTTGCTTTTCGTCCGTTTCCTTGCGGAAATATAATCTCAAAAACTTCTCAAGATCTTTGTCAAGGCTTGCTATGCCGCCCCAGACGTATTAGCTATGTGATATGGGGGGTAGGCATGGAGGAGAATGTCTACTTACTTAGGTCGGCCTGCATGATCACGTCGCCTCGGCAAAGCGGGCACTGACGCTTGTGCTCCCGCTGCATCTTGATTACACAACGGACGCAAAAGACATGCTGGCATTTCAGGCGCACCGGGAGCCATGCAATGCTCATACAGACAGGGCAGATGTAATCGTCCAACCGAGGCACGACGGAGACGACCTCCTGGGAAACCTGTGAGCAGATCTCCTTGGCGACGCCCTCTGCCATGAAGCTGCGACTGTTAATGGCGGCTGGGAAAGACGACGATACGCCTAAAGCAGTGCGTTTATCAAATTCTGAGTGATATGTTAGCTTTTAAACAGCGAACGTCAAAGGGATACGAACTTTTCAAGATCTTCTTGATTGCTGTCTTGTTGATCTCTTGGAACTTGAGATTTCGCAGCAGAGCCGCGTTCAATTCCAGGAATCTAGCGTAAGCGTCCCGGCTAGCAGGAAGCTTGAAATGTTCCACTAGCTTGCGATCCTTGACCTGATTCTGGAACCACATGAGCTGACGCAGGGCAACATCACTCTTTCTGGCACCGTGATCACGCTCGTGGGTCGAGAAGAAGACCTGTGCGTCCAGGTACAGCTCGAATAACTCCCGCCAGCGCGAGATGTCGTTTTTGGAATAACGAGACGGCTTCGTCACGGCCGACACTTCGTGACCAAGAGTTGCGACCTCCTTTCTTAGGCTTTCCTGCTCCTCCTGCTGCAACGCATCGAGGTTGTTCACATCGTTTTGCAGAATGTCGAAAAACTCGGCGTCAAAAACCAGAGGGACTTCGACCCGCTGGTAACGATGGGCTGAGGTGGCAGTGTCCTCATGGTCAGATGGAATTTGTCTGTGCTGTCAGCAGTTTGAAGATAGAAAGGCAGAGTCAGGGAGGCCGCCTCAGGAATGACAAGACTAAGCAGGTACGTCCACCCACAGGATAGCCATCTGCGCCGGTAGTGGGGAGAGGAAAGGGTGCTAGAACTTACTCAGGTTCCTCGAGCAGGTCAATAGGGCTTTTGAGGATAGAGCCTGGTTGGTCCGAAGAGGTTTGCACAGCAGTCAGCTTCTGAAGAAATGATTTGGACGCCGGCGAAAGCGAGGCCTGCACGATCTCGCCATCTTTCAGTTGAACGAAGATAGACAGCCGTGGGCGTAAGACTTTGGATTTATCGGCTAGGAGGAGAAGCGTCAGCGGCCGGGACGGCAACGTAGGGTCGCCATTACTCACCGTCCAGGTTGTATTTCGCCACGGGGACTGGATCACCCTCAGATGAAAGGGCATGAGCAGCCAGGAGCTGCTGGAGGGTTTCTGGATCTAGGCCAAGTTCACGAAGTTCCCGCTGGACCTTCTTAAGGCACTTCTTAAGCTGACTATAGGGGATAGCCGAATCAAGCCAACGAGTGGGATACCCTAGTGGCAGATGTGAGTGATCCGCCTGCATATACAGATGATGGTAAAGATGGTGGGTGGAGTGGGTAGATGAGCAGGACATACCCTCGCGGCTCAGCGCCTCCTTAAACTCGTGGGCAAACTTCATCGAGTCCAGTGACGAGGCAGTTGTCTTTGAAGTGCGGGCCGAGGAGCGCAGGGGAGTGAAGTTCCAACTCTCAAGTTAGCGTGGTGATGGTTGTCAGACGCATAGCACCCATGGCCTCGTGGCGTTTTGGTGGTAGTTACAAGGGAAGTTGCTGGGAGCGGCGGCGTCATGCATGGCAACGCACGACAGCATCGATGGTGAATCGGTTGAGGCAGAGCGGAGAAGGGGGTGAATATCCAGCGTTGAGTATTTGTAGCCTTCTAGCTACCTCAGTCCACGCCGCCGGTCAACCCAGTCTACCTAGGTAGACTCTAGACGCACTCTCTTGTTCACGGAAGCCAACGCGTTCCCAGGCGTCAATATGTGACGACTTAATTATGTCCCTGGCAAGGGATCAGTAGAGTTGATGTCGATTTTCAGTAAAGGCATCCCAGTCGAGTCGAGTCTAGAACAGTCATGTGATTGTCGCCGCTCTTGCGTCAGTGGGAGCTAATCCCTGTAAAGGTTGGAGTGAGAGCGCTGTGGCTCCAGCGCCACATGGGCCAACCCCGCGGCAACACCCCACCATAAATGTTAAGAGAGAAGGTAGAAATTGTCCGTACCAGTACCTTAAACACCAAAGAATACCTATTTCTCAGCCGAGATGTCTGTCAGAGGCCCGTGATGCCTACAACAACCTGAATGCTACTGCCCGGTCGCTTCTAGACGCACTCTCCTTTTGGCCACGGGTCATGCTCTTGACTCTCGAGGCTTCCCGAGACATATCATGACACGGTCTTTACCCTCGTCTCGTCTGATCAATTCTTGGTGCAACGGCTATTGACCCAGGCCCCTGAGCATCTCAAAGCCCACTTGGAGCGTATGCGATACTCTTCAAAGGAGACCTGTGTCTGGTGATCCTTCACCATGGGCGCGCAACAGTCCTCGGAGGGTTCCGCGACCGCGGGAGATGCTGTCCCGCGCAAGACTTGCTACTACGAAGTCCTAGGTGTCGACAGCCACGCCGCCGACGAGGAGTCAGTCCCGAATAACCGCCTCTTGTCACATTTTGGCACACTCTGCTAACCTAGACTGGCTTCGCCTCCTTTCCAGCATTCGGAGAGCCTACAAAAGAAAAGCTCTTGAACTCCACCCTGACCGAAACATCAACGATGTCGAAAATGCGACGAGGAAGTTTGCTGAGGTCCAAACTGCATACGAGATACTATCTGATCCGCAAGAGAGGGCCTGGTATGACTCCCATCGCGATGCTGTCCTCCGTGGAGATGTCGACGCCGATGACGCCCCGCAGCAGCACTATAACGTGCGCCTGACCACAACGGAGGAGATCATGACGCTCATAGGGCGCTTCAACTCGAGCGTACCCTTCAATGACACGCCTACCGGGTTCTTTGGGAGTCTCGACATCACCTTCGGCCAGTTGGCCACCGAAGAAGCCGCCGCGTGCGACTGGCAGGGCACGGAACCCGTAGAATACCCACCCTTTGGGTCGGCCGACGACAGCTATGAGTCCGTGGCGCGCCCCTTCTATAATGCCTGGTCCAACTTTTCTACCAAGAAGTCGTTCAGCTGGAAAGACAAGTACCGACTGTCGGATGCTCCAGATCGCCGGGTCCGCCGCCTCATGGAGAAGGAAAACAAAAAATACCGTGATGACGCCATCCGCGACTTCAACGACGCAGTCAGGTCCCTCGTAGCCTTTGTGAAGAAGCGCGATCCCCGATACATCCCCAATACGCAATCCGAGGCAGACCGACAGAAGATCCTCAGGGATTCTGCAGCCGCCCAAGCTGCCAGGTCACGGGCCGCACACCAAGAAAAGATTGCCGAAGCCTTTGTGCCGGATTGGGCTCAATCTAGACATGATGCAGACGCCAATGACGAATTCGCCTCAACCGAGGAAGAGTCGGAGGTTGAGCACATAGAGTGTGTCGTGTGTAACAAGACTTTCAAAAGTGAGAAGCAATTTGAGGCACACGAGAAGAGCAAGAAGCATTTAAAAGCTGTTCAAGAGCTTCGCCGACAGATGAAGAAGGAAAACATGGCATTTGATCTGGACCACCAGACTAGCCCGGGACCGGCGGACGATGATCCTCCTCCGGAGCCTGGGATCAGTGGTGGCGCAAAGAGACCAGAAACATCTGCCCCTGAAAGTATTATGAATGGCAACGCTGAAACAACCGTCGACGGTTCGGGGAGCCCTTCTGAAGAAGAATCGATAGACGAGGACTATGCGCCCAGAAGTGTCATCGAAAATCGCATTCTCACGGCAAGTCCCGGGTCTCAAGTTGATTCACCTGCTACAGATGGTGATCTTGAATCACATATGGCTGAGGCCACCCTTGACGAATTGGCGTCTGTTAAAAAGGTAGGCAAGGCAAAGGCAAAGAGGGAAAAGAAGGCTGCTAGACAGGCCGCTCAGGTGGAGGATGCCTCGGTATGGTTCAGCCCTATACTGCATACCGATAATCTCTAACGGAACCTCTAGCATACCTGTGGTATTTGTTTGGCTCAATTTGAGTCTAAGACCAAGCTGTTCAAGCATATCCGAGAGGAGGGACACGCGCAGCCCCAGGTCGTCCAGCGCAGCACCAAGGGCGGCAAAAAGTCCAAAAAATGAAAGTTCGACTGCTCGACATGCATATCCCTGTATAATAAGCGCAAACGTATTTGTGGGTGTGATGCAAACGCCGATGACGAATTATCGTGCTGAATTTAAGTTGTTGGACGCATACCCTGCAACATGCAATCCACCATTGAGCACTCTTAGGAGTGCTTCTCTAGCACTATCTAATTGCCCAGGGCCGATTTCGTACGACCATCGCCATGCTTGGCTAAAGTTGCCGTCCAGAATAAATCATCACATGCCCAGGTATTCCTATCATCGGTCAAAGCAGAGCCCTCCAAAACGCCACGGTCCCATGCCAGTATGCTAAGCCGCAATCATGCATCCAGGATTGTATCGCCATCGTCACTTAGTGTCTCAACTTCATCGATAGCCTCCTCCCGCTCCGAAGCCATCCCCCGTGCGGGATCGTGGTCAGTAACAGTTATGATAGCCTTCCCCTGCACGTATTTAACGGCGCTCTTCCACATTTCCCAATCTTCCTCGTCCCTTATCAGAAATCCAATCAACATACTCGGGTCCATTTCTCGGATATGTAGCCGCCGGAGCCTCCTGGTGTGGCAGGAATCGATGTCCTCTGCTGTGTACTTCTCGACATTCTCGTAGTAGGGAAGGGCAGGTCGAGTGTGGTGAGGATCTAGATAGAACAGATACGAACCCTGATCATGCTCGCCGACGGACCGCTGGGCACCGACAAAGTAGTGTGAGGAAGATGGACGACCACTATATCGCGAGATCAGTGCACGTCCCCGGTGATCATGGAAACAAGACAAGAATAAAAAGAAGAAAGGCTTACCCGGCAATGCCTACGGACTGTGGCATCTGTAGCGTAGACGTGAGTGATTCCCAATACACCTGATTGATCTTGTCAATGCCCAGCCTCGTGCCAACTAGAATCAGGGTAGGATGAAAAGTTTCCCCATCTGGCATAGCCACGGCCATGAAGCTGTCTTCATACACATCTGGGAGGTCCCCTGTAGAATATACTCGCAGTGAGGTCTCGTTCTCGTTGGCAAGGGCACTGATGGATGTTAGTGGCTGCGGCACTGTGGTAGCAGGCAGAACTCACGATATGCATCGAGCTGTGGCAGAAGGGCCAAACCACTCTCCAGGATACTTACCACATGCCACAGCCCCATGTCTAACAAAATTGTGGATGGAATACGGAGCCCGCGGGTCATCAGCAAAGAGGGACAATAGACGACGCTCTTCATCGTCTCCCGTGCCTCTCCTCCAATCTTACCAAAAATGGTCAGCCGCCGCTATATATATATGAGCGGATGTGATGTCTGACTTACCGCGTCCCAGGTAGCAAGCGGACAGGGCATTTGCAAGCAGGCTCTGGCCGGACCTAATCATACAACCCCAACCGCTATCAGAAGAAAAGCCGCTTTGATCGCCGAGCGTCTTGAGCCGCATGGCAAAAGAAAGGGCATATGTGGCTTTGGGGTCGGTTGACTTGGGAATTATCTCGAAGCCCGAACGGTACGTCATCCATATCCGGGATTCGAAGTCGTCGAGAAAAGCAGGAGGCCAGCCGCCATCCTGGCCAAGGTCATCGTATGCCAACGACGAGGAAAAGCTGCTGGAGACTGACTCGGGCGGGGTGTCGGGGGCGAGTGTGGGGATGGGGTCGGACGTCTTGGTGGCATCGTCGTGGAGAGTTTCGGAGGTATCTTTGGGTGTAGGCAACGTCCTGGGGCTCCCAGATTCGTGCGTATAGGAGCATCCTAAGCACCAGACAGGCAGGTTTACAGAAGGGTCGTTCGTGGGTTCAGGATCCCAGATGAGCTTGACGATGCGGCGGCCGTATCGTCCGAACTCAGCCGCCCCGGCCATGGCGGTCTCCACAGTCCGCTGGGACATGACGGTACGATCGTATGCAGAAAGTCGGGAGGAAGGGGGATGCGCGGGTTGTGCGGGATGCGTCAGCGGAGATGATGTTATTGAGGTCGGAACGCTGCAATACAAGCTTCTCGACTGGCGCGGCACCTGTCAGGTAGTTGAATCGCGGGTGTCGTTGGTTGTCACCAGTCTCGGCTCGGTCATGAGGGCCACAGGTGGCGGGGAACGTACGCCTATTCGTTGCGAGGGCGGGACAGGGTGCGAACCACAGTGAAGTCGTGTAAAAGCGAGGATATGATATGATTAGTCTTGAAGATGAATGAATAGGTGAAGCTGTAGCAACCTCTGGGCCGCTACCTGTACTCAGAGTCCGGAGGAGGAAGATCGGTAGACAAGACAAGACCAGGCAAGGCAAGGCAAGCCCAGCTAGAGGGTGTGCAGGAGATCGGCAGTCGAGGCGCTGCCGTTGTCAGCAAGGAGACGGTGCCACCAGGGTGCAACAATATCAAACCCCCAGGAGAAGCTCCCAAGTTGGTAGGTAAGTAGCAATCCAGATAGCTGAGATCTGGGGAAAGGATGTCAATGTCAGATAGCAAGTCAGGCGCCGCCATACACGCCGGCTGGTGTTTGCATGGTCATGGTCATGGTCATGGTCATGGTCATGTCACCGGAGAGCAAGTGAAGAGCTGGCGGGCCGGCAGACAGGCAAGCGCTCAGGCAGATACATAGAGGTACCTACAGTACAGGTATGTAGCCCCGGGGTAGGTAGGCGGAGGTGGGTACCTAAGGTGCCTACCTAGGTAGGTACTGTGCCTAGATTAGTTTGGCCTACCTACCTAGTAGGTACACCACACCTACGTATATGTTGGGCTTCTCACCTCATGCATGGCCTTTTCAGAGACGGGATGTGCCTCGGCGGAAGAGAAGAAATAAAAGAGACTCAAATCGTACAATTGGCACCAAAGTGAAAAGCAGAGTTTCTCTTCATCTTCTAGACGGCCTACCAAATCCATGCATTTCTCTTCGCTTCGGCACGTGTAGGTGTTCTCGCTTCTCAAATCCCCCATGCAGTTTCGCCCACATGCCTCACGTAGAAATGGCAAATATCTGATGTACCTTGGTACCTAGGAAGCTGGTACGACTCAGACCGGCCCCCGGCATGGATTATCTCAAACTAGCGCCCATATTACCAACCTACCAACGATCAACGATCGATGATGCTGTATCAACTTCCATTTCCTTCATGTCTCTCCAGTCCGTAGGCGACTGTCTGTGTATCTGCCAAGTCGGTAGCCACACAGAAGCCCTCCCACTCCCAGTCTTGATCTTGGTGTCCGCTGTTCCAAGCAACGCAAACCTCTCCAGCCCGCCTCGGCATCGCTTGCAAGCATCTGCGTTTGGGGCAAAAACAATTCCACAACCTGCCAATTTCCTCCTCGCGCTGGTATAACAATTTTTTACCTTGTCTCACAGTCGCAACGTATGATACGCTCGCCGCCTGGTTTTCAGATTCATCCTCTTGCCCCCCTGATGAGAGGTTGAAACGGTCGAAGCTCAAGTTATCGAGGCTATGGTGATGACACTCACGACTCCAAACGCCTCACTCAAACCCCCACAGAATTATTTCTCTGCACACATGGGAGTGTCTGGTTTTTAACTATCATTTAACCCCCCTCCCAACGCACGCGAAGCACCCTGATCTAGCGGTTCACGCCGGCCGGCTGTCCTGGAGAGCCTCAAGTCATTCCCGGCCGCGCACGAGTCTTTCAGTCACTCTCAGCAGCCGCCATGCCACGATCTAAGAAGTCTGGCCGAGCTGCAAAAGCGGCGCGGTTCCGGGCAGCCGCTTCAACCGGAACGCGCCCACGGAACGAGGCCATCGCGGCATCTGTGCTGCACAAAATCACGGACACCCACGGTGAGTAGCACTTCCAACTTGCAGTAGTATCTCACTCGCGGCCGTTTCCACTGATGTTGGGTCAGACTTCTCGATGAGAGACGAGGCTCGAAACACTGCCCATAGCCACAACACATGGGGCCAGGATGCGAAGCTGAGGGCCAGGCCGGTTGCCTTCATCAGCGCCGGATTGATTGAGCCTCTTAAGGACTTATCTCTTGACAGCAGTGGCGGGGAAGCTGATCCAGACAGGCTCAAAAGCCACGACAAGCAGCCCAACTTGAACTTAGAACCGCCCCGTCAGAAACAGACTACAAACTCAGATCTGACTGCAGACGTAGCCGGTCAGGTGCTTGCAGAAAATGCAATAGTTGGCCCAACTCCTGCTATCGATCCGCCTCAAGAGATGTTTTTCATCGACAAAACAGGAGACAAAAATTTGTCAGCTGGCACAAATCTGAAGTTCACCTCACCGCGACCGGCATCACCAGGAGAGAGCACCGATTCCAGCGAGGAGATCATCCTTTTCAAGGGAAGAAACATGACCCGCCCCACGGATCGCTCAGATATCATACACGATGAGATCAGCATACAAATAGAATCAGTCACAAACCAGATTGAACACACCTCGCTGACTAAAGACCGGATAGATGCTCATCACGTTCAGGGTCTGGAGGCCTTACATTCCGATTTACAAACGCAGCAAGATGAAGAGGACGCCATTATCGCCGACTACATTGCGAATATGGCTGAAGCTGATGCTGCTGCTGATGATGACGATGAAGTCGACGAGATTGCCCCACAAGAGCCTATCTTCAATATGAGGGACCTCGGTGCACCGGACGGAGAGGCAGCTTTTGGCGATGCCTCTAACGACGACGATGCAATTGACAAATTACTCCCGAGTGACGGCTGTAGCTCATTATCCTCGTCGGATGATGACGTTGGCGATGAGGAAGATGACGACGACGCAGAGGGTGACTTGGAAGGCAAGTCACCAGTAGATCAAGTCGACGACGAGGAGTTGGCGAGAATCATCGCCAAGCAGGAGGAACTAGGTCTTGGGGGCGACGAGGTTCTGCTCTTCTCCGCAGAGCACACAGCTGGTTCCGGGCCCTCTTACGGCCGCCCCCGCCGGAGAAAGGGGTCGTCACTTGCCCACATGGCCCAAGCTAAGAGCACTGGCAGATCGGTTCCCAGCGCGAGTGCGCTCGCCGACGCATTTGATGAGTTTGACCTGATGGACTGGGGCCGGTCTAATCCGCAGCTCAAGGCGAAAGGGAAGCGCGGCCAAATAACGTTCGACGTCTCTGATTCTGAGCTCGACTCAGCGCTGCAAGAGGCATGGCAAAAAGATCGTGCAACAAAAAAGGAAAAGAAGAGAGCTCGCGAGCAACTCCGTGCACAGGGCTTCTTGGGAAGCAAGGCCAATCCTGAGGATCCCCGAACCAAGTATCAAGACGGCATGTCCATGGAAGATATCAAGGGCGAGCTGAGGGCCTTCCTACTCAGCTCCGATACAACGTAAGATCTGGTTTCCTATCTCAAACCCCACGGCGTATCAATTCTAATATCACCTTAGCCTCGCACTTCCTCCCATGGATGCCTCTGCACGGAAGCTTATCCATGAGATTGCGAATAAATTCAAGATCAAGTCCAAGTCTGCCGGCAGCGGTGATCAACGCCGTCCAGCTCTTTACCGCACCAAGAACACGATGAGGTATACCGAGTACTCATTCGAACAGGCATTTGCGCGCGTTGGGCGTCGGTATTTCCCTCGCCTAGATGGCACTGGGAAGACGCCCAAGAGAACTGGAGGCTCCGGCCGCGTTAATCACGCGGCGGTGACTTACCGCGATGGAGAGGTAGTGGGAGCGTCGGCTCCAGAGCTTGGAGAGAGCAACAAGGGCCGTAACATGCTGGAGAAGATGGGTTGGTCTAGTGGGATGGGCCTGGGGGCCACTGACAACAAGGGTATCTTACAACCAGTTGTGCACGTAGTCAAACGCAGCAAGGCAGGCCTAGGCTAAGTCTTGCACAGTCGAGGTTCAGCGTTGAGGTTTTCACGTAAAGCCCCAAAAACAGCTATTATTACCAACTCCATGTACCATCCTAGCTGGCGTTTATCAAAATAACCAGCTTCTCGTGTAGTATCAAAACATTGGGTCACGCGAAACGACATGGCCAATTCTTGTGTGTTCATATGCACGATTTCATTGCTTCCGAAACCCTATTCTGAAGGAGTATTGTACAGCCGCAAACCCCGTTGACCGTGTGAAGACATTGCCCCCAAAAAAGCAAAACCATCCGTGACGCATTAAGAGACCCCAAGGAATCGTAGGCCCTGGCCAGTCTCATCATGAACCAAATGCCAAGCAAATCCGATGCCCTAGAGAAAAGAGAGAGAAACAGGCGAAGCAGCTTATTTCGTGGAAGAGGAGTACTTGGTCACAGCCTTGGTACCCTCAGACACGGCGTGCTTAGCCAGCTCACCAGGCAGGATAAGTCGGACGCTGAAGCGCGGTTAGCATGAAGGTGGATTAAGGGATGGGCTGTCAGTGGTACTAACGAGGTCTGGATCTCTCGGGAGGAGATGGTGGACTTCTTGTTGTAGGCAGCAAGCTTGGAAGCCTCGGTGGCGACGCGCTCGAAGATATCTGGGGATGCCATGTTAGAAAGACGCGTCACGCAATGTGTTGTATGCGAAGGAAGCTAACCGTTGACGAAAGAGTTCAGGATGGACATGGCACGGTTGGAGATACCGGTGTCAGGGTGGACCTGCTTGAGGACTGGAGAGTAGTTAGCAAATGAGCCCACGGTCAAGACGCGTCAAGAGTAAACGCGTGGGGCGCGGGAGTGTACTGACCCTTGTAGATGTAAGAGGAGTAGGTCTCCTTGCGGGCCTTGGTGCGCTTCTTCTTGTCACCGCTGGCGGCAGTCTTCTTGCCGGCATCCTTCTTCTCAGGTGCCTTGGAGGCAGTGGCGGGGGCCTTGGAGGCGGGCTTCTTGTCAGCGGCCTTGGGAGGCATTTTGGTTGATGGGGTTGAGAAGGGTGGTTTGGGGTTGAAAATGGATAGCTGAATTGGGGTGGATAAGGATCCGGCGCGGTGGTGCGATGATGTTGTTGATGATGATGGAAGTGGAAGAGTGGTTGTTGGAAAGAAGCGGCAGAAATGGGGGGGAGCGGTGGTTTATGTAGGTGGACGCGACGGGCGCTAGCGTCCTTACTGATTGAGGGTCCCGCGCGACAATGTGCACTGGCAGGCCCAGGTGTGATTTGAGAGAAGGTGCGTGATCTCGGCGAAGGAAATTGCGGTGGTCGTCCCGCTTTTTCTGCATGCCTGCCTGTGACTGGCCAGCCTTCCACAACACGCCAAAACATTGCTGTCGCCTGGCGACAAAACAACAACACGCCGCCCAGCAAAAAAACCAGGAGCACGCAAATCACACTCCCTCGTTGGAAATCCTGACCTCCCCCCAAGTCCCTCCACCCCCGGCCCCGTTTTCCCTCTGATCTCGGACACTCCACGCCGCCGCCTACGATGATAGGCCAGCCCGCGTGCAATCAGTAACTCGAGAAATGGCGGGATGCCAGGCATGCACTGTCGCATCACACTATTCCCACCAGTTGGCTGGATGTCCACACACCCACCTGAGCTCCTTTGCCTCCCCGCATCTGCATGGCGGCGCTTCAGCTAAACCCTAGAGTTGCGACGCATCCAAAAACACCTGGTATCTGCCGTGCGTGTCATTCCTTTGTATGTAGATATGCAGTAGATACGGTACATTGTCCAAATCATGTCCCACCCTACAGGCAGCCGAGTTCTGTTAGTGAGAGGTCTCATGCGGCAGCAAATACAGTAGCTAACAATGCAGCTAATTGACAAGCCGGTTAGAACATGAACCTCTTGATTCAAACACACAAGGCTGAAAAGGCTGAGGCCTGCCAGTCCTCTCTCTTCCTGCCTGGGTACGTACGGCATCTCATCCGCAGCTTCTCATAATGCTGCTGCCACCTGTCTTAAAGGCTGCTGTGTTACGTGCTATTCGTCTATCTAGCTAACTGGGGTCTCCGTGAGTCTACGGTGGCTGAGTGAAGCATCTGATAGCTTAGCTAGGTAGGAGAACAATGTCGGTAAATTACTATAGAAAAACAGTAAAACGAGTCCTCCCTTCGAGAGAGGCGAAACATGGAAGTTGTTGCATCGCTGGCGCCGAGAGGACTGCAAACAATCTGGGTATTGGGGGGACATATGCAATCAAGACCAAGTCGAGGCAATGTCAGAGATCCAGAGATCCAGACACTCGCATTGGGCACTTGGCGCTCGTGCATCTTGCCTCGAGTGTGCCCGGAGCGCAGCACCCACAAGGTAAATTCACATCATAAAGGTTGTCACCGGAAAGGCAAGGTGCAACATACTGTAACATACCCTAGGGAAAGAGTAAGTTTAAGTCAGGACGAGGTGTGAGAGTCAAAAGCCCACCTGCAATGGGAAAGCACGGCTGGCAAGTGGGGAGGTCTTGCTGGTCTGTCTGACTAGCAAAACAACAGAAAGGAAAACAAGGGGCGAGACCTGGGTTGGGAAAATCAGGCAGGTTGATTTACCCGTGGCATGTTTTTTTATTCGCGCAAATGCAGGCAGCAGGATCAATAAATCGCACGCTGACCCGATTATTTGCACCAGCCAAATCACACACCAGCTGGAACGCAGTGGCCGTGCTAGCGTCTGCCGCGCGAAGAAGCCCCACGCTTCCACCCACAACAGTCCATCTTGGGATTAGCTGCAAGTCGCCGCTGCTGGTGATCCGTGATCGTGTCGGTCCATACGCGAAACTACTTAACTCCCGCATCCCCCACCAACTTCTGCCTCTTCCACTCTTCATCCACCATCTACATCAACAGCAACCGCATTCATCAGCTAGACCTCGCGTCTCATATCCCATCAAACACCAACCACTTCTCATCTCCCATATCTCTTCCACCCCCCACACATCCATCAAAATGACTGGAGGCGGCAAGTCCGGCGGCAAGGCCAGCGGTTCCAAGAACGCGCAATCGTGAGTGCATCCAAGCTTTCCCATCCTCGTTCTGCAGTGGCTCGTCTTTCCCGTCCTGGCTAGACGCGTTTCTGCTCTCGAAGAATGACTAAACGGGCAATGCTAACCTGTTCTCGCAGCCGATCTTCCAAGGCTGGTCTGGCATTCCCTGTCGGCCGTGTCCACCGTCTGCTCCGCAAGGGCAACTACGCTCAGCGTGTCGGTGCCGGCGCTCCCGTCTACCTGGCCGCTGTCCTGGAGTACCTCGCTGCCGAGATTCTCGAGCTTGCTGGCAACGCTGCTCGTGACAACAAGAAGACCCGTATCATCCCCCGTCATCTCCAGCTCGCCATCCGAAATGACGAGGAGTTGAACAAGCTTCTGGGTCACGTCACCATCGCCCAGGGTGGTGTCCTCCCCAACATTCACCAGAGTAAGCATCTCTCCATGTCATACACTTGGTCTCTTCGTCTTTCTAACATCCCTCTCCAGACCTTCTGCCCAAGAAGACCGGCAAGACTGGCAAGAACGCGAGCCAGGAGCTGTAAGCGGGTGGTCTTTGGTTTTCTATTTCACTGCTGGTTGGCACGTTTGGGTTGTCATGACACGGGGTCACGGTTCAGGGTCACACGGTTGCTTTTTTACACGTTTGGGTTGTACATGTACATTAATCCCCAAGGTCATGGTCATGAAATGAATACCTTCTAAAGAAGACATGCATGCTCCGTCTGCAATTGTTCCAGTGTGAAATCTGTTATCGTTTAATGTCGATGCCCCAGCATTTACTAATCGCCTGTGGCCTGTTCCCGTGTTATTTCAGATGTTCTATCACATTTATGTTCGCGGCGAGTTTTGTTTGCGTATGGAAGGGTTTCTCGCGTTGTCCAGTATATGAATGATCTCGTTTGAATTTGGGTAACTGCTGTGGGTAGAGCCCGGCGATGCTAGTGACCTTTTCTATTAACCGTGTACACATCTATATACAATGCCACAAATTTCCATCGTGAGTTATTTAAAACTTCAGCGGCGGGGGGGCTACGTCGCAAAGCATCTGATTAGCCAAGTGTCGAGGTGGACAATAGGATATATGCTAAGAAATACTCACGATCTAATATCGGGGCTGGCAGGTTTCTCTCATATTTGGATCCTGTCAAGGCAAGAGATGTCAGCAAATCTACGGTCTCCTCAACGTACAACAAGATGAGACCATACCTCCAGGCGCTGTGGGATGCGCATATGGATCAGGGTGCTTCCACTTGTCCAGTAGTTTTTCTGTCTCTTTCAGTAGCGCCTGAGTCCCAACAAACTCGTTTGTCAGCAATTGAGCAAGTACGTGTCTTCAAAGGACTATGGAGTTTCCGCCATGGGTTGGGTGACATACCCTCTGCTGTCTCGGATCGGTGATATTTCGGTTCGCCTCGAATAATGACCGGATGTAGAGAGCTTGGCCACGCCAAAGGTGTCGGTGAACAGCCCAGTCCAGAGCGAGTTTCAAGGACCTTCGATAGAGTGATCTATTTGAATACTTATTAGATAGCTGGATTCAGGGCAGCAGACGTTGCATTTGACTCACAAGGCTGCCTGACGTGTCGACATCTTGGGCAATGGCGTCCGAGACCGACCAGAGCCTGCGGGGAGTAGCCGCCTGGGTTCGCGGTTCGAGAGACGCGTCAATTACAACACTTGGGTCTGCAAGTGGCAATTTGGCAGACCGGGCAGACTTGGCGAGACGGGTTTGTGGTCGAGCCTCCCGGTGGATTGAAGGGTTGACTTGCAAGAGCAGAAGGGATGGTTACGTTGGATATGGTCGTGCGCCAAAAAGAGCCCATCGCCAGAAGAGCTTCAAGTTGGCTGCCTTGTGGCCTTACCAGCACCCTCCAATTCCATTCCGCTTGCTAATGCTCGCCGGATCAATCTGTGATTGGCGTGGACGGCCGTCGGCGGAGGAACCCGGATCTAGCCCGGCAAAGACAGTGACCTACCTTCAATGGACGGTCTCGGTACGCAGGAGCTGATAGCGAGCTACGTGCATATGCTCGGCTATAGCCACGCTTTGGCAGGTATCCAACTATTTCTGCGAGCCTTCCATCAGGTATCTCGGCCGGGAGCTTGCATGCACGCTGAGGTCAGACCCCAGTGGGCAGGGGAAGAAACGGGGGAGCTGTTTGGCCTTGAACGCCTGCTACAGCGCTGAGGCCACTGCGGCCGGGCATTGGCTTGTCGCTGCACGGCTGAATTCGGGAAAGCTACGTAGGTAATTTTTACCTTATTTGAAGCCAACCAAGAATTCTCTCGTAACCTTCGTCAACATTGACACTAATTAATCTCCAAATCGATATTTGGACATCCTCCTTTTCTTCCCTTGCCCGCCCGTGTTACTCTTTACCGCGGGCTATCATTCGTGCAACCGACGCCGGTCCTTTGCTTGGTCTTTTCTATTCTGGATCCTGGTCTTCAGCGGCACTCGCATCGCATTAGCTGGCGGACGACCTCGGAGAGTATTTCGCTCAGTTTCATTCGTTGATTCAAGCTCGCGCCACGATTGCCTCCGTCTTGCCGACCCGCTCCCTTTGTGCAGCCTCCCAGTCAGCTCCAGCTGTTCAAGACTCTGATAATGTTGTCGAGAAGGCTTCTTGCGACGACGCGAGGCGTCCACCCCCAGCGTCAGCTGCAGCTGCAGTGCTCTCGACGCGTGCTTCTCGTCAGGCAAGCCCACACCTACGCAACCCCACGGGCGAGTGTGCCCCTTCGCCAGCTCCGCCGACAGTCCTCACCGCTCCCTCTCGTACATGTCCGCACTTATGCCGACACGGTTGTCAAGGTCCCTCAGATGGCAGAGTCTATCTCTGAGGGTACCCTAAAACAATGGTCGAAACAGATCGGCGACTATGTCGAGCAGGATGAGGAAATCGCAACCATCGAGACCGACAAGATCGATGTTGCTGTGAACGCCCCCGAGGCCGGTACCATCAAGGAATTCCTCGCCAATGAAGAGGATACTGTGACCGTCGGTCAAGACCTGGTCCGGATAGAAGTTGGCGGTGCACCGGCCGAAGGTGGCAGCAAGGCCGAACCCAAGGACTCAAAGGCTCAAGATGACTCCGGTGCTCCGCCTCCGGAAAAGAAGCCAGAGCCAGAGTCAAAGCCAGAGCCCAAGCAGGAAAAGAGCGAATCTAAGCCTGCACCTCCTCCCGAAAAGAAGGATACTCCGCCGCCGCCGAAACCCTCTTCCCAGCCGCCCAAGGAATCGTCCGATGCCAAGGCCCCAGCTGGCTCCCGCGAAGAGCGCCGTGTACGTTTCTCGCCAACTCTATTCTTGCTTTACCCGCTAACCTTGTCGAAAACAGGTCAAGATGAACCGCATGCGTCTCCGCATCGCCGAGCGATTGAAGCAGTCCCAGAACACCGCTGCTTCACTGACAACATTCAACGAGGTTGACATGTCCTCGCTCATGGAGTTCCGCAAGTTGTACAAGGACGACGTCCTGAAGAAGACGGGCGTTAAGCTTGGATTCATGAGCGCCTTTGCTCGCGCTTCCGTCCTTGCCATGAGGGATCTTCCAGTTGTCAATGCCTCCATCGAGGGCCCAAATGGTGGTGACACCATCGTTTTCCGAGATTATGTCGACATCAGCGTCGCCGTTGCGACGGAGAAGGGTTTGGTTACCCCAGTCGTTCGCGATGCCCAGTCGATGGACATGCTCGGAATTGAGAAATCCATTGCAGATATGGGGAAGAAGGTAGGACTGCATCCCGCCTGATACTCTTGCGTGCTCTTGTCCAATGGCTAACTGGAAAACAACTAGGCTCGGGATGGCAAGCTCACTATCGAAGATATGGCCGGCGGAACATTTACAATCAGCAATGGCGGTGTTTTCGGCTCGCTCATGGGTACGCCCATCATTAACTTGCCTCAGACCGCGGTGCTTGGTCTTCACGCTATCAAGGAGCGTGCTGTTGTTGTCAACGGCAAGGTTGAGGCTCGACCAATGATGTATCTTGCCCTTACTTATGACCACCGTCTGCTCGATGGAAAGGAGGCAGTCCAGTTTCTAGTGAAGGTGAAAGAATATATTGAGGATCCTCGACGGATGCTTTTGTAGGCGGTGTTCAGCTAGATGGGAATGGCATTGTTGGTAGGCAATCAGTTAGCATTGTGTATATTGTATAGTAGCAGTAGTGGCTTGCCGCGGCGAGGCAAAAAAATAGACGCCGAGCTTATTGTACGTGTTTTCTTCGTCTTGGCCATTAAAGAAGCATACTTTCGTAGCTTCTCAGGCTCCCTTGCCAAGCGCGTAGAGTGGGTGCTTCATGATATAGAACTGAGCCGCAATCCTCCGTGAGGTCCGTGCACGTACCAACTTGCTACATGCGAAATATACCAAACACCCACGCCGGTAATTTATACATTTACCCAATTATGATCCGTTCTAAAAAAGACATAAGAGCAGGTGAATCTTGCCGGGTGGTTCAACTATTGGTTCTCTGGAGTGTCAAGCTACGTTGTGTGCTTACATATTTCACATACTTATGTTTGCATTAAATTAACAGTAAATATCATTATATATCAACGACGGCCACTTAGGATCCTGACATGTGAGCGAAACTCGTCTAGAGTCAGTAGCCGACGTCGATTATGTTCTAGGTACCTATGGGACTCCTCTAGTTGGATCGTGTAAGTGCCGAGTGATACTATGCTTAACGGATGTCAAACATCTTATTTACAATTTCGCGGATATCAACTGGCCAAAATACCATCGCCCACACTGGCAAAGCTACCTGCTCTACGAGATGCGCGGCGAAGAACTTGAATACAATCAAGTGACTTCGTTGTATTGCCATGATCGATATGCACTCGCGCGGCTTGTAGACATGGGTTCGATGCTTCTGTTGTCGTGCCCTAGGCTTGGTCACAAGAGAGCGCAACCTCACGCAACGGTCCCATGCCACTCACTACAAATAAGACAACAATACCTTCCTACCCCAGTTACCAGAGAGATGAGCACTCCTTGGGTGTTCTCACACACAGGAGAACAATTCAAGGAGTCAAATGCGAGCGGTTGCGAGACGTTGACTCGACATCGAGCACTGGAAGTTTGGACTCCCCCTGGCCTTCCACTTGGTTTCCATGGCTGTAGCACAACAAGCCTAAGGTACTGTGCCAGGGAGACTACACAACCCGATATGAACAAAGCAAACCCCGTGATCTAAGTCAGATACGCTTCTCCATGTAACATAGCACATCTAGGGCACCCGCAGAGCGGCAATGCCAATTTCCACATGCACATGCCTTATTCACCAGGAGAGGACCGTAGAGACCGGGCGCACGCCTTGAGGTGGTAGTCTCCACAGCGATTCATAAGGACCAGAACCCAAGACTGTCGAGTTCGTGAATGTTCATCCGACTCGAGGAGGAGGGTCGTAACTACAGAGCTCGCCCTCTTTGTCCGACCAGAAGGTCGCAGTTGTGGAAAGTAACTATAATGGCATCAAGGCTGTCTGTCATGTCACCGCCAACCTTCGAACTGCTATCATGGTCTCACGATAAACGAGTCAGATGATTGTGCATCGGTACACTTAACGGTCGAGCAATATATCTACTACGAAAATGGCCGAATCGAGTGCGGTGTGTGGTGTTGTCATTTGGATTGCTTAGCCGCGTCTGCCTCGAGTGCACACTGGATATGCCCAGATCACTGATGCACCATTTTGAATAGTTTTGGTTTCCTCAGGAATGACCCCCACCCGGAGCTTCATCTATCATCAACGTAGTTATTGCTCTGCTGGCTGATGCCCGTGAATTTATGGTTGGGCATAAACGTCCAACGTTCTGCACAGAGGCCGATTCCGGTGCGCTAAATGTCAGAAGAAGTGTACGAGGCTAGATTACTAGGGTACTTGCGAGCGGGTCTCAGCATCCCATCAGGCTGGTAACTTAGTTATTTGAATGCGAGACTGTTAGTCGTCAACGAGGCTAGATGTACCGGAACATAGCTGGTGGGTGTCTTCTCACTTTGCGACAAGTTACTCAAGTTCTCTCTCTCGAGGTCAATCTGTGATTGATTGCACTACTGCTCATACTCGCCGTGATTGAACATCGTCCCAATGACTGCTGGCAGGGTCAGCTATAGGAGAAGGGACAATCAGATGCTTCGCGCATTGGCTCGGCACCCATATCATCGGCTACGGGATTTTTATGTTGATATTGCCTTCTGTGACGACATTCCCTCGTCGGAGACTAAGCCCCCATCTCCAGCGGCACGCCTCGGACACGTAACTGTTGATCAAGGCGCCATGTCGGCATCGTTGGCCCAGGTTCTCACTTTCACATAACCTTGAAAGCCATGGGAGAGACCAATGTTATGACAGGATATTGGCGCCCATCAGCACGATCGACGTGCAAGCGAAGTACGAAATTCTGATCTCGCCTGGCGTCATAGAAATCGCTTGTCGACTCACCACGAGGGAGAGGGTATTCTTTTAGCGAGTTTTCACATTCTCCATGCCAATACATCGCTTAGTTTAGGATGGTTGCCCGTGATTTCTTTGTGTGCATACCTTCTAGGCCCAGATTTGAGTACAATTAGAGCCAATAGTCGTAACATGTGCTTTCAATACGTCTCGGAACCTCATGTGCATACGAGGCATTTGCGACCATCCCGAAATACGCTGACACAGCGGTATTCCTTGCCAGTTTGCTTGATAGTTCAACATCTCGCCTGCGAGATTTCAACACCGCACGGCCATTCAACCACCTGACCCTCGGAACTCTCTTTACACCTTGCTAGATTCTAGCCTGCGGTTCAAGATTGCTTCTGTTTTACCGAACGCCACTCTATCAGGAGACTTCCCACCACCGTCGTGCAAGCTAATGCGACGGTGAGATACCAAGTGCGAGTCAGACTCCGACTGATACTGTTCGAAACCATGCCCCACTGGTCCATGGGAACTCCGTTCTTGATGTCACCAAGTCCGTGCATTTCGATGTATGCGGGTGTCAACCCGGGAATGATGTCCTCCAAACTTGACGACAAATGGGTTGTGAAAATGACCTGCGCAATAGCAATGAACACCGCCGGCCCCATACTCTGGCCAAACAAGATGACCCCAATACCGATATTGACATCTGCGGCATTCAATGTCGTCTGAACAGCCGCCTGAGAGCCTTGGAAACCGATGCCCCCACTAAACCCTGCAAATCCAGAATACATAATAATCCGGGCCAGGGACGTGTGAACATCATATGTTGTCATCAAACCAGCTGCGACTGGCATGCAAATGGAGGCGAATATCATAAAGGGTGCGTAATAGCCGAACATGGTGGTGCCAATCCCTTGGAGAAAAAGCCCGATCATCATTCCAACAAGGATAGGGATCATCAAGTAGCCGCTCTCGCTTGGGGTCTGCCAAAAGCATAAGCTCATCAGTTCACTTTCTTCGCGTCTTGGATTGGCAGTGTAAGCTTACTCGGGACCGAACAACTTGATAGTATGTTGGTAAGTACCATTCCAAGACATTCGTCATTGAATTGGTGCATGCCGTAAAGATGAAGCCTGCGACGACACTTCGGCTCTTGATGATGCGAAAAGGCAGTGCTGCCGAGTCTCCGCGCCGATATTGGTTGAAGATGAAGGCGGCGAGGAGCACAGCAAATACAACGAACAATCCGATCACTTTCCCATCTGACCAAGGATACTTTGTCCCGGCCCATGATAGCGCGAGGAAGAGCGCGGTCAAGGATGGAATGAACAAACAGTTGCTCACGAGATCAAGTTCTCTAATCTTCTGGCTCAATGTGAGATCGCCCTCCTGGCGGATTCTTGGGTCCGAGAAAAGAAATGACATTGTCGCCAAAGACAAAACTCCGATTGGAAGATTAATCCTACGAGAAAGTTAATATTAAGTGACTTGGCCGTGCTTTGACAAGAAGGACAGACCAGAAACACCATCTCCACCCCAAAGACTGAGTCAACGCTCCGCCTATTATGGGGGCTGCGATCTGAGAGTTCCGCAGTCAGTGGTGGCCTTTTTGGTACCCCGAAGAGCGAGAAAACGCATTGCTAAAGACGCCAAGATGACCTCCGGACTATAAACCGAGCCTCGGCAAGAGGGGAATGACACCTGAGGGTTGCTTACAGTCGCAAGTGATTCAACGCACGCCATAAACCCCGCGAACATTGGTCGCCTGCTGAGTGGCATAATTTGCACCGCGACTGCGAAACACCCAGCCAGCTCTCCCGCAAATCCTAAGCCAGTGACCGCTCTCCCCAAGATGAACATTGTCGAGGAGACAGCCATTGCACAGAGCAAAGAGCCGATGAGGAATATAAGATTGCTGGTCACAAATACAATCTTTATTGAGAAGAGCTTGTATAACTTGGCGAACCCGAATTGGAACGCGCAGGTGCAAAGTCGAAAAGCAGACGAGTACCATCCCACATCGGCGACAGTGTGGAAGTGGTTGGTGATGCTCGGCACGGCAGTAGCCACGATGTTGGCGTCTAGGCCTCCCAGAACAAGTGTCACACATAGCGCAATGATGGTGAACCAGAACTTGGTGCCTGTTGGATAGTTAGGCTCCGTGTCTGCGGTGGAGTCGGTGTTGATGGCCTCAATTGAAGTTGGTTGTGTTGAGGCTGTCGTGCGTGGTGGTTGAACTCGTTGTAAACGTAAAGAATCAAGCACTTCGTGCTCGGGGCCAGGAGTATCTTGTCCGGGCATTGTTGCTGCCATTGTGAGAAGCTCGCGATGGTTTGAGAAAGCACGAAATACAGACGCAGAGAAGAACAGGCCTCGATCATAAGACAGGTACATATAGCCTAATCTAGCAACAAGCAGAGTTGGTAAATTAGTATTATAATATTAGTATTATTTATTATTAATACACCAGTAAGCTTAAGACTCTCGGAACCTCTACCTAGTACTAATAATACAGTAAAACCATACTTAAAAGTTAGACTAAAACTGTAACAGGCCAGATCGATAGTCTATTCAACTAGCTAT